AATCCTCGCGGTTGACTACGCAGGAGGGGGCGTCCAGGGTGTTGTGTTCGGAAGTCTGCGTCGAGGCGGCGTGCAAATCGACCGGCGGAGAGGACTCGAGAGGCATGCTGGTAAGGGCTGCCAGGAGCCCCGCTTGAAATTCCGCATCCGACGCCGACATGAGGCCGTTGTAGGTGACTCCCGAGAGGTCGATGACCAAATGGTGCATCTTCCCGGGGTCACCGGCCTGCATGTTGGTGTCGTCGTTGCCAAGTGCTAGTGTTGTAGTCCTCAGATGCCAGATGATGCCATAGAAGAAAGTCGTGATGACGAAGACAGCAGTGAGGAAAGCGAGAGAGTGTGCCAGAGAGTTACTAGACACGCCCGTCGGTAGAGTGTGGAAGACCGGAGACGGAGGCTGGCGGAGGACGGGTGTACCAGAGAAGCTATCGATGACTCGGATGGTTGTTGTGCTTTCGTCCAAGGTAGCATAGGAGTTGAATGTACTGCCGAGGGTAAGGACGCGAGCGTAGTAGATAGGTGCAGCGCGCAGGGCACCGAAGATGGAGACAAAGAGGGAGATGAGGGCGGTGAACATGGTGGTGGTCGTGATGTTCGGGGCAGTTGGATTTGGTGGGGAACAGAGGACGAGCAACGGAGGTTATATATGCCCTGCGCGTCCCCAGACGCGATCGGACTGAACCTTAGTTTGTTTAAACGCAGCTCACGTGGGGCGCGACCGCGTCGCCCGTCACCGTATGTTCGACTTCACGCCGAGTGAGGAAAGGTAATTGCCAAAATAGGATGTGAACTCGGCAAGTAGCCTCGTGGCGTCAAGGCGCTACTCACCCGTCTCCCCGCACAAGTGCCGGCGCCAGTACCCGCCAGTATACACCCGCCAGCCCTCGCCAGGGGGACTTTTCACCGGGGCATCCAACCTCCCGCTCACTGCTCATCTCGACGCTCTCGCGGGTTCCCCAAACACTATCCTGCATTGTTATTTCTAGTGCATATGGCTGCTATTGTCGATGCAGAAATTCCGTGCTCGAGGTCTCTTGACCTCGCTCAACAGTTGCTTGCAAATTTGCACCAGGAGTACCAGCTTGTGCTATCGGCCCGCGATACTACTAAAAAGTACGTGAAGGACATCAACAGCTTGAATGGCTGCTGACTGATGGCATGTTTATCCAGACCAGACCTGGGTCTAGTGAGTGCCCAATAAGTACTGTAGCTCCTATGTTGATCGTGCTAACGGCATCCACAGCTCGTTTCGCTCCAGAAACTTGTCGGGAGAGACGTGCTCACAGTCATCCGCGCTCTGACAGACTTGCATTCCGCGGTCAACCGGCTTCCCACAGAGATTTTGGTGCACATATTCTCCCTCGTCCTAGATAAACTGCCTCCCAAGGCTTCTGGTCCAGGTGGCTCATGGGAGAGCTTATCCGACGTCAGACAGCTGCAACCCCTCACCGCCGTGTGCCATACATGGCGCAGGGTAGCGACCGGCACGCCGTCTCTGTGGTCCACCGCGCTAGTCTGCCAAACGCCGGATCAGGAGTCCCAGTGGTACAAGCTGTGCCTCGCATCCAGTGGTCAAGGCTATCTCGACGTGTATGCGGATATAGCCACCCGGCGCGGAGTCACGAAGTTCCTCATGCAGCACAGCGCGCGCGTTCGCAGCCTCTGCCTTGTCTATCCCGAAAACCAGGACAGCATGCGATATGGGCCGATGCAACTCGCGCTGCCGCTTCCCAACCTTGAGAAATGTACCATCCAAGGGGGTATCATCGAGTGGACCAATACAATCAGACATCCCTCGTATGCGCTCTTCCCTCACAGTCCTAGGCTCTCCATGCTCCGCCTGCTCTCGTGCGACTTCCTGCCATCCCAGCCCTTCCCGGCGCTTTCGCATTTGTGCGTCATGAAATGCGCGGTGCGCCTCGAAGACCTCCTCAATCTCATTTCCCAATCCCCCCAGTTGCAAGTGCTGAAACTGTACCGGAACGGCCCCGACCGCACGTGGATTGACGTCCCATCCCTGGAGGCCTGGCGAGCGCGTCCGGGGCGAGTCTCGCCGCAGCTGCGGGAACTCGAGATTGTGGACTACCTCCCTACCAGTGTCATGAACTGGAGCGACGTGGAACCCAACCCCAACCACACCATCTGGTACAACGTCCTGTCCGCAGTCACCGTCCCTCTGGATTGCGTGACTCGCATTGGAGCGATATCCTCTGAACATCTTACGGAGACGCTGGACCGCCTCCAGGTAGGAAGACACGCCACGCACGCATACCTCACCAAACGCTGGACGTACTGCCAACCCCCTCACTGCGGGTTCACGCTCCACGCGCTCAACCAGGAGGAACCCCTCGACGTCGTCCTCGGGGTGCTGTATGACCAATCGATCCCAGAACCCACCCTCCACTCCCACCTGAGCGGCGCATTCGCATCCTTCACCGCGCTCCGCCGCCTCTGGCTGCGCCTCGACACCCGTCTGACTCTTCTCGGCCACGATACGCTCGCGCTCATGCTCACGGCCCTCCCCGCGCTCGAGTTCCTCGCGCTCTTCGCCTCCGACACCTCCCGGCCCTACCTGCCCTGCACCGAGCTGCTCCCCATGAGCGGGCTCGTCCCCGCCGCGCCGAGCCCCGGCGCCCCCACCGCTGCCAGTGCGCCGCGCTGTCCGCGCCTTGCGACGCTCGTCCTCAACCCGTGCGGCTGGCCGTGCGCCGCGCCCGCGTCCGGGCAGGTCGCGTACGCGCGGGCCTTTGCGCGCGCACGCGCCGCGGCGGGGGCGCCGCTCGCGCGGCTGCTGCTCTGCGAGAACGAGCAGGAGCCCGGGCTGGAGCGGTACGGCGCGTTCTCGCCCGAGGCCAGCGATTTTATGCGCATTCACGGAGTGCACGCGGCGCGCGCGGGGGCGCGGACGACGGTCCTGCGGGAGTACGATGCGGCGGGGGCGCGCGTGCGGACGCACGACGGGGACGCGTTCGTCGTCGCCGAACGGATGTGGGCGGAGGGCGTCGAGTGGTCTGGGCCAGGGGGCGACTGGACACACTCGTTCCGGTGATGACAATGGTGTATCGCTGAGGGCGTGTTTGCCTTGACTCTTTAACAGGTCGTGCATGATATTGTACGAGCGTATTCGAAGTTAATGTCACCGCCCAATTCTGCTCACAGATGTACTCATGTCTTGCTAATCTTACTATCTTGATACGAATCCCCGCTTACCGGGTTGCATATATGTATGTTGTTCGTACTGTAGGATATCGAGCAATGGACCATATATGTCAAACCGTACAGCCTCCCGGAACACAGCAGGGGTCCGAGCGATGTGTACACTGCTAATAAGCCGTGACATGCTACGTACAAGAGAACTGTCGGCAGGATGAGGCACATCGTGAACAACTGAGAGCCTAACCAGCAAGCTCCGGGATATGGGGATAACAAAGAAACAGAGGGCCCGGTACTAGTACACAAATTAGGTGTTAGCGATAAGTAGGTATGCGTGCGTGCAGGAGTCGGGAATATGCGCAGTCCACATGATGTCGATGGGAACGAAAGGAAAGGGGGAGCCGGTCTCGGGATTCCGAACGAACGGGTATGCAGGCGGGTGGGGGGAATCGTCAAAGGCATGTGGAGAGAGGACGTGGGGCGAAAGACATGCGAAGAAGGCCAGGGTGGGAAGGAGAGCGAGACGGAGCAGGGTCGTGTTACGACTGGGAGTCTTCTGAGCCGTGTCCAGCGAGTGAAGGTATAGGTGGGTGCGTATACCGCCCGACGTCCTCGTTTATCGGCGAGCCCGCCTGGGAGCGGTCGATCATAGTGCCCGTGGGGAGGAGCGTATTTGTGGTGGATGGCAAAACCTCGCTCGGCTCTGCCTCGTCGTGTCCGACCGAGGTGATCGGCTGGTTGTGCGGGTAATACGACATGCGCCGGTTCTTGGAAAAGTCGTACAACGTAAATCTATGGAAGGGTGATGCTCAGTATAAAGATGGATAGAGCGTGTGGATACGAGATGACACGCACTGCTCCTCGAGCTGTCGGAGCTCGGGCTTCATTTTCTCCAAGTCGGGATGTAGCTGCTTGCGCTTCTGGTGTGTCAAGGGCTTCTCGACCATGAGGAACTCATCGAGTTCGTGCGAAACGTCGAAGTTCGCCTTCTTCATCTGTGATTGGCATGTAAGCAATTGAAGAGATGCAAAACCAAGACAGGAGCTCACATCGGGGACGAACGGTGGCTGCACGTCTTTGTTCTCGAGGCTATCCCAGTCGATCCCTGCCATCCAGGGATGATTCCGGACTTCCTCGATGCCCGACTCCAGATCTTTGCAAGCAAGGCGCGTCTTTGGATTCCGGTCGAGCAACTACGGCATGGCGATCAGTGAACATGAACATCTGAGAATGAGACAGATAGCATACAGAAAGTAGAAAGCGCTGGCCCTCCTTGCTGCACTTCTCCTTCGCGTTCGACGGCAGCCGAACCTGGTCCTTGAGAATGGAGTGCTTCATCTTCTCCGACGAGCGCCCGTCAAACGGCCTCCGGTGGAAGAGCAGCTCCCAGGCGACGACGCCGAGACTCCACCAATCAGCGCACCAGGTGTACCCCATACGTCCGATGACCTCCGGCGCCATGTACGCCATGCTGCCAGCGACGCTCGTGTGTAACCGCCGTTCGGAGTAGTGGATCGCGACGTTGAAGTCGGTAATGTGGGCGTGTCCCATTGCGTCTAGGAGGATGTTGTCGGGTTTCAGATCACTGTTGGCGAAATTAGGATACGGTTCTACGCGTCATTGCATGATTGATCCTACCGGTGCATGATTCGTTGCCGGTGAAGGTACTCCAAGGCACACGAGAGCTCCGCCATCCAGAACCTGACGACCTCTTCAGGGATGTACTTTAGTCGTTCTAGGTGGACTGCGTGCGGTCAGGCACGGCCGGTAGGGGAGAATGACGATGATGGTTGCTCACATCGCAAATCTCCTCCCAACATGAGATCGAGGACGAAGAAACAGTTCTCGTCGTCCTGGAACGCATAGCGAAGATTGACGACAAATGGATGGTCAACCTATTGAGGGAGCGAGGTCAGCACACTGGTACAGACCAATCAGCCAAGATATGGATGTGACAAAGGATGGCGGTGCGCGTGGTGCCCAAGTATCTGCTCCCCGGTAGGGAGCGTAGTGCTTGCTAGGCAGCCTTGACATAACGCACCACGAATACGCGAGCGTCGACGCACGCGCTCCGCTTCGGACAGCTGCCCGCCAGACTTCCCCATCTGTCAAGTCATGGCAGAGCGCCCCGACCACTGGGTCCGCCAGGTGAAGCAGAGGAAGCGCGCGGGGGTCGCAGCAAGCGAAAGGGGGTCCCAAGGGTCACCGGAGCACGCGCAGGTTGTTGGGAGGCGAGGGGGAACGATCCCCCCGGCAAGCGAGCAGAGTGCGAAGGACGTACCTCCTCGAGTAACCTCCGCTCCTGGATGATGTTCGCGACAGCCTTCTGCTTGATGCATTTGGCCTTTTCCATATACTTCAGAGCATAGAGCTTCTTCGACTTCTTGTGTTCGACGACTCTGACCTGTGTGTGGCTCGGAGATGAGACGAGGCGGAATGCGAGATGGGCGGGGAGGCGTACCTTGCCGAAAGCGCCCTTTCCGACGGCTCTGTGTAGATTGAAGTGGTAGAGATCGACATCGCCGTCGAAATTGATGGGCTCGGAGCAGCAGCAGGCGACATTCCCCATGAGACAATTGGCGAGAGGAGGGCGGGGGGAGAGGACAGGGCGAGTGTTATTGTCGGCGAAGAACAAAACAGCCCAAATATAACACGGGTGGCCGGACAATGCATCACAGACGCCCGACGCCCCCCGTCGCCACTGGAGGCGGTGCCTGTGGTACTCCCGATTAGGACCCTCTCCTTGACACCCATCCAGCATTCCCTTCCTGTCCTCGTCCCCCGTGCCCCCGCCATGTCCGTCGGTCTCGCCGAGCTCGCCACGCTGCGCGAGCTGTACAAGTCCGGGGTGCTCAAGAGCGCAGAGGCGGCCTCGCTCCGCCACCCGGCGAAGTCGGCGCTTCTGGACCGTGTGTCACTGTAGTAAGTGTCCGATTGATCAATGTCGCCGGCCGGTGCCAATCATAACTGCCATGCGACGTTCGTCCTTGTGCCTCATCCGTCCCACTGCTCACTCCGGTCCCCAGCCAAGGCGACATCACAGAGTTGGATGTGGATTCCATCGTCAACGCCGCAAATAGAAGTCTTCTCGGTGCGTATCCTCCGATATCCTCTTCCTTTCCGAGCACATTGACCAACGCGTGCCGCCGGCAGGGGGCGGCGGAGGTGAGCTTCGAAGGCTATCTATACACTATCGACGACCACGTTCATTTACTGCCCTTGTACTCAGTCGACGGCGCCATACACGCTGCAGCCGGCCCGTCGCTGCTCGACGAATGTAAGTGCGCGTTCCTTGTCTTCGGAGTTCACGCCCCCAACAGCATCAGGCCGTAATTTGAATGGATGCGACACCGGAGACGCAAAGATCACGAAGGGGTATGATCTGCCAGCGTGCGTGAGATCCGTCGCCATCACACGACGAGACAGTGTCGAAATGCCTTCATACCAGCCGTCACATCATTCACACTGTCGGCCCGGTCTACTCGTCCTCGGGCGTGGACGTCAAGGCCCAGCAGCTCGCGTCGTGCTACAAGACGAGCTTGGAACTTGCTGCGAACAACTCGCTTAAGCATATCGTTCGTGCACATCACAGGTATCATAGACAGCCTGCTCGACTGAACGGCTTCGCAGGCGTTCCCCTCCATCTCCACCGGCATCTACGGATATCCCATCCGCGATGCCACGCATATTGCCCTCGACGTCGTGAGACGGTTCTTGGAGTCTCCAGAAGGAGACAAGGTGAGTACAGTAGCGCTTTTCCGCCTTGTAACGAGAGGTCACCTGCCTTGGCCATGTTTAGCTTGAGCGCACTATTTTTGTCGTATGGAGTAACGCCGACAAGCTGGTGTACGAGTGCGTATTACAATTTACTTGCGAAGCGCCGTCGACCTCACCTCCGTGCAGAAACTTGCTCCCGCTATACTTCCCTGCAGGCGCAGATGACGCGGGAGACAGCGCAGCCTGAAATATATGGAGACGCAAGTAGGAAATTTCCAGGATGTATGATGAAAGTGTACAATATGGATCGTCAGTGATTTCCTTCGAATGTTGATCATGATAATGCTTGTCACCTCTACTAAGACTGCACACGCGACTCGATCCTTTGCTTCCTTCTTGCTGCGTTACAAACCGCGGAAGTGCACAAGCGAACTGCGAGCCCGCGGTGTTGCTGAAATACCGGGGGCCCATTGAACTCTCCATTGGTACACAGGCACCATTACCTCACATTTACGTCGCTCCCCGTGTTTTCATTTTGCTCTCCCCGAGTCGCCCAGCACCCGCATGTCTCACGCGGGACGCGTTCCTTACTGATCCACCCAGCACACCCAACAACAACATCCGAAGCTGCACCGAAACGCGCAGCCGGCCCGCCCCCGCCTCCGCCAGAGCCGGCGAGGCAGCCCTCTGCACGCTAAGGTCAAGAACCGGGGGCGCATGACCCCAAGACGCGCCCGTGTTATGCCTCTTTCCTCTGCTATCACGCTGGAGGGCCGAACTTTCTCCAGAAGCTCAGAAGCGGTTTGATGGGTCCAGTGCGGGGCAGCATGCCTGGACGGTACCGGTGACCTCGCCCCTTCACAGCTGAACGCTATATAAGCCTCCGGTATGAGACAGCCGTGCGACTCGTGCGTAGGTGTACTTGCGCGACGACGTTTGCGACGACTGGAGACCTCTTTGACGCGCTCGCGACACGGCTGAAGCATGGGGCGCATCTACAACATCTCTATAGCGCTGTTCTGCGCGATAGGTGAGTCTTCTAATGTCTCCGGCGGATGTTCGGGAAGAGAAGACGGTGCGCTCACCTTTTTGTGTCTTCGTCTAGGTTCCTTTTTGTTTGGGTAGGCAGACGAGCTTCTAGTTCTGGCCGGTCGTGCTAAATGCATGCTCTTCTCTCTGCAGTTATGACAGGTGAGCATCTGCTTTGCTAGCCAGATTGGGAATTCGCTGAGCAAGTAACGGATCTTCGCAGCGGAATTATTTCCTCCGTCATCACCTTCTCCGAGTTCAAGAGCTTCGTAAACAACCCTGGCAATTACGACAGTCTGTCTGGCGCGGTGGTCTCAACCTTTACAGGTATAGCGACATTCTCTTCTAGGTTCAGATCCTAGATATATATTCTTTTCATAGGCGGGTGCTTTTTCGGTGCCGCTGGGGCAGGATGGTGAGCAAGGCCAGTTCCTGGAGTGTAGTATTTTTCACGACGACCCTGCCATCTTTAGGGTGAACGACAGATTCGGCCGTAAGCGGACAGTCCAAGTGCGTCTATCCATGACTACCGACCAGGATTCATTTAACATGTATCGTGTAGCTGGGTGCGCTCATCGCGTTATGGGGATGTGCGATGCAGGCCGGAGCGAACAACTTCGCCTGCATGCTTATTGGGCGTATTGTCGCCGGCTTCGCTATCGGGTGAGTTCCTACATCCCTGCACATTTCCTAAAAAAAACTCACATCCGCCGTCAATAGCATTCTGTCGATGACCGTACCTTTATATAATGCAAGTTCCCGTGCCGATCCCAGTTTCTTGAATGAAAATTGACCACCTGTCCATGTAGACCGAGATTGCCCCCGCCGAACACCGTGGCTTTGTGGTGGGACTGACGCAGCAAATGATCGGTATCGGGTTTATTGTAGCAAATTGGGTGAGTCGCGCCGTTTGTGGCCCTTCATCCTCCTCATCTCAATCGCATATAGGTCGGATACGGATGCCAATATCTGGATGGTAACAAACAATGGAGGCTACCTCTCGGCCTGCAGGTCAGTCTTCGACAGTCCCCACCCGCACCTCGCTGAACGTCTTTTCTCCAGCTCGCCCCAGCCACGCTCCTCCTCATCGGTGCGCAGTTCATGCCTCGCTCCCCGCGCTGGCTACTTGAACAAGGCCGGGACGCCGAAGCCCTCGCCGTCGTGCGCCTTCTTCACGGCAGCGCCCCGGGCGAGGAGGCTGCCGCCGACGCCGAGTTCGCAGAGATGCAAGCGACGATCAAGGCGGAGCAGCGCGTGCGCTCGCGCTCCCTCAGCGACCTGTGGGCGACGCGCGGGATGCTGCGCCGCACGCTCGTCGCGGTCGGGGTGCAGGTGTTCGGCCAGTTCTCGGGCATCAACGTGATCAACTACTTCGGGCCGTCGATGTACAGGGCGCTCGGACTCAGCGCGGGCCAGTCACTTCTCGTGCAGGGCATTTATGGAGCCGTTGGGCCTATCACCAACTTCTTGTGCGTGATTGCAGCAGCGGTGTCGGGGAACGGGGTTGATGCTGATTACGATGTTTGCCTGGGCAGCTTCATCACGCTCGTATTGGATACCGTTGGACGGAAGAAGCCCCTGCTGTTCGGAGCGGGGAGCTTTGTGGTCACATACTCTGTCCTGACCGCTATCGTCGCGTCATTCCCGCCCGACCAGTCCACGAACCTCGCGGCGCAGCGCGCGGGCATCGCCATGATCTTTATGACTAGCATATTCTTCTCCCTCAGTTTCGGGCCCGTCAGCTGGGTGCTTGCATCCGAGGTGAGCGTTCGAACATTAACCTTCATCAGCGACAGAGCATGGCTAATAATGATATATAGGTCTTTCCAACCCGGACACGGTCGATGGGAACGAGCGTGGCGACGTGCGCGAACTGGGCGTTCAACGTTCTCTTCTCACAGGTAAGTGAATTTGTGACCCTGTCATTGGGAATGTCAGACTTACGCACGTCCTCCGCTTTCTAGGTTTCCAATTTGGCCATCACCAATATCAGCTGGAAGTACTACCTTATTTTCATCTGTTTGAACGCCATCGACTTCGTTATCATCGCCCTCTTCTTCCCCGAAACTAAAGGTAACATGGCCCGATACGGTTCTATTAGCGACGATGCTGACATTCTCGGTACACAGGCAAGACTCTCGAGCAGATGGCGGAAGTATTCGGAGACGAAGTTGATACGCACGATATGTCGGATTCCGGCGCGCACGAGAAGATGGATCATCACGAGCTTGACGTCGAAAAGTAACGAATTTTCCTTGTACTATAAGTAAACGCATTGCATCTGCATGGGATGTAGCAGAGGTGACGCCGACTCACTTGGTGTGGCAAACCTCACGAGGGATCTGCAAGTAGCATTCAAGGACTACAACAGGACCCATATATAACTGTTGCATGAGGTAGGTTATACTAGCCAAGCATACTCCTGCGGCACATAGATTGTCTAGATAACTAAAAAGCGTACTCTAGATGGGTGAACAAAGGGAAAGTACCCAGTGGCCTCAAAGCAGCACCGCGTGCATCGGCTCAAAAGTCGAAGTCCGAAGTTGGCGGTACAAACAACATGTTCGGCTCTGCCTTGTACTGCCAGCGAACTGAACGAGGCATACGTGAGTGGTAGTCCTGGTAACCGGACACACAGGTGGTAGACTCACTCAGCATATCCTCTCCTGCGTCGAACGCGTAGCCAAAGAAGTTCTCCTTGTGGTAACAACTCGAGGGCCAGCGCTTTCCGGCGGAGTACTCTTCATCAATGTCGTCCGGTTCCTCCTCCGCACTCTCTTCTTCTTCGTCTTGATCCTCGCCGCCGTCCTCGTCATCCATTCCGTCTTCGTCTTCATCCTCTTCTTCGTCTTCGTCATCCATTTCACCCTCATCCAGGTCCTCCTCGTCTTCATCGTAGTCTTCATCTTCTTCCGCGTCCGACAATTCGTCCTCGCGGATGACCTCAACAGTAGCGTTTGCAGTTGTGACCTGAGCTTCGGGGGTATCTTGAACGACGTCCATCGCTTTCTCCTGGGTCGATCGTGCTTCGGCGACCTCCTCCGTTGCCACGTCCTGCTTTGCTACTTCGGCGTCCTCTGCCGCTTCGGGAACATCTACAGCCTCTGTGTCGCTGAGTACACCGCTGGCTCCCGTACCGGCCTTCAGCGCCTCAACCTCCTGCTCGATCGCATTCCACGTCGCCCAGCGCGGAACCCTTGCCTTGCGATACCCGCTACGTTCACCCATCCGATTCATGCGCGTGCATTCAGTCGCGACATGTAATGCCGAGCGGTGCGAGTCCCACGCCATCGCCGAGACCGCGTTGTTTCCCGTCGAGAGCTCGTATACAACGGACCTCGCGCGCACGTCCCACACCTTGACCTGCTCCGTGCGCTCGCCGCCAGTGAAAAGCGCTAGGCAGGCAGCTGTCAGGAAAAAATGCACATCTCAAATGAGCAACGACGAAAACGCACTGGGAATCCCGTCTGGGTGCACGAAGACGACGTCGACGCACGCCTCGCTCTGTGTGCCGGTGTTGAACGAGAGCACGGGCATCGGCCGGCGCAGGTCGAAGATCCGCGCAAACCCGTCGCTCCCGGCGGTGATGAACACATTCGGGTCCCCCGCGCTGGCCGTGATACGCTCTATGTCGCTCCCGTGCCCCAGGTAGCGCGTGACGCGACGCCCTTCATGCTCTAGGTCGATCGACACGCACCCGAAGCTGTGCTCGGCGGAGCCGCGCTTCTCTCCGCACAGCAGGTGTCCACTTGGGGCGTGTACGTGCAGCGTTGTAGGTGCGTACGTCGGGTCGTCCGCAAAGGCGACGATTGAGTGCGGGCGCGTCCCGCTCGACATCTCGATGCGCTTCGAGCCCGACTCGCGCCAGCTGTTGTCGGTGTTCAGCTTGCCCTCGCCTATGAGCTTCCCCGGGTTATCCTGGTGCTTCTCGAGCTCGTCGAGCGTCCAGATCGCTGCCTGGCCCTTGCCCAGACGCACGATGCGCCCGTTGGGAAGGAGCGAGATCGGCCCAGAAAAGTCGCGCAGCGAGTTCATGGTGTGCACGTTTGGGAGGCGCGAGCGGACCGTGCCATCATGGGAGGGCGCCCACGAGAACGACTTGATGCGATCGTCGTCGGCGAGGAAGACAAGCTTGCGGTCCTCGTCAGTCACGACGTAGCGCGCGACATTGGAGAGCCCGGGGTCCATGTCCTTGCCCTCCATGCAGTCCTCGTCTTGGTCCTCCAGGAAGTAGTAGTGCAGCCTTGGATCGCGGCCCTTCCAGCCTCCTGAACCGGCCATTGCGAGGATGGTACCTCCGGAAGACAGATCCATCGCGTTGGGGGCACTCGCGAAGTCTATACTTCCCTCCGCCCGGGCTTGGTAGATGATCTGTGCCAACGGAGTGTCATCGGATGCAGAACAGGCGACTCCCTCGCGGAAACGCGCGAGACGAGTCGAGCGCGGATGTGGGCGGGGAGACTTGGCCCATGCGGGCGTCCGGGCGAACTTAGGAAGCTTCGGTCGCGCTTGGTAGCCGGGACATAGTCAGTAAAAAGCGTGTTGTACGTTTAGCGATTCCTCAGCTTACGCGCTCCTGGAAAGAGATACTGCGTGTAAAATTGCATGAACGCCTCGGTGATGTCGGACCCTGGAACGAGACGTGTAGCGTTTAGCAGTGGCTCAGAACGTGTCACATACATACTTACCACACATCTCCAAGCTGTCTTCGACTTCAGGTGCATCCTTCGATGTGGAGAAGCACGGAATATACTCGTAGTGATCGTCCCCAATCGCCCAGTCAAGGGCGCTGTTGAGCAGTGCATGCGCCTTCTCAACGATCGCAGGCAACTCTGGGGACGCGTTTTTCTCCGCGTCGCGCACGACGTCGCACGCATCGCGCAGGATCTTGTAGAACTCCTTGTCCGCTCTCTCCTCTTCTTCGGCCTGGATGATCTGGTGCGACTCGAGTTCTTCAGCGAGACCATCGAGTTGAATGAGCCATGGCCCCTGGTGTGCCATAGTTGCAGCAACAGCAGATGCGCCACTCGAGGTGCAACGTGGTAGTATGAGAACAAGGAACGCAACGGACGTAGCCGTTGGAGTCGATCTGGTTTAGTGTCGCGAGACTTGGTGCCTGGGGCCTACGCGACAGGGCGGGCGAACTCGAATCTACACGTTGGAGATGGAAAACGCGTCGCGACCATTTTTGTTGCTACTATCCAGTCCAACGAGATCGAATGAGCGACTGTATCTCTGCAACACGGAGGACCAATAAATACTCTGGAGGAGGCGGTCTTGGCAGGCGTATAAGGAGTATATATACAGGCAAGCTGCGGCCCGGAGCCGAGTTCGCGATCTGCGGAGAAGTCCCTGTCTCAATTGGGCGCCTATGTTGCTTGCTCTCTCAAGCTGGATCCACCGTCGTCTTGTCGCGCTCTGCTCCGCAGCGCTACCATCCGGGCTCGATTCACGCCTCGTCCATGTATTCGTATGAACTCCGTGCACTCTATAAGACTCGGAACGAGGCATCACTTACGACTATATGGGGCTAACTGCGAGCTGGGAAACGGACAGACGGCTACGCTGCGAGCCTGAGCAATAGAACACGCCCTGCTATTCTTTTCCGCACCCGTATGGTGAGTGCGTTGTCTTCTTATTGATACCCCAGCTAAGCTCAGGGCCGGAAAGGCGCAGTTGCTTATTACGAGCGTGAAAGGCATGCCCCATAAGGGGCATGTTGAGCCAACGAAGCCCATTGACATCCCGCTCTCTGGGTCTCGTGAGGAGACCCGTTGGCTGGAGGTGGCGTCCTTGTATCGCCTTGGATACTGGCCCTAGAATAGTGCACCCACACCCTGCACGCTCCATGACCAGAAAGGACATGCGGCGGGTTATCGGCATGAGTTCCACCTGGCACCACCAGCCTACGACGACCATACACGAGGCTCGTACGCCCCTTCCTCATCCGCGTCTGACGATCCACATCTCCCAGCCGTCGAAGAGCTCCGACAGGCGAGCGTGTTTCTGCCGAGGAGCGTGAAGTCGGAGAAGGCACGCATGTCGTAACTTTTCATTTCGGAAAGCATGGGCGCCGCGCGCCGTGACCAACGCATGGCGCCACAGAAGCAGCCCTGCTTCGTTCGTGGGATACATCCGCAAGCGTGTCTGTAAGTTTGGCATCGATAAAAACATGGTCCTGGCGACCGTCGCCGGCATAGCATCCTTGTCCGTTCACCACCGTCTGTTAAGTTTGCGAACATGTCCTCGCAAAAGACGCCCGTCCTGTTCATCGGCGCCCCTGGTAAGTCGCCTGCTACTCTTCTTATAGCGTCTCTGTTGTGACTCGTGGCGCTTTACAGGGTACATCGGGGGGTCCGTACTTGGACGCCTCCTCCAACATCCCAGTGCGGACACCTTGGACATCACCGTCTTCACCACCTTGGAAGATAAAGGCAAGGTTCTCGAGTCCAGATTCCCCCTCCTTAAGGTCGTCTACGGAAGTCGCCAGCACATCGACCAGGTAGAGACGCTTGCGGAGACTGCACACATCGTCTTCAACTGCGTACGTGCGCTTTAAATTTGCGTGCAGTAGAAGCAAGTGTTCTGAGAAGTTTTCACCATAGGCTGATGCCAGCGACGTGCCCGTTGCCAAGGCCATCTTGAATGGTCTCAAAAAGAGGCACGCGAACACCGGCGACATTCCCATTTTGATTCATACAGTAGGCACATTGTGTCCTATTTCCAAGATGCGGCGTTGCTCACGCTTTACAAGTCCGGAACCAGCGTCCTCACCGGGGATCCATTAGTGACGGTCTACTCCGACGTCAACGTCGAGCAGATGAAGACGATCCCCGTCACCAACGTGCACCGCAACGCCAATCTTGCCGTCGTGGAGGCGGACGTCGAAGGCTACGCGCACACGTACATCATCTTCCCGGCGACCATCTACGGCATCGCGGAGGGCCCTCTTTTCGACGCAGGAGTCGCGCACCCGCACTCCGTCCAACTGCCGTACCTGATCAAGGCCGCACTCGCCCGCAAAGCCGCCGGTATCGTCGGCATGGAAAAGGCGCTCTGGCCCAATGTACACATACACGATGGCACGTCTCTCTTTTGATCTTATTAGTTGTGACGCCGCTAACAGAGCGCTCCTCACAGTGGCCGACTTGTACATGACGCTCTTCGACGCGATCCTGAGTGGCAAGAGCGGGCACGGCTGGGACGGCCTCTACTTCGCCGAGAACGGCGAGCACAACTGGCACGACGTGAACCGCGCGATCGGCGAGGCGCTTGTCGCGGTCGGCATCTCTACCGACCCCGCGCCTACCCCGGTCACCATCGAGGACCACATCCGGTACTACAGTGACATTTCGATGTCCCGTTTCTACAGCGGAATCAGCTCGAGCTGTAGGGCGCATCGAGGACGGTCAATTGGCTGGACACCGAAGTATACGACGGACGACATGCTGAAGAGCATCAGGCCGGAGGTCGAGGCGATTATCAAGCGACAGAAGGAGGGCAAGGCGTAGGTGAATGGAAGCTGAGAAGTACTTCTGCATATCAACATCAGGTGTCGGAACGCACTTTTAGATACTGACTGGCGTAATAGAGCCCCCGAGCGAGGCGACGATCTTTCGACATCAGCCTGTCATGTCCTGCGGACTGTGCATGCTTCCAACATATACCACGAGCAGCTTTCGCTTAGACGTGCAGCGTGCCGTCACGGTACGCACCTTCCGACTTCTCCAATACACTGGTGTGATCGAATTTCACACAGACCACCTCGAGGGCGCATACACGTTATACGAGGCGTGGAGGTGACGGAAAGGCCGCTGGTAGTGCTATCTGGTGCTCCAAGACGCGTTCGCTCTGCCGCGAGTCCTACGCGCCCGAGGGGCTCAGAAATTGAATACTTTACCGGGGGCCAGGTATCGACATAAGCCAATTTCCGAGACCCCCCTCCCCCGCTTTCCACCCATATCGGGTAATTTCCGTCCAAATCGGAGAGCGACAAACATAAGTGCTCAAAACATACCTGAAATTGTACCAAATGAATTTCAGGCTGCATACAAAAATGTATCCCAATTTACCTTACAAACTCGCGATGTGTAGAGTCACTCTTACGAGCTCAACGAGTGTACAAACTTAAGCCCAAGGAACGAACGACGAGATTTGGGACGGTCCTGATAGCTGGGACTACCGATGAAATATGTTCTCAAACGAAACCCCAAGGTCCGCCCCCCAAGGTCCACAGAGTGCAAAAAATTTGATTGTACGCCTCAAATAAGCCGCTATCATCATTGAGCTGGGAGGCATCCACCTATCGACATAAGTTCTCTCTCCCCCCAACCCGGGGTCTCGGCATCTTCCGGTGAGCCCCTTTTGCATACGCGACGCGTAAACGCGGTTGAGGCTCCGCACGTGATCGCGTTTCGTTGCCTGGTCAGCATAACCTTGCGTGCGGTAGACCGGACATCCACCAGAAAAGCTGGAGTGCAGCCAGCAGAACATAGCTTCCAGCAACATCGCAAAGCAGCAGACGATGACGTATACACCGAAGCACGTCTGCTTTGTAAGGCACCTCCGATGTGAACTGCTTTGTAAGGTTAGCTTTTCGTGCAGCGCGACGGTATAATAGCTCCCGCAGCGCGAGATTGTTACATCCCACCATCCTCCTTGTGTCATACAACAGCTGCGGCCCTACATCTTTGAATCTGCAAACATGTCCGTCGACAAGACGCCCATCTTCATTACTGGTGCTACTGGTTAGTAGCCTTCTTGTAGCTCTGACGTCATTTCGTCGCTCACAAATATCGGAATTCGACAGGCTATATCGGAGGCTCTGTCCTTGAACGTCTCCTCAAGCATCCCAGTGCTAGCACCTTCGATATCACTGCTCTCGTCCGTAACGAGGAGAAGGCCAAGATCCTCGAGTCCAAGTTCCCAGTCAAGGTTGTTCGCGGAACGCACCAGGACCTGGACAAGCTCGAGACACTTGCACAGAACGCGCATGTTGTCTTCCACACCGTAAGTGTCAACATGTTTGCCATAACTCAAGGTTGCTCACGTATTGCGCCTAGGCCGACGCCGATGACGAGCCCGCTGCCAAGGCTATCTTGAGCGGTCTTAGGAAGAGGCACGCCACCCTCGGCGACCTTCCCATCCTTATCCACACAGTCAGTCTATTTTATTTCTTATATAAAATGACCCGCTGACGTCTAGTCAGTCCGGAACGGGTCTCCTCACCGATGACGCACGGGGCGAGTACGCCACGGAGACCATCTACTCGGACCTCAACATCGAGCAGCTCAAGGCGATCCCGCCCACTGCGTTCCACCGGAACGTCGACCTGCTCGTCATCGAGGCAGACACGCAGGGATACGCGCGCACCCACATCATCTTCCCATCGACCATCTACGCCATTGCGGAGGGCGCCCTCTTCGACGCGGGCGTGTCGAACCCGCACTCGATCCAGATTCCGTACCTCATCAAGGCCGCTCTCGCCCGCAAACAGGCAGGCGTTGTTGGCAAGGGCAAAGCGCTCTGGCCCGATGTGCACATCCATGACGGTACGCTCCCCTCTCATTCTCTCAACCCACGCCATCGCTGATCAAGTCCGCGCAGTCGCCGACCTGTACATCACCCTCTTCGACTCGATCGTGAGCCACCCCGACACGACCGGGCACGGCTGGGAGGGCTTCTACTTCGGCGAGAACGGCGAGCACAGCTGGTACCAGATCAGCCGCGCGATCGGCGACGCGCTCGTCGCGCTCGGGATATCGCAGGACCCCGAGCCGACCCCATTCACGACTGAGGAGCTCGTGAAGTACTTCGGGAGCGAGTGGGCGGGCAACTACAGCGGCTCGAACTCGCGCTGCCGCGCGGACCGCGGGCGCGCGATTGGGTGGAAGCCGAGGTTCACGACGGAGGATATGTTGAGGAGTATCAGGCCGGAGGTGGAGGCGTGGATCAAGAAGCAGCAGGCGTAGATACTTGAGTCGAAGAGAAGATAATCACTCAATATGTATATCAGAGGCTGACATCGCGATGCAACATCGAATATCATACTGAGCGTCTTGGTACACCCCTCGCTGGAATTCATCTGCTCCCAAATACGAAGGTATCGACTTCGCGACATCGGCCTGGGTAGTATACTGGCGTCAGCTGCCCCGGAAGCTATTCGAACTTTTACCACGAGTATCTGTCATAGGGCGTGATACGCCTGCGGACTCAAGCGATGAGAAAGGTTTGGCTTATGCGATTCAAAGGAGCGCTTCTCATATGCGTTGGCTGCTTTATAAGACGAGGTCAGATGGCGTATATGAAGCAGACGAGACGTAGTGGAGCCCACATTCAACAGCCTCTGCCATTATGCCCTCCGGAAAAGTATCTATCTTCTTCACCGGCGCCACTGGTGAGTTCGCCTCTCGCAGGCTGTTCTAGCCACTGTAGAGCGACTCGCAGGGCTGACGGGCATCTGTAGGATACATCGGAGGCTCCATACTGCAGCGCCTGCTCGCGCGCCCTGATCGGGAGAACTTCGAGATCACGGCGCTGGTGCGCAAGCCAGTCTTAGCAAGACGCCTCGAAGCGGAGTTCGGTGTGAAGACCGTCATCGGATCTCTTCAGGATCTCGACAAGCTCGCGACGCTCTCCGAGAATGCGCATGTAGTGATTCAGCTGGTATGTGGGATAGCTGCAGCACCACCCGCACCTGGAACACGGTATGCTGGAGCTAAAAACCGGGGTGGCAGGCGGACTGCGACGACGTGGACGCTCTCAAGGCCATCCTCAGTGGCCTCAAGGCGCGGCACGAGAAGACAGGGGACATACCCCTCCTGATTCACACCGTAAGCCTCCCACTATGTCCCCCACCAAACAGTAACCACTCACCACACCTCCCTCGCCAGTCCGGAACGGGCGTGATCACAGACGACGCGCAGGGCGCATACCTCTCCCCGAAGATCTACTCCGACCTCGACATCGCCTCCATCGAGGCGCTGGCCCCCACCGCGCTCCACCGCCCGGTCGACCTCCTCATCGTCGAGGCCGACACGGCGGGGTACGTGCGCACGCACATCATCCTGCCCTCCATCGTTTTCGGCATCGCGACTGGGCCGCTGTTCGACGCGGGCATCGCGAACCCGCACACGGTGTTCTTCCCGCTGCTCATACGCGCTGCGCTGAAGGCCGGGAACGTTGGTGTCTTGGGCACCGGAGCGCCCATTTGGAACTGTGTGCATGTCGACGACCGTAAGTGCATAAGTGCATAGTTGATAGTTGGCATGCGCACACCACTCACATGGCATGCTGACGAATTTGCTGTACTACTACAGAGGCGGACATGTACGTTCTGATGTTGGACGCGCTCCTGAACAGCCCGGAGAAGGTCTCGCACGGGCGCGAGGGGTTCTTCTTTGGAGAAAACGGCGAGCTCGTCACTGGCGAGATCGTCAAGGCCATCGCCAAGGCGCTCTTCTCTCTAGGACGCATCAGTTCCCCGGAGCTGGTGCAACAATCACCAGAAGAACTTGGGAAGTTATACGGCAGCGAGGTGCGCACTGTGTTTCCCCCGGAGATCGTGTCACTCACCTTGGGGTGGCTGCGGTGTAGATGCTTGTACGTGCCTTCTTCGCGAACTCGCGGAGCAAGGCGGAGCGGGCGCGTCGCGAGTTTGGATGGGCGCCGACGCATACGGCAGAGGACTTCTATGAAGGGATCGGGCACGAGGTGGAGGTACTTGTTAAGAGAGAAGAGGCGAAGAAATAGTGTAAACTGTTTGGAAGTACTCCTAGTCAGTGATGCGCATGCATTACGAATCAGCGAGCGAATTTCTATGACACTGAAAATTGCGTCAACGTTCACACCATCTCCGTTATCCCTGTATTCCTACTTACGCCAATGCATGCTTCGTGTATGTCTCAGGCCTGGAACATTGTGGTGGTAATCACGACCACTAGCTGCATCGTGGCGTTCACTCAGCGCTCAACTTCAAGTAGATTCGGAAGCTTGTAGAAAGTTAGCGCGCACATGTTCTTTCGTTTCCCACGATACTCTGTTCTTCTCCACCACCACCTTCGAGGCCCTCGAACGTCTGAGACATTCAGAAAGTATCCGAACATATCCTGGCACTATTGGTAATCAGAACTATCGGCGATTGTACACAAACGGTATGCCTGCGAAGACTGCGCATCCATGTTCTCCGCGATCCTGGCGGTGCATTTCCCGACCTCCCCGATTGAGCGGCGATAGTTAGAGGGTGGGAACGAGCCCGGGTAGGTTCTGTGCTTTGTCATAGCATAGAAGGAAGCACCTGGCGTAACTTTTCAACATTTGAGAAGTACGTACGGAGATGTATAAAGGCAACATGGGCGCGCGCAGAAGATACGTACCAGACATATCTCACTCTGAGTCTTGCATACGATGTCCGACAAAGTGACTATTTTCCTTACCGGCGCGACAGGTGAGTCCATTAGTGTTACACTACGGTCCCCTGTATGGTTTACTCACTAGTCGTTGAACAGGATACATCGGAGGCTCTGTGCTACAGCGCCTACTTGCCCACCCCAACAGGAAGAACTTCGAAATCACTGCTTTGGTTCGCAACGCAGAGAAGGGGAAGCGCCTTGACAGTGAGTTTGGAGTGAAACCCGTCGTTGGGGCACTCCAAGACCTCGACAAGCTTGCAACTCTCGCGGAGCATGCACACGTTGTCATCCACACGGTCCGTACATGTCGCTCGTGGAGATATATCGACTGACTTTGCCCGACGCTCATAGGCAGACTGCGACGGCCTGAATGCCATTAATGCCATCCTGGGCGGACTCAAGGCAAGGCACGAGAAGACGGGCGACTTGCCGCTCCTGATCCACACCGTAAGTTCCCTCCCTCTTCTCACTGCTGCTTCGCTGAGCACCACTAAACACCCATGTCAGTCTGGAACAGGAGAGCTCATGGACGACGCGCGCGGCGCATACGCTTCCGACAAGGTCTACTCCGATCTCGACATCGCCGGGATTGAGGCCCTGCCTCCGACTGCAATCCACCGCCCGGTCGACCTCGCCGTCGTTGCCGCGGATGTGGCAGGCTACGCACGTACCCACATCATCATGCCGTCGGTCATATACGGCGTTGCCACTGGTCCCCTCTTCGACACGGGCATCGCGAACTCGCAGACCATCATATTCCCGCTGTACGTGCGGGCCGCGGTCATCAACGGGCACGTCGCCGTCCTGAACGAGGGCGCGACGCTCTGGGCGGATGTGCACATCACTGACAGTAAGTGTCCATTTTCGCCACCCGTTGTGCATCGTCCACTTGCTAATCATCATACAACTGGTCCGACAGTCACAGACATGTACATCCGCATGTTTGATGCGCTTCTGAGAACTCCGGAGAAGGTCTCGCACGGACGCGAGGGGTACTTCATTGGCGAGAACGGCGAGTTCGTCGCGCGCGAGAACCTCCAGACCGTCGCGGACGCCCTCTTCGCCGCCGGGCGCATCTCTTCGCCGAAGCTCGTGCAGTACTCGGACGCGAACATTGGGCCGTACTACGGCAAGGCAATGCCTGCGACGGTCGCTGAGTACGGTGGCCAGGTACGTTCCCCCTCGCCAACCAATCACACCTCGGGGACGTCGCTGATGCTGTCTGGGGCGGAGTAGATGATCGCCCGTGTCGCCTTCGCAAATACACGATGCAAGGCTGAGCGGGCGCGCCGCGAGCTCGGGTGGGCGCCCACGCACACAACCAAGGACATGCTCGCGGGTCTGCCGCACGAGGTGGAAGTCATCCTCAAGAAGCTTGATGCGGAGAAGAGTGCATGACTCAGGAAATGGGCTTGGATCGAACGTGCAGGTACGATTGCAACTCAACAAGACGATTGATATTGGACTAGGATGTTTGAATACCAAGAGTTGCAAACCTTGTTTGCCCACTATGGATCCCTTCTCGCATTCTGCTTCCGCACCGACCGCAAACCTTGAGCTTCTACCGCGCTCGCCTTTAACAGCCACCCTTGTACATACCCGTACAGTGTAAGGCGTTCGCAAACTAAGACCGGCGCAGGTGCGGCTGGCGCTAGAAAGTCCTGGCTGGACCTCACGCCGACGGAAATAGCACATTATAAGGAGGTACCTGCGCAACCGGAGGAGTCAGGCGGGTAAGATTGATAGATTCGCGACAGCACAGTACCGATGACAGAATCATACGCAGAGAGTTCTGGTGCTTCGTAAGCTCATCTCAAGGAGGAACGCGGTATATAAACGCGGCGATGGGTGCACTACGGACTAAAACTACACCCCGTGGCGGTCGATACTCACAAACGCAAAGATCTCACATCTGCAACTACGTAGTACCATGTCAACCAATAAGTTAACCATCTTCATCACCGGTGCTACAGGTAAATAGTAACCTTGTATCAACGAGCATCGAGCTAATTTGATACCTCATTCCAGGATATATTGGAGGGTCTGTATTGCAGGGCCTTCTTGACCATCCGAAACAAACCACCTTCGAGATTACGGCCCTGGTCCGCGACCCAGTCAAAGCAAAACGCTTCGAGGAAGAGTTCGGCGTGAAGACCACAGTGGGGTCCTTGCAGGACCTCGACAAGCTCTCCGCCCTCGTTAAAGAGGCGCATGTTGTCATTAACGCGGTACGCAGCATGGACAAATGAGAAAGCTGCATCAACTCACTAGCTGGCGTGCTCCAGGCGGACAACAACGACGTGAACGCTATGAACGCCATTCTGAGCGGTCTCAAGGCGCGACACGACAAGACGGGGGACGTGCCCATCCTCATCCACACCGTAAGCCCCTTCCCCACCCCAATACACCCCACCTCACATCCAATCCACCCAGTCCGGAGGAGGTGCGCTCCTCGACGACGCGCGCGGCGCACACGCCTCCGCACCCATCTACTCCGACCTCGACCTGGCCCCACTCGACGCGCTCCCGCCCACCGCCTTTAACCGCGCCGTCGACCACGCCGTCAACGCTGCCGACGCCGCCGGGTACGCGCGCACGTACATCGTCTCCCCGTCCCTCATCTATGGGGCCGCGTCCGGGCCCCTGGTGAAGGCGGGACTCGCGAACGCACACAATGTCGCGGTAGGGCTGATCGTGCGGAGCGCGCTGCAAAATGGGGAGGTTGCGGTGCTGGGCGCGGGTATGTCCGTGTGGGCGAATGTGCATATTGATGACGGTGCGTTTCAAACTATGACTTCCCGCTCATTAAGGGGGCACTGCTGACGATTAGTGCAGCGGCGGACCTGTATATCCGGCTGTTCGACGCACTCCTCAACAACCCGGAGAGCGTCTCGCACGGGCGCGACGGCTACTTCTTCGTGGAGAACGGCGAGCTTAGCATGAGTGCAGTTCTGACGGCCGTGGCGGACGCGCTGTCCGCGCTCGGGCGCATCCCGTCGCGCTCGCTCGTGGCGTGCTCCGAGCAGGAGATGGGCGCATACTATGGCAGCCCGGTGCGTGCTTATACTCGGGTATGAGAAGGTTGTGAGACTGACAAGCGCACGTAGATCTTCGTCAAAATCCTGTTCGGAAACTCGCGGTGCAAGGCGGAGCGGGCGCGGCGGGAGCTGGGGTGGGCGCCGAAGCACCCTGCACAGGACTTCGTGGATGGTCTGCGGGCCGAGGTGGAAAGTCTGGTTCAAGAGGATGAGGCGAGCAAAAGCTCGGGTCGCTTCGAACAAGCTTAACCAGCCATGGCGATGGTGTCGACGTGCATGTCTTACCAATACCGTGCAGAAAGGGCGCCATCATGGCTGTATTATGCATAGTGTAGCTGGCGGTACTAACACTCCACAAATGAGTAGACATGTATCCAAGATACCACACGAGCAAACGACACACACACCGCACACACATGCCGTCTCTACACCAGCCCCCTCCCCGCCATCCGTACCGTGTCAAGTACAGCGCGCACGATCTCCTCCCACACCTGACCCACAACACCCCTCTGCGCCTCCGCGCCCCTCAGCCGCCTCCGCACCGCATCGACCGTCCCACCGTTCGCCGCTCCCCCTGTACCTCCGACTCGTAGTCGGCGTTTGCGCAACCGGAGTACGAATGACACGAGGGGGAGCACAACGAACAGCACGACACACGCAAACGCGCGCGCACGCGACATACCCTGCAGCAGGCCGTGCGCCGATGCGCGCAGCAGCGCCAGCGTCGAGGGCGCACGTGCGGTGCTCCCTGAAGCAGTCCCAGGTTCGCGGAATACCGCCGACGGCGGCGGAATCGAGACCGATGCGGATGAGCTGGACGATGTTGGCCCTGTTGTCCCCGCGGAACGCGAGCGCGAGCCAGCTTGTCTGCTCGCAAGACGCGCGCGCGCCGGGCGTGTCGCTTTTGCGCGCTCGCGTGACGCTGACGCAGGAGTTATGGTGCGCTCGGTCGCCGCGCTCGCGACACTTTGTGACGACGCCGAGTGTGTTGAGCGACGCTCGCTCGCGTGCTCTTGCGGCTTTGGGGTGGAAGACTGCGAAGGGGTGAACGGGGTGACGGCGCGTGGAGTCGCGGTGCGCGCGGATGAGGAAGACGCGTATGAGTAAGCATCGGACGGTGTAGGCGATGCGGAACGTGAGGACGATGCGGACGAGGACGGGGATGGGACTGCAGGGGCTGCAGCTTGTGCGCGCGCGTCCGCGGCTGCCTCGGCGCGCAGTTGGCGGAGAGATGCGGTATATTGCTGTGGCGGTGGCGTTAGTATTCAGCGTGGGACCACGTAAAATGGAGAATTCGCAATGAGAGTAGCCACAGCAGCAGAAAATGCAGCTAGAGTCGCGTGTCATGTTGGTCAAAACAGGTGTACTCAGCGCCCTGCGCCCACAGTAGCCTCGTGTCACCCCCAGCACAGCCCGTAAAGAATTGGTGGAGTTGGTGCCGGCCAGTGCGAGATGCAAGCAATGCGAAAGTCAAAGCCATAAGGGAGTGTGAACATACCTGGCGGACATCATGAGGAAGTTCCCTCTCATACGCCAAGAAGTCTTCTGCGTAATCCCAGTCCTGCAGACGTGGTAGAACATGTAGACAGTACAGCTCGATGACTTTGGCGTAGCCCTTCGGGTCTTCGGGGACATCTTCCTGACCGTGTTTCGCCAACCAATCTTCGATGACGTTTCGTCCAACATCAATGCAGTCTAGCTTGAGGCTGGCCAAAACGAGCGTGATGAGGATTTGGGAGGGCAAGAAAGCAGAAGATGGCTTCTGGGGAGATTCCGCAGGCGTGAAGAGAAGCAGGGAGCGGTTGTGCAGAGCGGCGATAAACGGCTCAGGAGAGAGCATGAAGTTCGTGCGGAGAGCCGATGGCAGGCTCTCCGGATCCTGCGCGGCGGGTGGAGAGGAGTAGAGGGTGGTCTCGAAGGTGACCCGGAGGATGTCCCATTTGCGACGTTGAGACGCAAGCGCATCGTTCACGGACACGACAGAGGCCGGCGAGCTCAGGATAGAGAAAGCTGAGGATAGTAAGGAGTGTGTGAGTGCGACATCGCGCTGTAGGAACGCACGAGCGGCGCGGGGATAGAGCGAGCGGAGGGTGGCTGCAGTGGAGGACGAGGAGGAGGAGTGAAGGGTGGTGGAAGCCTTGAGGGCGAGGACGGAGGAGGGCGCGGTGGTGGTTGCGGTCGCAGTAGGCATCCCGGGCACACAGCTCGACGCAGCCCGTCGCGTTGGAATAGACTGGTTATGGGCGTAGTGGTAGTCGCAGTGAAGGAGGCTACCCCGGACCCCAGTGGCCCAGATCGAGTCGCCTACTCCGGCTACCGCGCTCCGCGCCAACCGGATTTCAGACGCTTCGCCGAATCGGCGCTTGTTGCCACAACTTGTCCACAACCTTCGTTCTTGCAGCCATCTCTCTCCCGATCAACGACGACAACATATTCTTCACCTCTTCTGGGCCGACTGCGGGCCTAAGGGCAACGTTTCCACTCGCTAAGATTGTGAATTTTGTCAAGGTACCCGCAGCAAGCATAAGAACCACGGGACTAACCGCTGCTGGCTAGCTCGTGCTTTTGCACGTCAGCAAGTCGAGCATATCAGGCACAATACATGCAATGGAAAGTGTAACACGACGGCTCGGAGAGAAGAGAGAGTTCCTGGACAATTTTTTCCGCCGGCTTGGGGTGCCGTTCGTTGAGTTGCACCTCACCGACGTATGAGTGGATCCTACGATGAGGTCATACTCTCGTCGTTCTCCCTAGCAGTTGGCCAGGGTATATACTTATATCCCTCCTTGCCCAATTGGTAAACTCAAAAACACCTTGAGCCCTCCCCCCCTGCACGACTCGTTAACGACTCGAAATGGCTATGCTCCTGCAGGTCTGCTCTTCATTCCATCCACCTCTCTTCGCACGTTGCACACGTACTCACGCGTTTCTAGATGACCACCTTTCTCCAGCAATACCTCTATGAGAAGGGTCATGAGCGACCCAAAGCCCCCAGTGCCTTGCGCATCGGCGTTCTCTCAACAGCCATGATCAATGCCGCTGCCATTCTCAGGCCCGCGCTCAGCCACGGCGACGTCCTGATATCTGCGATTGCGTCACGCAACTTGAAGCAAGCGCAGGATGACGCGGCGAAGTACGGCATTCCCAAAGCTTACGGCTCCTATGACGAGCTTCTCAACGAACCTGGCATCGATGCGGTCTACATCTCGCTCCCAAACGGCCTGCATGGCAGTGAGTACCCAACGATCAAGCCCATACGCGTCACTGGTCGTTTATGCCCATCGCAGAATGGGCTAAGAAGGCTCTACATGCGGGAAAGCACGTCCTACTCGAGAAACCGTTTACCGCCAACGCCGATGAGGCACGTGAAATCACGAAGCTCGCACAAGAGAAGAACCTCGTCCTCCTCGAGGCCTTCCACTGGCAGTTCCATGTCCGTTACTTGTACTTCTTTTTATCACCCCTTCGACTACTCACCCCATACGCCTTCAGCCTGCCGCGCATGCCGTGAAAGCCCTCCTCGACAGCGGCGAATACGGCTCCATCCTGCACACACGCGCGCGCATGACCTCCCCAAAAGGCTCGATCCCGCGCTCCGACATCCGCTGGTCGTACCCGCTCGCAGGCGGCTCCCTCATGGACATGACCTACGTCGTCTCCGCCACGCGCTACTTCCTCGGGACGGGCGCCCCGCGCGAGGTCGTCGCCGCGCCGGCGCGCCCCGCGCGTGAGGACCCGCGCGTCGACGAGGCGATGCACGCGACGCTGCGGTACGACGTTGGGGGGCGCATGGTCGAGGGCGGGATCTACAGCGACATGGACCGCGCGAATCTGTTTGGCATCGTACCCCGCGCGTGGGAGATGCCGAGCATCGAGATCGAGACTGAGCACGCTACGATCTACTTCTACAAGTGCGCCCACCTGTCCTTACCTCGCTCTTGTAAGGCACAACTGACTGCCGTCTCTGCAGCTTCATGATGCCGCACCTGTACCACTACATCCAGATCTACGACAAAGGCACGGGCGCGACGCACACGGAGAAGCACTACTCTGGGGGCCCGCTCTGGGGCGCGCGCGGCGAGGCGTGGTGGAGCACGTACCGGTACCAGCTCGAGGCGTTCGTGGACAAGGTGCGCGGGCGCGAGCCGGTGCACTGGGTCACGCTCGAGAGCAGCGTCGCGCAGATGGAGACGATCGACGCGATTTATGAGAAGGCGGGGTTGGGGAAGAGGCAGCCGACGCCTGAGTGATGAATTTAAGGTGCGTAGCCAGAGAGTGCATGGACATAGGCTATCTTTGAACGTTGAACAGTGGACTGGATGTGCGTGTAGTACACACCGGGTGCAAATGCCCATGTTTCAAGACGACCTACTTGTGCTACGCAGTGGTGATTCGCAGGTGCGCGTGTAGCTAGCTGGGAATACGACTCGGCACATTCTGGGGGGCTAGAGCGCATGGGTTTCCTTCTCGAGTGTGACCCCCTAGATGGTAGTATTTCAGCGAATGCGCTTAATGTACGGTCAGCGGTGACGCATCAAGGTGGAGATGGATAAAGGAGCGAAGGGCAGGAGGCGATACCAGTCTTTCCCGCGACCCGGTCCAGAGCCGAGCGCTCATAGCGTGACAGTATAATAACGGAACGCGTCGCTACGCGTTCAGACGCGTCCTGCCAACGCGTCGCAGTCGTGTCGCTTTCCTTCTACTCACATCACCCGCCGTATACATGCCGGAGCTCGACATCTTGCATGGTTTTGAGTACCTCACTAGGCAACTGACAACGAAATGGGGAAAATATTATGGAAAACCGCTCGAAGGTGAGAGCGCACTGCCCTAGTAGTACACTGACATCTGTCTTCTAAGGAATTGTGCTTTACAGCTAGACTTGTTTTATACCCTCGCGTCTTCCCTGCCGGAACTGCTAGCAAGGACCACGTCACCTGCACTGTGGACCGAGCCTCCGAATTCGACTATGACCCTGCACTAGAGCCTGCTCCGATAGATTATATCCCGGACCCACACGACCTCGCAAAATCTGAAGGCGAGGACTTCGCTCGCTACATCAAGCCTCTTGGCACCGGAGAACTAATCGTTGAGGCCAGAGGAAACGAGATCGTGTTCGCCGCGGGCCGGGTGAGTGCCTTGATGTTCAACCATTAAACCATTCCGTGTGGCCTATACTCACGCCATCTCTGGATGAGCAGCATGCCATTCGAGTCGATTTTGGACTCGAGGGGAACATGGCTATCTTGAACACTGCAGACTATCAGAAGATCGTAGCTCAAGACTGCCCCAGTGACGACGCGGACAAGACTAACGCTGCACCAATGCGCAGTTTCATCGTTCCGCCGGAGCTTACTGTGCCCGACGCGAGTAGCAAACAACAGACCCTCGCCATATTTGCGGCGGTTGTAGGTATCGACCACACACTCATCATGGCCGACCATACCCGCCAACTACGCATGCATGTCATGAGCCTGTCACGGTCTTGGACGCAAGCAGACCTCACGCCCGGTTCCCAGGCGAGTGCATTATCTATGGGACTTGATATCAAGTCCCTAACTTACTCCGTTCTACCGTGTCTCCAAACAGCTCTGGGCGAAGCTTTGGTCGGCTAAGCACGGTCCTGATTGGATCCACGAGCCTGCTGAGGCACAAGAAGCCCTAGACCGCTGGCGTGACCGCATGCTGTCCGCCCGTGAACCTGTAGCACCAGCGCTGGAACCTTCACTTATCGACGCGATGTGTGACACGCAAGGGGCGTTCAGCGGTATCGGCCCGCACATTGCTCAAGACCTCTGTCATGAGCTCGCCATCTGTCCCTCCATCCCTCCAGCCGTGTTATGCGCCGACAAAGAGATGTACGCCACACTCAGGGACGGGATCCCAGTGTACGTCTCGCAGTTCACTTCAGCACAGTACCGGACACGATGCCTTTCAATGCCTAACGTGAACTCTCCCCTGGCGTACAACTACAAGAGCGCCACCAATTACCTCAACCAATATCTGAAGGTATATTGCAAGAGTAGCGTACGCATGGCAAGAGATCATTATAACAATTTCGCGCGTCGGGGTCTATTTGACCCTGCGCACACGATAGGCAAGTTCCTTCGGCGAAGTGTATATTGTTGCTCACACCGTGCGGCACTAGGAGCCCCGTACGTGCCCGCCGAAGACCAGCTAATCGACCGTGAAAACGCGAATGTTCCCGTATACCAGTACAGTCTAAAGTCCGGTGACCCCATTCACACCGTCATCGTTGCACGGCAACCGGAGAATTGGCCGTACAGTAGGGCAAAGCGAGTAGGTCGATAGCAACTGTTTGCATCAGCATGCATACTCACGTTAATCATCTAGGTCATGGCCAAGGATGTTCGTGAGGAGGGTTTTGCGATGACCATTGGCCCCGCGTCGTTCCATATGTTTAAGCAAAACCAGCACGATCCGCAAGCAAAAGGAAAGCCAGGGCGCAAAGCAATTGTGGGTGCAGTCTCCCTTGTCATACTAGTTTAGTCTCTGACTGCCTTTTAGGTACGCACCGGGAAGCGCGGCCGCCCAGCTCGCGCAACACCCAAGATCGGGTATCTACGGAAGCGCATTGCAAGCAGCCACGCATCATCTGAGAGGGCTTCTAGCGAAGCGGCAAGCTCGGAGGGTGCCGCTGAAGAACAGCAACATACCGCTCAAGATGTGGAGCCGCCTCGCAAGCGTCGTCGAACCGCTCGCACCAGCGGTGTGTTGCCCGCTGATCGAGTTACTCGCTCGCGGAGTTAGTTGCATCTACTGTGAAAGGGGAGCCACCGCCATTCTGAACGTGAGCAGCCTGCCTTCTCCCTTCTCTTACAGTAGGCCTCCTAAAAAGACTTCTTACACCCTTTCTTGCAGTATCCAAGCTCTGATCGTGTCCGGTGTGGACAGTTTAGCACAATGTGTACACGAGCACAAGATAGCGCGGTCATTCACCCTCGCCGTTTCCCACGAGTTTCCGGACTGTGGCTGACCAGCGCACTGCTTAGCTGCATGAAGGAGCACTGGGTGGGGGACAAGGAGCTGCGGGGGGTGACCGGGGATGTTCATAGTCTACGGAGCGGGCGGGGTACGTGTTGTGATCTTGAACGTCCTGGTACGTCTGTTGCACTCGTGTGCCGGAGATACCAGAGGCTGCTGCAGCTGGCGAGCTGTTTGTAATGATGATCTGCTATTCTTCCTTGGCGCACTGGCGTGGTGCGTGAACCCTCCTTTCTCCACCTTTCCGGGCGACTCGAGGGCTCTGAGGAGATGCACGCCCCTAGCCTTTCGCGGACTGGGATTGATACCCAGGTACACCGCGCGTGGAGAGTATACGACCCTTACAAGTCTTTTTGCACGCCTTGTCACTTCGAACTTCTTCCACGTACCAGTACGTCTTCTGACGCAATGTCTCTAGCGAGCATTTCACCACGGACACCGCAAATCCAGGAGAATGTTCTGCTGACATCTTACAAAGCTCTCTTCCAGACCTCGCGTCTCACGATACCGCCAAGGAACGGCGTATGATCTCATAATACAAGCTGATCGGAGAATGCTCGGGAAGGTGTACGAAAACCACGCCTTATCCTCCCATCGTCGTCGAACTTTATCTCCACTTCCGAGAGAAGCCACGCTATGAAACAGCATCGCAACCGTCGTTGTGTCTCTATTCACCGAACGCCTCGTCGGACTGGGGTTTCACGAACACCTTCACATTTCTACCGCAACTGCTACCACACGCCTGTTAAGACTACGGGCAGCATATGAAGATCGCTGTCACAGGCTGCAACGGTTTTGTCGGGACGCGCGTCGTGCTCGCCGCGCTCGCGCAGGGGCACGTCGTGCATGGAATCGACACCGTACCCTGTTCCGAACCACTCGCCGGGCGGCTGCTCCACGAGCCCCAAGACGGCGCCCAGCCGAAGTTCAAGTTCCAGCGCGTCGACCTCCTGGACTTCGACGCGACGCTCGCCGCGCTCGAAGGTGCAGACGCCGTCGTGCAGCTCGCGGGGGTGCGCACACCCACGGACTACAAGGTCATCACGCACAACACGTAGGTGTCCTCCAGTCAGCGAAGGCAGGGACGCCAACACTAACCAGGGTGCGCGTCGCAGTAATGTCGTGATCTCGTGGAACGTCCTCCGCGCGGCCGCCGAGCTCGGCATCACCCGCGTCGCGCAGGCGTCCTCGGTGAACGTCATCGCGCTCGCCTGGACGGACCACCACGACTTTGACTACTTTCCGCTCGACGAGGACCATCCGTGCCGCCCCGACGAGCCGTACGGCCTCTCGAAAGTGTACGTCGCGTTCCGGCGCCGCGCGTCCTCCGTCCGTGCTGACCTGCACCACCCGTAGCATCTGCGAGCTCCAGGCGGACACGATAGTGCGTCGATACCCATCCATGCGCGTGGCGAGCCTGCGTTTGAGCTGGTCGCTGCCGACGCGCGAGGATGCGCTGCGCGATGACCCCCGGCGGCGGAAAAGCGACCTCTGGGGGTACGTGCAGGAGGACTCTGCCGCGGAGGCGTTTCTGCTCGCCGTCACGGGCGAGAATGAGCGATGGAAGGGGCATGAGGCATTCTTCATCGTCGCCCCAGACACGTCGGCGAACGAGGACTCAGAGGAGCTGTGGCAGACGTATTGGCGGGACGTGCCGTTGAAGGAGGGGAAGGACCTGCGCGGGCACAAGGGGTTCTTTGACTGTTCGAAGGCGGAGAGGTTGTTGGGCTGGGTACATAGATGAGAGCAATCCGGGGGAGTAGGGGGGAAGTTCCCGTTAGGAGGGATGAAGGAACGTTTGCAGCTACAACAATGGTGTTAGAAGCTGTTCAAAGGTACTGGACTGCGTGCTTACATATTCATCATAGTGATGTAGGACCTCTCGAAGATGTTTGCGTTGAATCTCTGCGCGATACAGGATTTCATCGTCGGAGCACTTGCCATCGAAGTACTGATGAATGCTACAGCGCACTCGTCAGCCTTCCTTGATCAAGTTTCTCGAGTATAGCCACCTACCGCTCAAACCGAGCAGCGATATGCGGGTCTTTGCCCTCGCACATCGCAGCCAGCCACCGCCTCTCCAGAGGAGTGGCGCGGGCAGGATCACTGATCATGGACGGGATACTGTCGCTCCCGCCGGTCTCGAAGTACTCCGTCCATTTCCCCTCGTCCGCGCTGCTTGATAGGAGATCCTCGTCGAAGTCGTCTGGCTTCTCCTCATTCTCTTTCTCCTTTCCAGCTCGCTCCTCAGAAGAACTGCCAAGTGGTTCTGGAGACCTCTGCCTCGCCTGCTTGCGCGCCGTCTTCGGGGAAAGAGACACCCAGTACTCGACAGGACTCGACTCCGTGACCGTCTCCAGCCCCGGACCTGTCTTCTCGCTCGAAGCTCCCCCACGCGGGCCGTCGTAGCTCGCGCCCCGGGAGCGCTCTCGCCCACGTGTGATGCTTCGCGCCCGAGACCGGGACCGCCTGTGCGCGCGACGCTCCTCCCACTGCTCCCGAACGCGCCTCTTCAGCTGCTCCGTGGCGATGATGCGGATGCGCAGGTGCAGACGGATCAGGAGGTCGCGTTTAAGCATCCAGAGCACGACGCTGTTGTACACTGGGATGAGGTCTTTCGAGCCAACGACCGTTGCGTAGAAGTGATTTGCAGTTTGTTTGTGTGTCGCGGTGGATATCATAGCGAGGAGCTTGGGCAGCGGCGGCACATCGGTGTGAGCGAAAGTGCGCGCGAATTCGGCGGCTAGCGTAGCCAACCTGCGGAATGCGTGAGCATAAATGTGGTGAAAGTTGCAAGGGCACTAACGGCGCAGGGAATTTCTGTGGCACGGAGAACACTGTCTTCAAGCCGAGATGCACGACGTCGACTATCTTCACCCTACGGTGGAGAACTAGCCAGCGCACGGCAGGGTACACCTGCGACTCGAGATGCCAATCGAGCAAGCTCGCCATCTCTGCAAGACTGAGGGATACCGAGGCGAGGTCCAAGAACCTGATGAGCTGCTCCGCCAACTCCCTCTCCTCGGGATTCAGCTGCGCGGCGCGGAGTTGCATGTTGAGCTGGTACCCCTGCTCTTCCTCGTCATCCAGCCGGATCAGCGCTTTCCAAGGGGTAAGCGCAGGCAGCCTCCACGCAAAGCTCATCTCTGGGCCCCACGCATTCGGCTCGCAGTCCTCGTCCTCCTGCTCTTCTTCGGGCTCCACTTCCTCGTCGGCGTGGAGGAGCGCGTCCAGGTAGGGCGGAAGCTGCAGTTCTAGGGGAAGTTCGTTGATTGTCACGCGAGCGATGGAGTTTGCTTTGATAGCATCGTAGAGCGTCCTCATTACGGGGGCGATTGTGGACACCTTGAGAGCTTCATACATGAAGTCCGCGAATGATTCCCCTAAAAATAGGTTAGTAAATTCGGCCTAGGGTAGAATAACATAGGACACATACCTCTGTTAGCGAAGTCCTCTCTCAGCGACCCTAGCATCTCCGACTGCGCCTCCACATAGCGGCTCAGCACCTGCTCCTGATACAGTACCGCAGTCACGTTGAACGCAACCTGCTCATACACCGTATCAAAATATTTCGCAATGTTCCCCGACGCAGACGAGCTCGGGTCCGGCAAGTCCAGCACGACCACGAAGTGGAACGTCTGCATCACTGCGTCCCCCGCCTCCGCCTGCACCTGCGCCTCCCGCGCATACGCCCCCGCCTCCGCCGCCCGCTCTGGGGTAAGCAGCCGCTCCTCCTCCTGCGGCGACTGCCCCTTCTTCGAGCCGCGCCCGCGCGCGGCCGCCCGCGGCGCCTTCTCCGCCTGGAACCGCCAGCTGCCGTCCGCGTCCGCGCACACGGGGTGCCCGACGAACGCGAGGTCGTCCACGATCAGCTCGAACTTCTGGTGGCACATCGAGCGCTGCGGGCACAGGATCTGCGCGAGGAACTCGCCCGAGTACCCGAGCAGCGTCCCGTACTCGTCCGCGCCCCCGCCTCCGCCTCCGCCGGCTGCGTCGCGCCGCGGGCTCGCGGTGGAGGCGCCGCGCATGCCGTCGAGGTCGTGCGTGTCCTTGGGCTCTTTTGAGGGCGAGGTGCGCCGGGAGGTGGGGTGTGAGGATGGCTGCGTGAAGGAGACGGACCTGTCGCGTCGGAGACGGGGGCGCTGCCAGTAGTACTCCGTGTCATCGTCCACCGCGAGCCGGGGGAGTGTGGGCTGGGAGCCGTCCGCGGCGTTATCTGGGCTGTTTGCTGCGCGCCATGGATTGTCAGCGAGCGCACCCGGAAAGTCGTTCGCGGGCAGAGGCCGCGCGAGGCGGGGCACAGTCGTAGGTGAGGGCGGCCAATGATACACTAGATTAGAGCCCTTTGCGGAAGAGGTGACGAGAAGGATGCATAGCAAGGTCTCGCTCATGTCGAATGGTCCAAGGTCATTCGCGAAAAATTGGCGACGTGGTGGTCGATAACAGAGGTGCGGCTCATTGCGCGTCTCTCGCATCGCGCGACGACGCCCGCCGCCCCGGCGCGCGTTGGCGTGGGCGTTGCTTCAACCTCTTCACAGTCGAAGCTGAATGACAATACTTGTACAATAGACGCTATATCGTAGAAGCTACATAGGAATGGAGGTCCGCGTATAAGTCCTGAATTCAAACCATGTCCAGAGGCAGGGGGCCGACATCATCCACCGCGCCGACACCTTCAAGCTCACGCCCGTTCAACACAACGCCCCCATCCCATCGCTACTCCTCACCCGCCCAGCATCCACGCCCGCCCCCGCGCTCTTAGCAACACCCTCCTTCCACCGCGCGACCCACTCCACGACGCCCCGCGCCATCTCCGCGCCCTCCTGCCTGCGCGTCCCCGTCTCGCCCGCGCGCCGCTTCGCCGCCTTCCTCGCGCGGCCCGCTTTCCACGCCGCGTCGACCGCGTCGGCCCACTCGCCCTGCTCATACTGCGCGCGCGCGAGCTCGCGTCCGACGCCTGCGTGTGACAGGAAGAGGCGCAGCCCGTGCTCCTCGATGAAGAGCGGCCGCGGGACGTACACGAACGGCGTGCACGCGTCGACGCATTCCGAGACGGTGCCGTATCCCTGTTGCGAATGGTTAAACACGCGGGGGCAAGATGTGAGGGAGAGGCGCATACCAATTTACCGAGCAGGACGTCCGCAACAGCGGTCAAGTCCGGCATGTACACGTCCCGCGGCGCGACGAAGAAGTTCTCCGGGAGCTCCTCCCCGTCCTCCCGCCCCCAATCCTTCGACACCCCGCATACGATCGCAATCCACGACGCGTCGGGAAGGATCCGTGGTTCAGCCTCAGCCTCGAGCGCTGACATGTCCGACCTTAGCGTGCCTGCTCCCGCAATGCCCCAGCTGTAGTCTGGGGAATCAGACCCATTGAGCAGGAGCGGAGTCGGCGGGATGGTCACGAAGGCAGGCATCTGCGAAGAGATGCGCGGCGACGTGGGCGCGGGCACCGCGGCGGGCGGCGCGCCCGCTAGTCGCAACTGCGAGTGGCCGCGCGGGCGTGTGTGCACATGGTCGGGGTCGAGCGTGAGGTGTGCGGGGAGGGCACGGAGAGGATTCTGCTCCTGTATGCCGTTCGGCGGCGGCTCGGAGCGACTCAGAGCGGCATTCTTCAGCGCATCGCTGAGCGCCTGCGCATGCTGTCCCGAGTCGACCACCGCATCCTGCGTGTCCGCGAGAGGCGGGGGATGATCCGCAGGCTGCATAGATCCGTCTGGAGACCGTTGAAAGCCCGGGAGTACACCGTTAGGTGTTGCGGACTTCGACGGGGTGCGACTGTGCGACCGGCTGTGCGGCTTGTGGAAGACTTGCCCGCCGAAGGAGACGATGAGGATCTTGGTCTGCTCGGGGTCGTGTAGGTGCGGAGATACGCCGATCGAGGTGAGTAGTCTACTTCGGCCCTCCGGCGTGTATACCTCGGGGTCCGTAGAGCGCACCAACAACGGCGCGTTGCGGACTTCGCGAGGGAGCGGCTTGGGTGGGTATGAAGGTGGGAACGGGATTTGCGGCTGCAGCTCGTACGTCGAGGGCGATTGGGTGAGGTGCTCAACAACGAACGGCTTGAATGCGCGGGCTTTGATGTCGATCCAGTCCTGGGAAGGGAGACCTGGCTGCAGGGCGAACGAAGGCAGGGGTATCGTTCCGGGGAGTCGGAGGAGTAGGTCTGCACAACGGTAGCCATCATGGATCTGTTTGACTAATGGGGCCAGCTCGGCAAGAGGAATGGGGACGTCTGGTTCGAGCTCTTCCTGCGGCTTGGCGTGTGGTTGCAGGGCGTCCAGAGTGATGTCAGGCGCTGGTACTTCGTCGATGAAGGGTGTAGACAGATAGCTATACACTGAGTCGAATGAGAAGTTGGTGATCAAAACAGAAGGAATGCCAGCGTCATTGGCGGCAAGGCTTTATGGTAGAACGTTACACACGAGCGTATGAGTTTGCATATAGCACATACCAGCCGAGGAAAGCAGCGTCGCTCAAGACGCAGTCGGCTTTGATGGACCGGAGCCATTGCGACTCTTCGGCGACCTTGTAGTCTTTTTCCGTGAGGAACTTCTCCAGTACTTTTACACTCTTCTGCCGGTCTACACGGTATCTATGAGCTCGTTAGGGCGCACTATCACACGCGACGCAAACCGCGTCAACTCACGCAAGCGGCTGCACAATTACAGGATCTATGTTTGCGTTTCGATACAATGCTAGCCGATGGTAGTGTCAGATACGTCGAACGGAAAACCAATAAGCAACGACATACCTCCTAGGGCTACACTGTCAGAGAATACATGTTTTGGAGCAGAAGATACAATATGGATGATAGGCTTCGGTTCAAGGCGTAACAAGTGGGATGCAAAGGCAGAAACGCGGGTGGCATGTCCGTAGCCTACAAGTACGAAGGTCAGGCACAGGAGCTGCACGCTCGGACAGAAAGCACTGCTCACCATGGCCCGAGCAGTAATACACGAAAATCAGTCTACTGGGGTCGTTCGCCATGAGGGATGAAGGCAGCGGGCTTGACTCTTCTTGGCACGCTTATAAGAATGGTAGGACGTGGGCAAGGGTTGTCCTGCTTACGGTGAGCGGCAAACGGATATGAAGACGGAGATCGCAGAGGAAGTGACGACATGCACAGAGCTGCACAGAGATGCACAGACTCCAAAAGATGAGCGATCGTCGGGCGAGGAGCAGGTCGACGGATTCCTATGCGCGCTGATAGGAAGAGATGCTTCCAGGTATAAACGAGGGTGCAGGAGGAGACATGGGTCAAGTCGGAGGTCTGCGTCTGTCCATCTGGCGGTCGAGGTCGCGCAAAGCAAACCGTCCGAAGACTGGCCGAACGAGGGCGGCCGTCTGTACATGATCGAGCATGCCAAGGAAGATCGTCAGCTGCCGGATGCGGGGTCGAGGACGCGCGAGCCAATCAGGCACCGAGGCGCGTCGCGGTCACGTTCAGACGCGTCAGTGGCTGCATCTCATCCACCACTCGGGCTCTGCACACGACCGCGTCCTCCTCCGCGGATGACGCGTGACGTCGCGACGCGTCACTCACCCGATCCGCCGCTGGGAGAGCAGCATCCCCACTCGCGTTCGCGAGCGTCCCCCCGCTCTGCCTCTGCTCCCACTTCGAAGACCTGTCCGACCTGTCCGCCCAAGTCCGCCGGCCGCCGTCCATTCTGCGCGTCTACGCTCAGCAGGACCGCCTGTCCGAGCGGCGCAAGCAGACTGCGCGGTCCGAGGATGCGGGCGGGCGGGGCGCGGGGTCCGGGCGAGAGGCTGAGGAAATAATGCGTAAGTATGGGAGAGCACTAGGCAGTGGTAGGAGAGTACTAGGCAGTGGTAGGAGAGTACTAGGCAGTGGTAGGAGAGTACTAGGCAGTGGTAGGAGAGTATTAGGAGGTGGTACACGGTGGTAGGAGAGTAGTAGGACGGCGAGGACGGTGGGGGACTCGGGAGGCAGCGAGCAGGAGACAGGGTCACTGTACATAGCATAGATATGTTCTGAAACGCATATATGCCCATGTCTCCAACATCCGAGTCCGCGCGGGCGTGAGGGAGCCGTTGAGCACGGGGGAGTGCCGGGCGGTGGCTGAGGCGCAGGGCGTAAAGACGGCGCGCGGGGGCGCAGCGTAAACATGAACATAAAACAGATATAATCCGCAACAGGTACATGGTCTACGTAGATATGCGACTCTGCGCGAGCTCGCGAACGCGGCGTAGGATGTGTAAATTGGGGCTCCTCCAAATAGACGCCCACGCAGATCTGTCCTGCGCGAGCTCGAAACGACCCTCGCACTGCACCGCGTGGTTACCTTACTTGTCAGTCCTGTAGGAGAATACGAGCGCCGCCGCCTCGAGTGCGAAAGTGTGTGTACCGCCTGAGCTAAGCACACGATCGCGAGCGCAAAGGGCGAACCACGGGTCGAGGCCGCCAAGATTCGCCGCCTAGAGTCAAATGAGCACGGCAGCGAACAGACCGCGAGGCGTACCCCGACTGTTATCGCGAGTACCATAGCGAGAGGGACCGCGGCGCCTCCGTGTCCAGATGCGGATGCGGAGCGCATCGCGAGCGACCGTCAGAGCCTGCCGGTCTGGCCGCAGCGCGCACTCTCCAGTCTGCCCGTCCTCCGGCCAGGCTCGTGGTCACGGACTCAGTCAGCGCTGTCGTGGCAAGTGGGCCATGGCGCACTCGCTGCCGCCTGATCTCCCCGGCGTGCTCGCCGACTCGTCGGAGCACAGCCGTGGGGCTCTGATCTGTATACGGGCATAGAGCGTGGCGGAGGCGCTGTCGTCGCCCTCTCACAGCGACGCCGGCATGCTCGCGCGCCATGCTGACGGCAGCCAAAAAGGCGTGCACTGGCACCGCAAGCTGAGCCGCAAGTCTCTCGTGCCCCGCGCCGCGCCGCTGCCGCCGCACCGGATGGTGGCTGGACGCGACGCCTGCACCAATATACGACTGTGCACTCACCTACGGCTTCCTTCGTTGCATTGCCGCCTTGACGCGTATGCCGTGCATGCCGAGTTGGAGGGAAAGAATAACGGGGGCGGGACACGGGAGGTCGATAGCGGGCACAACGAGAATGGACAGGGGGCAGTGAGGCGGGAGACGGCGGGGACGAGAGACGGCGCTGGGTGGGCTCAGCGCTAGAGGAAGACGAGTCGGGGGATTTGCGAATCGAGCGTTCCTTTGGCGCACAGTATACCCTATATACCAGGTGTGGTGAGCGCTCCGAATCTACGATCCCGAGGCGGCGCGCTGTCCACCTCGGAATCGGACAGTCCAATTCCATCCCTGCATTCAAGCGAGCAGCCCAGCTGCTCTCGCTGGTGTAGCCGGGCGATCAAACGCCTCCTTCGCGAGCCCCACGCAGCCCTCACACCGTTCATTGCTCGTGTACATGGAGCACACAACAACAGAATATTTGCTTACCGTTCGTTCGAGTCAGACCACGCCATGCGTGCTGGGCTAAAGCTGATCGGCCGCGGAGGTCTGCGTGGCCAACCCGAGGTCTTGAAGTGGTAGCCGTAGCCCCAGAGTGTAGACAAGACATAGAATATCCGAGTACGCCGCCTCGTGTGCATGCACGCGAGTTGGTGTGGCGGCAGGCCCAGTGCGCGGTCGAGGAGCAGAACGAAGGAACGGGCTCAGACGCCCAGATCCCGCAGAGTGGGTGTCCCTGCCGGATTGGGAAGACAAGCTCACGGTAGGCGCCCAACGCGGCCTCATCGAATCCTCCGCCTCGACCTCCTCCTTTCCCACTCACGACGGACGCCTCAGGCAATATCGCTCAAGAAATCTACAAATATGCGGGTATAATGCAAAATGTGCGTACAAGAACGATCATGCGAGTCGCGCTGAACCAAGGCAAACCGGCAGGCTACCTCGAGCCCGACACCGCCGACAAAGCCACCCGGATCCTGTCAGGTCCCGGGAAGCGCACGACTCTACTCGAGCTGCCGTGAGACGCAGAACATGACGAGGCGAATAAGGCACGTACAACTCTCCGCGTGACAGGCCGTGATTTCATGATAGGAACCTCCTTCAACCAGGTTTCCCCGCACTCCGCCACAAACCGCACGAGTGGACGGCCACCGAGGGCGGATCGCTTTATCGAGCGGTAGTGTCGCGCCCGTCCCTCCGGAAAGGTGAATAGACGGGCACCCCAGCAGTGCGCACAAGTTATGTATGTACATGTTTCACGACCTCCCCGTCGTGCAATCAATACCGATATGTTATGGCACCAGAGGCAGGCCAGAGCCCAGCCTTGAACATCTTGCCATGCTCGTAATCACGCACGACTCGCCAACAGACTCTCCTGCAACCTGGCGTCCGAAGTTCCCTGGGCAAAGTCCGGCCGCCGTTGGAATGCGCGGCTCTGGGCCGTGTTCAGTCCGGCCGACCTCCTCCGCTGTCTAGGAAAGCGTGGCGCGTGGCGGGCGCCGTGTCTGCCGCTCGTTTGCGTTACGGCGCGAGGAAACGGAGGCATCGCCGGTACGCGTGCTCCCATTTTCGTCCGCTGCGGTATTTTGAACTCATGTCCCTCGTTCAGGATTTCGCGTGTGTAGTGTGTTTGCTATGGCGAAAGCGACACAGGCGTGGTGTGCGGACACCGGTGGGAACGACTACAGACGACCAGAACGGTCTCGCCACGCTCACCTTCCTGCGCCCGCACGCAGCACCTCCCTCCCCATTTTGGGCCTCCCGGAGACAGCCCCTCGGTGACAAAGGTGCGATCAGCCCGCTATTTACTAGTGCGTCTAGCGGCCTCTCACGCACTCGAGTTGGCAGGTTTCTCCCCGCGTTCGGCGAGGATGCCGTACAGACAAGCAGCATGCAGACGGGTGATCGGAGGTGTCCCGCCTTCGCCATCCCCCTCAGAAGGTCGTGCGCATGGGTGCAACACAATATTATATTGCACGTACGCGGACGTTGGCCACAAGAGGCTCGGTTTCGTCTGAGGAACACTGCTGCGTCGCCCGCGCGACGGACTAGTAAGTACATGCCCGCTCTTGCCTCACGACATGCCATGCTAATCGGTTCGCTACACAGGCTGCACGAAGAAAACTTCACGGATCGCAAGCTACGTATTGATGCGCAATCAATCGCGGCCATGCAGGTGTCACCCCGGCCCATCGTATTGTATCGCGAACAGGCCGCTCGCGTCGAGGAGCTGCGAGGTATGTGGTATGTCGACCCGCTACTCAACCCTCGGCGCTCACGGAACCAACCCAGGCAAGGCCCACGCGATCGTAGTCGCCGATCCCGCCGTTCCACACTCCCGGAACCGGACTGCGAGGCGCGCTAGCTACTCGGGACCGCTGGGAGACGAGCGCTCCGGCACGTCGTTGCGAAGGTCTCCGCTCGGCGACCATACTTGGTCGCGCACATGCATAGATATCGGCTCCGTGTACGCCGTGCGGGGTATCCGGCACCAAGAGAGCGGGTATGCGGTGCACCAAGCGCTGGCTGTTGCGGCGTTCTCCCGCATCGCGAGGGTGACCACGGCGTACGGCGCCCAGGAGGCTCCCGCGTCTTCTGCTCTTCGCCTCCGTCCGGGTGTGGGCGGGTGGCATCGGGCTCGGGGCGCCCGTGGTTGTGGGTCCTCGCCTCGTCCGCTCTGCGGTTCACGTCGCCCGTCGAGACAGCACTCCTCCACATGCGAGTCTATCCGCAATTTCCAGCATCTCAACGACGTCCTAAGAGTGCGTACGTCTCTTAGCATCGACGAGCACGAGGGACGCGCATTTTGTATCCCTCACAGCGCTCTTCGCCTCCGTCGGCGAGGGTCTAGACGGTTGGTACGTCATTTTCCTTCTTCGGGCTCCTTCATTTCCTCCCTTCCTCACCGACGTTCCCCATTTTGCTACAGGCTGCCCCGACGTGGACAGACGAGCACGGATAAATTAGTTACAGCTCCGAGTTCCAGGTCATTATCGCGCGATGCCCGCTCCCGAACACTCGTACTGGGGGGGTTCGCGCTAGTTCTGCCAGCGCCGTATTCCTCGCCGACGCAGGACCTCTCCGGAGTCACGCCAAACTCATGCGCCTCGCCGAGCATGAAGCTTTGCGACACATTGGAGCAAAAGCTCGGAGCGATGGCAATGCACATAGGTCTTCCCGAGGACGGAATCGAGTCAGGGCCGGTGTGCGTCCTCGTGCTGGGGCGGCACCCTCCTCTGCATGCCTCGCAACGCTGTTCGCGTCCGACCACAAAGCACATCAGACGGTATGTCACTCGCCTAGTACTACCTGTTTCCTCTGATTGTCCTCGCCGGTATCCCCGATGTCATACAGGCTTCCGGCCGCGGACGGATGCAATTGACTAGAGGGACGCATGCGCAACAGTAGACACAGGAACAGAAGCCACGAAAAATACTGCTGCGGCAGTGTGGTACAGGTCGCTTGTACGTGCGATTGAAGACAACTAGCCCTGCCCGCCCACCGACTCCCAATCCGGCCTCGAGGTGGACACAGCGGCAACGATGGCATGTCCAAGACGTCCTCGTGCATTCACACGTTGTCCGCTTGGCCAACGCGAGCGCACCACCGCCTGGTGCACGAGACGAGCAGAAGGGCAAGGTATGAGTACGGTGCGAGCAGCATGCCAAACGTTCAGCGACAGACGTGACAATATTGATGTATCTTGTGAGCTTTCGAGGCGCGTTCCATGCGTCTTCGGATCACGGCCTAAAGGCCTAGGCATGTACGATGTCCTCGTTGCGTGTACGAGGCGCGAGCAGGCGCGTACCCACCCGGTGATGATGTGCGAGCGACTGTCCGCTCACACCACCGTCGCCGTCTCCTCGATCCGCACACATTAGCGTGTACCGGGCCCGGTGCGGCTGGACGCACACGCTCATGAGCATATCTTGGCGAAATTACAGGGCAGGTTACTCACGAAGACGGTGTGCGGGGTCTGTGCCGGTGCTGAGTTCCCGCCGCGGATGACAAGATGGGTTTAGTCGCGGACTGCGCTGAGACTCGCTGGGCATGTGCATGATTCTGCTAGGAGTGCGGCGTCGAGTTGACGAAGCTGCACGATCAGATGTCCGCGAGTGAGGTCGAGATGTCTGGATACCCGGCGCCAGAGATCGAACTTCACGTTTCGAATGATTTTCGACGCAAGACTGCCTGCATTCGTCTGAGTGCTCGGGAAACGAGAATATACATCCATATGAGTGTCTATGTAGAGTATCAGCGCGGGAGGCCGCGAGGGAAGCCCACCGCACGCATTGCGAGTTCCTGCTACTCGAGGGTCACCCCATGAAATGCTGGACCCGAGTGGCGGGCACTCAACCCACTCGGACTACGTTGAAAATCCAGAGCGCAGCGCACAGGTGTGGGGCATACCCCACGGATATGTGAACGGAATGCGCGTGAGCGGCGTGAACATGCTGGAACGGACAAGGATGTGCGCCCTGGTCCGGGATGCATTGCGGTATTTCGGTGCGACGGCAGAGCGTCTTGTCGGATGTTCCCTGCGCGATCGCCCACGTTAGTTTTCTCGCGCGCTGCAGGTGTAAGGGTGCAGGGGTGACGGAGGCATTTGGGGAACAGTGTACGTGCGAGTGCGCGCCACAAAAGGGCGCGGGCGTGGACCATTCACACAACAGACTCTGCGTGCCGCTGTCCATGAACTCGGCTGGGCTAGGAGTCCACGACAACGACGAGCGTGACATGATCTTGCGGCCTATCACTAGCGAGCGACACGAGGGATGTGCACAGGCCGGTCGTGCACGCGCAGGCGGGGACTCACAAGCACAATGCACGGGCATACTTCGTAAGCGTGCGTACTGGGTGGAGCAGCCTCTTCGAGGTGCCAGTGTGTGGGTACGCCGGCTGTATCTGCTTGTTCCAAGGCATGAACGCATCAAATTGGACATGCGGGGCGCACTGTACGTACTGTGCGGCCGGGTGCACTGGCGGTGGCTTGCGAATTAGGCTGGACGCCGTCTGGCACACGCGCAGGGTGCCCGAGGATGGAATTGGCGGCGGCGGCACAGCGGAGACTTTTGCGAGGAGGGGGAGAGCGCACAGTCGTTTGCGAGTATTTATGGGCGGAATCCGGGCGTAGCACGCTCAAAGGAAGGGTGGGGCGCGTGAATTGCGCTTTCCACGCCACCTTGAGCGTTCCGGCGGGGCGAAAGTGTCAACACGTGTTTCGTCTCGGATCGAGCTGAAACTCACCAGGAATATGTCCCCCAGTGTTTATACGTGGGTGCCCCGTCATTGAAGCGGTACAGAGAACGGTCAGCGCGCAAGGTCGTTGCGTTCACAGGAGTGGCAGCCCCCGCTTTCTGCGAGGCTGCCTCCATCCACACCACCTGCATGCGTATCAGCCTGGCGGCATATAACGGATAACGCCAGTGCAAATCAACGTACCAACGCACGGCGCGGTGGAACCCGCGGCCGAGGTGTGATGCACAATGGGTCGTTTTCGTGGGCAGTTGTAAGGGTTGGAAGGAGATGTTGTGAAATTATTTTTCTCCTGTGCGATCGAAACTCGCCGTATGTGTGCTCCCCAGGGCGCATGTCGTGTCGTTCAATTGTTGAAGCGGCACGACCGGGAGTCGGCGTGCAAGGTCGATATGTCTGCAGCAGCCTCACCTCCTAGCGATGATATCTATGTCCAGACAGCGTGCATCCGTTCAACTGTGGTGGTCATTGTTCCAAGACCATAAGAGAATGCACGTACCGAAGCGCGGCGCGAGAGGATGCGTAGGCGAGGTGGAATGCTCAAAACATTGGTTTAAACGTCATCTGTAAGGGTCCCCCCTTGGAAAGCACTTCGTGAGTATTGAATTTGCTCAGGTGGTTCCGAGACTTACTGTGTATACATTCCCCGGTGTCGAATAGCCTATGGTGACGTTTACGAGGCCGCCGAGGCCGCGTGGGCGTAAGAGGACGATCGACGTCTTTCGAATGTCCGCCACCGGCACAACCTAAGAGGATGTCATCGAGCTATAACCTGTCCGTACCGGTGAATACATTGCGACGTACTGACACAGTCCTATGCGAGCATGTGTGGGCGGGTTTATGGCCCGCGATGCGGCGTGCAAGGACCGTGGTGCGCTGTTCAAGCCTGTCTGCGCCGCCTTGAAGGTTCGAGGAGGGCGGCGGCGTCAATATTTATTTCTACTCGGATCGTGCTGAAACTCACTGTGCACATGGCCCCCGGTGCATGTATGGCGCTATTCAATTATTGAATCGGTACGGCGTGTCGCCAGCGCGCGAGATCGCCATTGGTGCAAAACCGGCATTGGCACCTCCAGACGAGGCTCGCTCGCTCCCAGCTATCCGCATGCATCTGAGCGCGGCAGGAACGGTTGAGGACAATTGTAAGAACCGACGTACCAGGTTATAGCGCGTCCGTCCCAGCAAGTAAGATGTTATGCGCAATTTATTGATTTCGTCGACACCTGTAAGGGTCCCCCCTTCGCAAGTACATGTCGTAGATTTTTTCTTCTCCGATGGGGCCAACACTCGCTGTACATATCGTACCCGGTCCGTGGATTGTGCATTTCCATTACTGAAGCAGCGAGGCTGCGCGTCGGCGCACTAGCGTGACATCTTCACGGGAGCAGGGGGAGGCTCCAGCATCTCTCGCGAGCCCCACGAGCTGCGCACCGTCGCCACGCGTTCCGAACCGGCGCAGCTTGATTGCATGCAATCGCAGGCGTGTATACGCCAAAGGGAGGCGCGGTGCGACAAGAGACGGAGCCACGGCGGGCGTTTCGGTGTTTTCGCCCCTGCGAAAACACCCGCAGCGGGCACTCCTTCGATTTGCTCAATCTCCTCGCACAGGGCTGAAACTCGCACGACGTGTGCGGTCTGGTCCATGGAGCACGGGGTTCGATTTGCGAAGCGATACGATGCGGCGTCCGCGCTCGAGGTCGTTCGCTCTGGTCGTCCACCCACGGAGACCAAGCCTCTCCCGGCCAGACGGCCGGTTTTCAAACCGTCCGGATGCGCGACAACGCGGCGGGAGGCGAGCGTAGATGTCCACAGGACTCTACGGACAAACGCGCGCCGCGAATGGAAGAGGTGGAGGCCGGGGGCGCGCGAATCTGCGTGCTCGCCGTGAAATCACCAATGAAATTGCCCGACCCATCCCGATTTTTATGTGCTCCAAACTCGCTGTAACTCGTTGGACACACTCTCCCAGGTGCATACGAGCGCAGCGTCATGCTCGAGATGCCGCCTGGAGCGCCATCGGCACGCGAGTGCAACGTCTCGTTGAGTGCGCCCGCCCGCCCGCACAGCGCCGCAACGACCGCACACCGCGCCCAGTCGCACCGCACATCCAGGGCACCGGCGCATCGTCTCGGGAGGTCGCCTTCCATACGCAGCGCTCGATAGTGTCGTGTTCCCGCTGCCCGCGCCGTCCCGACCGTGTCCGGAGACGAGTTGGGCCGCATCGCGCACCTCTCCGCGGCACTGCCGCGAATCGGACGGTCGACATGCGCCTGAACGACGCGCATGGCGGGGAACCCACGTCACCACTCACGGGAGTGCGTCGGTGGAGATGCGGCGCGGGAGAACGTGCGGGAGGGCGGGGATGTGTGATTTCGTCCGCTACCGGTGTCCTGCCGTCCTTGAAATCGAGCGAGGCATCACAAATATATTTTGCTTGCACAGGGCTCAACCTCGCTAGGCATGCGTACAGTGGTTCCGGGGAGAGTTGGGTCGCGCTGTGGATGCAGCATGGAGCCGCAGTGGGAGGCGAGGGAGACGTCTTGTCGAGAGGTGCCCAGGATGTACCGGTGTCGTGCGATGCCAGGGCCGCACGCGGCAGTGTTGTCGTTGCTGTCCGCAATTGGGCAGAGTCTAACATACGTTGTACAGGTCATCCCGACGTCCGGGAAGCATGGAAAGCCGCTCGGACATGCATACTCGGTAGGTGCATCAGATCGGACACACGGCGAACGCGGCACTGTACGTACCGTGCTGGGGCGATGGGTCACTCGCATGGGACTCTAGCCTGCGAGTCCTCAGCGTATGTGGGCTTGTAAAACCCGTTGTCGGCGGCGGGACGGAGACGTCTTCGAGTTGTGCTGCAGACGGCGCATCAACGAGGCGGGCCTCCCATCCTCACCGCTGCCGCCGCCACCTTCCGCTTACCCGACGCGGAGCGCACGGCGTCTTGCGCAGAGGGAGACTGTCAGGGCTGAGCATGCGTGGGTATGCGGGGGCACCGTCGTCCGAGGGCAACGCATGCCGTAGAGAGTGGGGATAGCGTGCGCGACACGAACCGAACAGACGGAGCGCGCAGCGCATCGGACGAACATGGCGAGGGAGCGGCCGCAATCCGTCGGCGTCTGGGGCACACTTAAAGGCTGGGGGATGTGGAGAGGAGGAGACCATCCCCCACCCTCTGCCCGCCATCTCCTTCCTTCTCACCTCGCCTGCCTCGTGTGTTGCGTCCCCGTACGTCCCCGCCCCCAGCCACTCCACTTGCCGTGTGCTGACTGTCTAGGCCCGGCTCGTGTGTTGCATCGTTGTACGTGGGGAAGCTGTGAGCACCGGCCGCGCAGCTCGCCGCGCGTGCGGGCCCCCGTCAAGGTGTGCCGTTTCGATCTCGTCCACGTACCTGCACTAACCACGCACATCAGCATGCAATTCCGCCCTCGCCGAGAACAACGCACTTGCCTGTGTCCTGTCGGGCGTGCGGGCGCGGTCCAGAGGTGGACAGTATGCGGGGTCGGTAGGGTGTTCGTGAAGCGTCACCGCGCGCATGGCCGCGATGAGCCACGTCGCCGAGTGCAGTCGCCAGGAGGCACCGCGTAGCAAGCATGACAGTACCTCCCTGCGATCTCCTCTGCGAACCTGCACTGACCACACACGGTAGGCTTTCGTTTCCGCTCTGCCAGACGCACTCACCTGTCTCTAGGGAGATTGACGGTCGTGGGAGGGAGGCAGGGAGGGAGGCAGGGAGGCAGGGGATGGACAGCTAGCGTATGTACCGATATGTGACCGCTGCGAGCGTGAGCGGTAGTATCGCGCAGTGTGGCCCGAGCGATGATGTTTGTCTTGATAGCTTTGTAGAGCGTCTTCATGATGGGGGCGATCGTGGATACCTTGAGAGCTTCGTACATAAAGTCCGCGAATGATTCCCCTAGAGATACATTAGTACACTCGCTATGGGGCAGAATAACATAGAACACATACCTCTATTGGCGAAGTCGTCTCGCAGCGACCCCAGCATCTCCGACTGCGCCTCCACATATCGGCTCAGGACCTGCTCCTGGTACAGCACCGCAGTCACGTTGAACGCAACCTGCTCATACACCGTATCAAAATACTTCGCAATATTCCCCGACGCAGACGAGCTCGGGTCCGGCAAGTCCAGCACGACCACAAAGTGGAACGTCTGCATCACCGCGTCCCCCGCCTCCGCCTGCACCTGCGCCTCCCGCGCATACGCCCCCGCCTCCGCCGCCCGCTCCGGCGTGAGCAGCCGCTCCTCCTCCTGCGGCGACTGCCCCTTCTTCGAGCCGCGCCCGCGCGCGGCCGCCCGCGGCGCCTTCTCCGCCTGGAACCGCCAGCCGCCGTCCGCGTCCGCGCACACAGGGTGCCCGACGAACGCGAGGTCGTCCACGATCAGCTCGAACTTCTGGTGGCACATCGAGCGCTGCGGGCACAGGATCTGCGCGAGGAACTCGCCCGAGTACCCGAGCAGCGTCCCGTACTCGTCTGTGCTCCCGCCCCCGCCCCCGCCGGCTGCGTCGCGCCGCGGGCTCGCGGTGGAGGCGCCGCGCATGCCGTCGAGGTCGTGCGCGTCCTTGGGCTCCTTGGAGGGTGAGGCGCGCCGGGAGGTCGGGTGCGAGGACGGCTGGGTGAAGGAGACGGACCTGTCGCGCCGGAGACGCGGGCGCTGCCAGTAGTACTCCATGTCATCGTCTACCGCAAGCCGGGGTAGTGTGGGCTGAGAGCCGTCCGCCGCGTTTTCGTGGCCGTTTGCTGCGCGCCATGGGTTGTCAGCGAGCGCACCCGGGAAGTCGTTCGCGGGCAGAGGCCGCGCGAGGCGGGGCACCGTCGTGGGGGAGGGCGGCCAGTGGTACACCAAATTCGAGCCCTTTGCGGAAGAGGTAACGAGGAGAATGCAAAGCAAGGTTTCGCTCATGTCGAAGAGTCGAGGGTCATTTGCGGGAAATTGGCGACGTGGTGGTCGATAGCAGAGGTGCGGCTCATTGCGCGTCTCTCGCATCGCGCGACAACGCCCGCCGCCCCGCGCGTTGGCGTGGGCGTTGCTTCAACCTCTTCACAGTCGAAGATGAATGACAATACTTGTACAATAGACGCTATATCGTAGAAGCTACGTAGGAATGGAGGTCCACGAACAAGTCCTAAATTCAAACCATGTCCGGAGCAAGGGTCTCCAGCAATGTGCGTCAAGTCCGACTTGCCCACTGCGCCGACACCTTCAAGTTCACGCCCGCTCAACACAGCGCCCCCATCCCATCGCTACTCCTCACCCGCCCAGCATTCACGCCCACGCCCGGACCCCTAGCAACACCCTCCTTCCACCGCGCGACCCACTCCACGACGCCCCTCGCCATCTCCGCGCCCTCCTTCCTGCGCGTCCCCGTCTCGCCCGCGCGCCGCTTCGCCGCCTTCTTCGCGCGCCCTGCACGCCATGCCGCGTCGACCGCGTCGGCCCACTCACCCTGCTCGTACTGCGTGCGCGCGAGCTCGCGGCCGACGCCCGCGCTAGACAGGAAGAGCCGCAGTCCGTGCTCCTCGATGAAGAGCGGCCGCGGGACGTAGACGAATGGCGTGCATGCATCGACGCATTCTGATACGGTGCCGTATCCCTGATAGAAAGTGTGAGCCAGTGCGGGAAGAAAGGGTGAAATGAAAAGGTGCGCACCAGTTTGCCGAGCAGGACGTCCGCGACAGCGGTCAAGTCCGGCATGTACACGTCCCGCGGCGCGACGAAGAAGTTCTCCGGGAGCTCCTCCCCGTCCTCCCGCCCCCAATCCTTCGACACCCCGCATACGATCGCAATCCATGACGCGTCGGGAAGGATCCGTGGTTCAGCCTCAGCCTCGAGCGCCGTCGCGTCCACCCCTGGCGGTCCCGCTCCCGCAATGCCCCAGCTGTAGTCTGGGGAATCAGATCCATTAAGGAGGAGAGGAGTTGGCGGGATGGTCACGAAGGCAGGCATCTGCGAAGAGATGCGCGGCGACGTGGGCGCGGGCACCGCGGCAGGCGGCGCGCCCGCTAGTCGCAACTGCGAGTGGCCGCGCGGGCGTGTGTGCACATGGTCGGGGTCGAGCGTGAGGTGTGCAGGGAGCGCACGGAGAGGGTTCTGCTCTTGTACGGCATTCGATGACGGGTCGGGGCGATTCAGAGCGGCGTTCTTCAGCGCATCGCTGAGCGCCTGCGCATACTGTCCCGAGTCGACCACCGCATCCTGCGTGTCCGCAAGAGGCGGGGGATGGTCCGCGGGGTGCATGGATCCGTCTGGAGACCGTTGGAAGCCTGGAAGTACGCCGTTCGGCGTCGCAGACTTCGACGGGGTGCGACTGTGTGACCGGCTGTGCGGCTTGTGGAAGACTTGCCCACCGAAGGAAACGATGAGGATCTTGGTCTGCTCGGGGTCGTGCAGATGCGGAGGTACGCCGATCGAGGTGAGTAGTCTGCTTCGCCCCTCCGGCGTGTATACCTCGGGGTCCGTAGAGCGCACCAACAACGGCGCGTTGCGGACTTCGCGAGGGAGCGGCTTGGGTTGATATGAAGGAGGGAACGGAATTTGCGGCTGCAGCTCGTACGTCGAGGGCGATTGAGTGAGGTGCTTAACAACGAACGGCTTGAATGCGCGAGATTTGATGTCAATCCAGTCCTGGGAAGGGAGACCTGGCTGAACGGCGAACGAAGGCAGGGGTATCGTTCCGGGGAGTCGGAGGAGTAGGTCTGCGCAACGGTATCCATCGTGTATCTGTTTGACCAGTGGTGCTAGTTCGGCCAGAGGAATGGGGACGTCTGGCTCAAGCTTTGGTTGCGGTTTGACGTGTGGTTGCAGGGCGTCTAGAGTGACGTCGGGTTCTGGTACTTCGTCGATGAAGGGTGTAGAGAGATAACTATACACTGAGTCGAACGAAAAGTTGGTGATCAACACGGAAGGGATGCCAGCATCATTGGCGGCAAGGCTGGATGGTAACACATGAGCGTAGGCGCGTTTGACCTGACATGTAGTACATACCAGCCAAGGAAGGCGGCGTCGCTCAAGACGCAGTCGGCCTTGATTGACCGAAGCCATTGTGACTCTTCAGCGACCTTGTATTCCTTTTCCGTGAGGAATTTCTGTAGTACTTTTACGCTCTTCTGTCGGTCTACACGGTATCTATGAGCTCATTAGGGTGTAACACCACATGAGACACAAACCGCGTGAACTCACGCAAGTGGCTGCACGATTACGGGATCTATGTTTGCGTTTCGATACAATGCTAGCCGTTGGGTAGTGTCAGGTACGCCGAACGAGGTTGCCAGGAAATATGGTAAACAATGACGTACCTCCTAGGGCTACACTGTCAGAGAATACATGCTTTGGAGCAGAAGATACGATATGAATGGTAGGCCTCGGTTCAAGGCGTAACAAGTGGGATGCAAAGGCAGAAACGCGGGTGGCATGTCCGTAACCTACAGATTCCGAGGTCAGGCACAGGAACTGCGCGCTGAGACGGAAAGCACTGCTTACCATGGCCCGAGCAGTAATACACGAAAATCAGGCTACTTGGGTCGTTCGCCATGGGGGATGAAGGCAGCGGGCTTGACTCTTCTTCAGGCCTATAAGAGTGGCAAGACGTGGGCAAGGGTTGTGCTGTTACGGCGAGCGGCGAACAGATATGAAGACGGAGATCGCAGAGGTGGTGACGACATGCACAGAGTTGCACAGAGATGCACAGACTCCAAAAGATGAGCGATCGTCGGGCGCAAGGAGCAGTACGACAAATTCCTATGCGCGCTGATAGGAAGAGATGTTGCCAGGTATAAACGAGGGTGCCGGAGGAGACATGCGTCAAGTCGGAGGTCTATCCATCTGGGCTGCTCTCGGAGTCGAGGTTGCGAAAAACAAACAGTCCGAAGGGTAGCCGAACCCGGAGGCGACCGTCTACAGACGATCGAGTTCGCTCTGCATGCCAAGGAAGATCGTCAGCTGCCGAATGCGGGGTCGAGGAGGCACGAGCCAATCAGGCACCGAGACGCGTCGCGGTCACGTCCAGACGCGTCAGTGGCTGCTGCCCTTTCATTTCCCACTCATCCACCCTCCGACGATGCATCGTCCACTCTGTGCGCCATGGTCGTGGAAGTGGCCATCTGCTCCCTCTTGGCGGGTCGTTGAGATCACCACGAGCTGCGACTAGACGATGCGATCTAGCCCCTTGCGCCCTGGATCTGCCCTGGAAACTAACATGATGTAAGCGCCCATGGTCTACTTCCATCGGACATATCTGCCACCCGCCGCCCTCTCTTCTTCACTTCCCCCCATCTCCTCGTCTGCTTACCCCGCACTGCGTCTCGTCATGGGCGGCCAAGTGCCATGGCTGGACCGTCTGAACTGCTTGGCCGCGCGCTTCGACGCCTTCAAGTCTACCGCTTTCCAAGAGCCTGACCGGAAGCTCAAGACCAGCCGCTTCCAAAGGATACTCCAAGATATATGCGCTGTTGTACGAGAAGCGGAGCATGAAGCTTCATCTGAGCTCAATGTGGTGGTCGAGGAGGCGCATGCATTGCTAGAGACCTGCCTCAAATACGCCCATAGCGATGAAGCCGACATCCAATCACTGAATACATTCGCGCATTCAGACGACTGTGATGAGCCATGGATTGATGACATTATGGAGAACGCGGGTGAGTAGCACACGTCTATTCCGTGAAGCTTCTCTTATATCTCTTGGTAGGATCGGACATTGTGGACGAAATCATGCGCTTGTACACCAAGACTCTCAAGCCAGGCAGCCGTGAGTAGCGGTCGAAATCTTTGTGTGCGGGCACATCCTTAAGCTTGTGTTCAGCCTCCCCTGGCCATATATACATATAGCTAACGAGCCATGCTCTCAGCCGCACCCCAGCTTCCCGCCTTCGCGCAAATCCGTCCGTGGACCAGGTCCCCTCGGCCCCATCCTTTGACTACCCGCCTCTCGCGCTTCCGTCCTGGAATTGTGCCGACGGCTACATCAGCATCGCCGCTCGCGCGGCGTGTCGCGGATGCACGTGCGCAGCTCACCACCGACCTCATACCCGCCACATACGACATGTCCGTCTCCTCTGGCGGGTCTATACTCGCTCTCGCGAGTGGTTCTGGATGGAAAGGCCGTGAACCAGCTTTGCAGTACTATCTACTTGGCTCTCAGCTGGACAACGCACTCGATGGCGTCAGTATGAATCCTGGTCTTGCCGGTGTTCCGCGCTTCGTTGCGACGGACGAGGACCTCAACCTCGCCTTTCTCGCAGATGATGATCAGATCAAGTCCTTCTCTTTCAGTCCGGGAGAGGATGGGAAGGTGCCCAAACGCCTGCCAAACATACACACCCTGCACTCAGAGGGCGTCTTCGACGGACCCATCGCTGTTCTCCCGAATGGACGCGTCGCCCGAGCGGGCAAAGGACAGGCCGCTATCTGGAATCTGTCTATCCCGGAAGGCGACCATGAGGACACCGGGACACTTCGTGCCGACGATACCTTGGACAACGACAACTGGCGTGAGGCGCGCCTCCCTGCAGTGAAGATCTCTCAGGAGAGCAAGCTGCACTCCATCGTCGCATTTGCAGATGACTCAGCTTATGCGCCTGCGACCTGGCATTTGCACGCGCCATCAGGGAGGCTTCTATGCGGCGAGCGCGCGGCACGGTCTGGTGGCTATTCGTGCGTCTCCCTCGATCTAGAGCACGGCGGACGACAAGCAGCTCGCTATCTAGGCCACGGGGGCGATGTTGTGCGCATTACGACCAGCCCTGACGACCCCAACCTCTTCGTGACGGCTGCCGGCGACGGATACGCGAGGATGTTCGACGTGCGGAGGCCCCTTCCTGTGCTCACGATCGAAACCGGGATTCAGCGCGAAGGGTGCGCAGACGTCGTCTTCGTTCATCCCGACGGCATACCGAGTGAGCCCGCATAGGTCACCATGTCTTCACTTCATGCTGACCCAAAATGCTCGATGCAGCCTTGTTCACTGGCGGCGACCGCACGCAGCAGATCAAGATGTGGGATATCCACGAGCAGGAGTGCGTGTACGAGCTGTCGACGGGAAACAACGCAGTCAGCGCCATGGCATGGGACGCCGCGCACGCGTCGCTATTCGTCGCGACGGCATGCCCGCACGTCAACCGCATGGGGGAGCGCGCGGGCTATCGGAGGGCGCGCATCCCGGCGTGGGCGACGTGGGCGAGCGTCGCGAAAGACCACAAGGCGTACAAGGCGGCCGGGCCACAGCCGAACCCGCGGCGGTCGATCCTCATACACGATGCCAATGGCGACGTGGTGGGGGACGAGGATGACGAGCGGGGCTACTACGACCTCGGGTCAGAAGACGAGGAGGACGAGGGCGAGGAGGAGATCGACGAGGCGTACTCTGCCGACATGCGTTGGCCGGACAAGTGCTTCCACAAGGAGAACTACTTTGGGTACGCGTATGATGCTGGCGAGAATATGTTGTGTACGTATCTTCCCTTCCGCCCACTTGTTCGTCGTCTATGTGCTTATTCCGTTTGACCGTTTAGTCAGATGGCACTTCAAAGACGAGCCAGACATCACACAGCTTCCCGCAAGCACGACGGTCGACTGGTAGGCCGTTCTACCTCGACACCCCCTCCCTCAGCCCACACCCTACCCCCCACTCCTTGTACTCTCCCCCCCCCCCCTTGGACTCTGGACCCTTGGCGAAACCCTGCGACGAATACCCCACTTATTCCTAACCCTTATACCAGCCTATACCTGGACCTAGACTCGGACGTGTACTGGATGTTGTCTCTTCTTCGGTTTGTACTCTACGATACCACCACGGATATATAATGGGACCCCTGATGGATCGGACTTTTTCTTCCCTCTCGCACTACCTTCTCAACCTCAAGGCTCCCGCCCCAAATCGCCCTCAAACAAAGACTACGGGCCCATGTACCGCTCGAGGTCCACTCCCGCGTCGAAGTCCCCGCGCGGGCGCGAGACCCACCCGCGCACGACCTCGTCAAAGTACAGCTCGACGCCCCACGTCCCGCGCCCGACCCAGAGCGTGCGCACGTACGGGTCCCACCACTCGATGCGCGCCGTGCGCGCGGCCGCGTCGAAGCGGTAGCCCGTGACGTGCGGCGCAGGGCCCAGGTACTCGTTTCTAGGGGAGGTGGGAGGCATGGCTCTCAGCAGCCGCGAGTGGTAAGTAGGTTGGATGTGTACGCACCGTTTGGGATATGTGTTGTCTGGCGTCACGTAGTTGGGGCCCGCGAACCCGGGGTCGGGCGGCGCGTCGTAGAAGCGGTATACGAGCACGTTCAGGTCCTCGCCCTGTTTGTACTTGAGCTGCGCGGCCATTCGCGCGTTAGGGTGCGTTCAGGGAATATAAATATTGTGACAGACGTACCGTGCGTGCATAATCGTCCCCTTGGTAGCGCAGCGGCAGAAAGAGCTTCCCGGAAAATGGTGCAGGGTACGGCGAGGTGGGGTATTTTTGCAGCTGCATAGAACGACGTTCCCAGAGAGTATGTCAAGTCTTCTCCTCATGGACATGAACAGAAACAATACGACATACCTCCCAAGCTAGCGTCTCAGTAATCACGCTAAAAACATTGCTTTCGACCTCCACCCTTTCTGCCTCCAAGCTGCGCTCCCTGGGGTGTTCTGGATCCGAGCCGGGTTTCGCGACGCGTTTGCGCCGGGCGAGGCGGCGGCCGATCCACTCGTCCCGTTTGGCGTCAGTCCAGTCGCGCTGCATTTCGGGAGAGCAGGGAGGAGCAAAAATTTTGCGGGAGCGGGAGCCGAACGAGGAAGGAGGAAGAGGAAGGCCGTGCGTCTTTACCGCTAGACCATCTGTACTTACAGATAGAGGTGGCTACAAGCTACATAGGCCTATACACTTACGTCGCCAGATACCAGCCAAGTACCGTGCATGAAGCACATTTACCAACAACCATTCGACCCGCCTTGAAGAATTCGCAGCGTCTCTAGAATGGGTCTTGAAAGCGAGCCAGAACAACCTGTGCAAGAGGACACAGGTAGAGGCCTCATATCGCACACATGATGATCAACGACTTTGGTCAAGGTCAGGAGGTCGTCTACGGCCGCCGAGTCACTAATTACTATTGTACAGGTGTATCATAATGGTATCCAACTGTCATGCCGGGGCCATAGATTATGCCGTGAGCGCCACCTCTACTTCAGGCTTGATGCTCGCGAACAGATCCTCAGTCGTGTACTTGGGCTTCCACCCCAATGCCCGAGCCTGCTCTCCGCGCGCCCGCGCATTCGACCCAAGCGCGAGGTTCGCCCCAGCCTGCGTTATCGACAGACAGTGAGCACAATTGCCTCCGAGCGTAGACACGGGAGGTACTCACCAGGTTGCCGATCGCCTTGATCAGCTCCTCGTCCGTAAACGTGGTCGGCTCGTCGGTCTTGCTGGCGCCCTTCGCGTGCAGCTCCTTCGTGATTATCTTGCAGAGGTCATACCAGGTGTGCTCGCCGTTTTCGGAGTAGTAAAAGCCCTCGCGGCCGTGTGGGATGTCCTCCCGCTTCTCGAGTGCCGCGTTGAAGAGGATGAGGTAGAAGTCCGCCACTGTGAAGTCGAGTTAGCACGCCGGTATATAGCGATGTAGGAGGCGTGCTCACTGTCGTCGATGTGAACGCTGTTCCAGATTGACTTCCCTTGCCCGACCATGCCGCCCTGACCGCGTGCGATGGCAAGTTTGATCAGGAGAGGGATCTGAGCTGAACGCCGGTTCATCACTCCCGCGTCGACGAGTTGACCAGAGGCAAGGCCGTAAATGGTGGAAGGCAGCACAATGTAGCCAAGAAGCCAGCCTACAGATTGGGTCAGCGCCAGATAATTTCGTGAGAAGCGACGAGAGTACACACCCTCTTTGTCGGCGTTGACGATTGGGAGGTCGACGTTGCGGTGGAAAGTAGTGTCCGGGAGGGACTCAATCTCCTCCGGGCGCGAGTCGTGCCAGATTTTATCAGTCGCGTACAAGCCCTTCGCCTCGTCCGTGATCAGACCTGTTCCAGACTATATTTGACGTGTCAGTAGCAAGTTCTTAAGCATGCCAAGTAGCGCAGAATGCTCACCGTGTGGATGAGGATTGACTTGACACCAGTCTTCTCAAATCTTGCTTTGAGGCCCTTGAAGATAGCGTTCATGGCAGAGAGGTCATCGGAATCGGCCTAAGTAAACAGGTCTGTCAGCGTGCTAGGTTGGATTCAAGCTGCTATTGGTACGCACGCAGGAGAAGACGACGTCGGCCTTCTCGGAAAGCGCAGTGAGCTTATTGGTGTCGGCATGGGACCCAACTGCTGCGTCAACGCCGAATTTCTCTTTGAGGATCTTGGCCTTCTCTGCGGAGCGCACTATCGTAGTGATCTCGAATGTCGCTGCCTTGGGGTGCTTAAGGAGACGCTCTAGGACGGAGCCGCCGATGTAGCCTATATGTCGAAGATATAACTCGTGAGCTCGAAGGCCTCCGGTCTCATGCGCGCATGTGAGCGTACCGGTGGCACCAGTGATGAAGATGGTGGTCTTTGAGGAAGACATTGCGAGTGGGATGTGCTGAGTGGGTGTGTAGGTGTAAGGTTGGATGCAGGTTTGGTGGATGCGGAATGAGGATCTAGTACTACGACGGGTCGTGTACCTCTTTTATACTTATCGTCTACATAGCAGAACTTTGAGCTTCGCTGCTCTCCTAGCAAGCTCGAACGTTGGTCTGTCGTCAGCCATCTGTCTTACCGAGCCGAACGTCGAGCTGAACTTTCTGGACCTGAAGGTTGACACATCGCGCCGGTAGCAAACCGCCATCAAGCGCCTGCTGTACGCGCTCGCCGCTCTGCCATCGAGAATGTCATCCACGCGCAGGTGGTTCCTTACTGAGATGGGATACCACGCGGCAGGTTGGGCGTTGTGGACTGAGTCAGCGTCAAAGCATATCTGGGTGCTTAGTGATGAGCGCTTGTTGATGCTTTGATGACGGGATCGCTAGGCCAGAACACTTACAGAGCAGAAATCGACCCAACGTCGCCATGTATGTGTATGCCCTTCCCGTATGCAACCTCACTGAACGTGTTATAACGTCGTTTGAAGTACACAGTGAACGTGAGAAAACATGCTTCAATGGGCAGCCCGCGGCCGGAGATCGCACGGCGAATTTCGCAATCACCTAGACTCACTTGGTCTGCCGTCTGAGTACTGAGTCTCAGGTTGGCCAAGGACCTCTAGAAATCTTAACAATCTCGTGCATCGTCCTCGACGCCCAACGTTGGCCCAATGTGCGTACGCTCACCAAACAGCGTTCGCCTTCCAACGTAGCACATTGATCCGCTCCAACACGAGTCAATAGGTCCATGTGCATGTTCATGACTGTTTGGCGCGAGATCCTGCACGAGGGGTTGCTAGGTGAAGGTTAGAGAAGCCGAGGATGCGCACATACCGATCGATCGCTGCGACGACAATGAAATCGCAACGGAGGCTGTGTCGTGTCTTTGTGCACGAGGAAGTCCGTTGCACGCCGCAAGTTACCGCGATCTCCTTCATCAAGGACGCCTGCTTTCACATTTGGACAGTGCAACGACTAGGATTGAGGTGATGGAGCGCTCACTGTGCTAGACGGCATGCAGAAAGACCCCTCATGAAAACATCCAGGGCTACACGCATGGTGCAGGCCTCAAAAGTCATCTAGCCCAATTCCACCATTGAGACCTGTTTGTCCGAGTGCGTTGGATGTTAACGAAAGAGCATACCCGCTCACACGGAGCGACGTCGATATTTTAGATAGCAGACGTACGCTGCGTAGATGCGGAGTCTCAAGAAAGGCGTAGACTCATTTCTCGCGCTGACGACAGACATCCGCGCACCCTACTGATGCTGAACGACGACTTGGAACGACCCCCGAGTTATCGATCCCCGTTCATGCCTATGTGACCCGTAGGAGAGTGATATCAGGGCACTGGCCTAGCACGAGGAATACAGACTACTCACGAAGGATACAATGCTCGACGGCGTCCGTGCATTCGCGGCATGCTGAGCAAGGGAGGTCCAGAAAGCACCTTCTGAGGATGTTGTGGACGAAGCGAGGGTATGGGCTGACAGAGGGCGAAGCCCTTTCGCGCCGGGGGACAAGAAGCTGAGAACCACTCGCCGATGTTGATCGTAGACACTAGCTACAGCAGTTCACACAAGCATGAAGGGACAGTATCGCGCCAGAAGAATCGCGTCCTGTGCGTGTAAGTACTTCATCACATAGGTCAAATACCAATCGTGCACAGCATGGAAGCGCAGGCCGTCGTTCACGCTACATTGGTTATGGGCAGGACCCTTTCGTAGACAGACTTGGAGAGCTATCTCAGAAGACACGCAAGAGCAGGCCTGCAAGGTAGTCGAGAGAGCGAGAGAGCCTGTTCCGCGCGAGTTGCACGCCTTATGGAGTGTTACGGGGACCCGCGACGTCTTCACTGGCAGGCTGCATAGGCCCTGGCCTTGGAGCCGTGCGCTGACGAGCTCCGCCACCGTCTTGCTGTGCGCGGCGAGAATGGTCGACATGCAGCTGAGCACCACGAAGAGGAGCGTAAAGGAAGCCAGAAATGTGCGTACCGTATGTTCTCCCGCCTTGTGTTTGTCATCAATCAACGCGCGACACGACTGCAAAATTCATTTTACGTCTGCAGTGAGGAACAACGCCAATGACACGGTGCACAGCGGTGGTAGCGGACGGAAGAATCCCCGCAAGTGACAGTTATTATGGCTTGAGTTGCCTGTAGCAGACAGAAGCTAGAGCAAACGACAGAGTCGTGCAGGAGCCTAGCGTCGGCGACGACGGCGGAGCGACGGCCGCGCCAACGACGAAGCATACCAAAAGCGGGCGTCGGGACTCGGCCGGCGGGGGCTTTCGGAAGCTGCCGCCCGGCTAGTAAAATGGGCGTCTGTTCTGGACGACTGCCATCTTGAGCGGAGACAATCTACTCCTCCAGATGACCACCGCAGGATCGCCCGTTCATACAGTCGTATCATGTTCGCATCATGCTCGGCAGCTCGAAGTCTATCAAGCTCTCGACTCCAATATCGATGCGTGGGCACCGTCTCCAGGAGGAGCGACAAGAGACAAACGCAAGAGGGGCTTCATCTGCTCGTAAACCCGGGCCTGAAGGAGGACGCAGAACGGCTGGACTCGCCGTTGGCCCCGGGATCTCACAGGCTAGACATAACCTGCAAGCGTCTGAGGCGTGCTGACCTCCCTTCACAGTCTCGGCACCGTTTAGCGGGGCGCATGCCCGCCAGCAGGCGCATCACAAGCGACAGCGTGCAGACCGCCTGCCCGCCTAGCGACGTCCCCATTCGCTGAGTGGCTTCCAGGGCCATCCGAATCGCGGTGACGCACAGTCCAAATCAGCTCGGAAGAGTCGGAACCAAGATGCAGCCCGCTGGCCTGCTTTGTATGCTCGGCTCTGCTGGGATCATCGTCGCCGCCGTAGGCACAGTGCGCCTCATCACGCATGCCTGGCACGAGGCTGCCCCGCGAAGGGTCGTATTTCTTCTTTTATCCAGGGCTACTCGTAATCTGCAGCGTTCCGGCCTGAGGAGGAGATCCGGCGGCTTCTGAGGGGCTACGCCTCGTTTTCCTTTACTTCATCCCATATAACCGAGCGGGGTGGATCGAGACTCCCCTTCCCTTGCCGGCACTGTCTCTTTTCCCCCACATTTTGTGGCCTTTTATCCTCTGCCCACCACCGTTCACGCTGCCTTCGCCTATACTCCAGCGATGCCCGTAGCTACGACAGACGTGGACAAGCACCTTGAGACATTAGGTCTCAAGTCCGAAGATCTCAATGAAGACGCCGTCAGGGGCGCGTACAAGAAGCTTGTAAGCCGTTTCTGCCATAGGTCACGTCTCCACAACGCTGCTCACAATGTTACCAGGCTCTCCTGTGGCATCCTGATCGCCACAATGCAGATCCAGAGGAGGCCAACCAGAAGTTCATCGAGGTACGCCCGCTGAGCTGGCAAGATGGAAGCGCTCCCGTTTCGAAACGTCCTCCGGCTAGGTGAACGAGGCATACAAAGCGCTGGCTGAGGTGTGCAGGAAACGGAACAAGCACAAGAAACCCAGCAAGAAGGCCAGCAAGGACGCTAGCAAGGACACCGAATCTACGTCGCGCAGGCCATTCTGGGCGAGTTCCGCGCCGACCGCGTCCTCGTCCACATCGAAGGCCTCCCGCGGGACCGAAGCGACTGCGAAGGAAACAGACTTGCACCATAAGCACAAACATGAAGCTTCGCACGCAAAGTCTGATAGCAAGCCCGCTCGATCTAGCACTCGCGGAGCCGACACCGCACCCAAGGCCGCGCGTGCCCACCCGAAGCCATCGCATCGACACCATCGAGATTCGGATTCAGACTCGTCCTCTGAAGCGGGGTGCGCATCCAATCCGAGCCCATCTCGCGCTACGATATCGTACTCACATGACGGCTAATCGGGATCCGCAGGTCTACTCACGCATCTACGCATGGGCGCGCCCACGTTCATTTCAAGCACGACCGTGCGAAGGACAAGGAGAAGAAGGCCGCGCTGGGGGAGGACGATTACGAGTTTATCGACCTCGGGACGCCGCTGAAACCGCTGCGCTCGCCACGCGCCTTCTCAGCGACGACGAAAGACTGGATATTTCCACTCCATCTCGCGCTGGAGGACCTCTACTTCGGCGCGGTGCATCGCTACCGCATCACGCGCACGCTCAACGCCGAGCAGCCCCCTCCGTCCACAAAGTCCCCAGTCGCACCACCCTCCGAGACGAGTGCGCGGCGGCAGACGGTGCAGATCGACGTGCACGTCTCTCCAGGGTGGACGACGGGTACGCGCATCCGCGTCCCGCGCGTCGGGAACCAGCGCGCGGACGGCACTTTCCAGGACATCGTGTTCGTCGTCGCAGAAGCCCCGCACGCGCGCTTCGTGCGCAAGGGCGACGACCTCGTTCTTCCCGTACGCGTCCCATGGGTCGACGCGCACTCGCACGCGACGTATCCTCCAGGAGGCCTGCATGGGGATGCGGAGAGCGACCTCGGGCACGGCGGTGGGAACGGCGGAGGTGGGGGCCGCTACCGGCTGGGACGGGCGGCGTTCAGCCAGATTCGTCATGGACTCGGGCACGCGCCCGGGCATGGGATGGAGTACATGCACCCGCCGGAGGAGGAAGACGAGGTGTACGTGCGGGGGATCAACGGGGAGGAGTACACGATCCCGATCCCGCGCACGCTCGTCGAGGCGGCGGATGGGACGCGGATATACGGCGCGGGGATGCCTGTGCGCAGGAATGGGTGTGTGGTCGGGATGGGGGACATGGTCATTCGGTGCGTGTCTCCGTTCTTCCTCTCTTTCACGTCCCTGCGCGCACGAGCCTGGATCGTTCGCGTCGCGTCGCGTTTGGGGTTGCGGTGTCGTGACCCGTGGGCTTGACCCTGACTGACATAACATAAACACGACAGGTGGGAATTCATCTTCCCGGACTCCGAGAAGCTCCAGCGGTCACGATGGCAGACCCTGAAGGACGCGATGCACATCAAGCTCCCGGTGTAGACGCAGGTACCCTCGAGGCAGCGCGCATGACCCCCCTCTTAGGCGAAGTGCTCGATTCGGACGGTCTTATGCGGTGCGACCGAGTTCTATGTGGCTTGCGACTCATGGTGCGGGCGTGCCTGGTGACGCCCGGGACCTGGACAAAAGTATGCGGTATGAGTATGCGTATGATGCTCGGACATGCTCTCGTTTTCTTGTTCTTTGCACGTTTCCTTTTTCGTTCTTCCTTCTATTCGGACACCACGCCTGCTCGTGATGTCGAGTCTCGGGCGGACCTGCGGGCTTTGCGTGGGTGTACTTGTACCGTGTGTTCGGCTCGATGTCGATGTTTGTATGATAGTTCTGCGGCGCCTCCCTGTATATGGGGCTCGGGGCGATGTATAACAAGTTCGCGTGATATAAGTTTCGCTGCGGCAGATTCTGTGAAGGGATGATCAAGAAGCCAGGGCTATATGGGGTAGACAGACTCGAAACCGCAACCAGAGGAACTTAGGTGCAAGATTGGGGCGTCCATGGGTAGGCGGGCGATGCTCGTGTCCAAATATTCTACTCGGGAAGCAGTGCCTCGGGCTAAACTTGTTCATGAACACATTCACAGAAGGCAGTTATGGTCCACATGTCTGCCCGGGGACCATACGGAGTAAGTAGAATCATGTTCCGCGGCGTACCGTGCGGCTCCAATCATTTCGAACGGCAGCTGGAAGATTCCCAAGAGATCCTAGCAGACTGATTCGAGCGATGTAGCGTCAAACCTAAGAGCGCCAAGTCCTACAATGTATTAACAGCGGCTAGTACACCGTCAATAGATCGAAACCCTTTCTTCGCACCAATAGTAATCACTAGGCACATTTCAACCGTCCGAAGCACGAAGTCAGATCGTACCTCAAACGCAAGGAACGTAAGTGGCTCAGCGGCGTAATGGCATTCCTGTCTCACACTGGGCCCTACATCACGCATCGGCGCCACGGAACCCCAAGTCAACGCATACGAACGTGAACGATGACCCTGAGGGCGGTGATTATAGCTATACGTAATTAATAATCCCCGCAGACAGGTCCTTTCGTAGTACGGAAATACGCACGATCATCAGACGTCTGTGCCACCGAACCCGCAGCGCCATTGAGTGGACGCGCCGTAAGGGGGTAAGTTGGCCATGGAGGGAGATAGGGCTCCCACAGTAGACAAATGCGCAGGAGGTGCTCGAGGAGAAGCACAGCACGGCGAACTTTGCGTGCCTGTAAGCAGCATAGCGAGAGGAAGAGGGACCCCGGAGGGGGTTACCGAGGCACTCTTGCATTGCAATGGACAAGTACCGCACTCAGGGTCTTCTGGCGGCGAGTTGAAATTAACAAACAATGTTCAAACAAGGGTAAGTACTTACTGGGCGACCTCGCGATCGGGCGCTGCGGCGACACCGCGCAGTACGGTTCTTGCCATGCCGTACCCAGGCAGGTGCAACTGAAGACGGGTCATCTTGTCTCCAAGATCCGGGTGTGCGCCCCAATCGACCCTCGTGCGCTAAGTAACTGTGCATCCGATGTCAGCTGTAACCCGTAAGAGTACAGTGTACCAGGAGCATCCTTCACGGAGTTGAGACTACCGGGTTGCGTAAACTTTGACGTTTCTCCGCGTGCCTTGAGTTGACAGGGCGGGGCCGCAAGAGAAGGCGGAAGCGAGACAGAGGTGTTGATGGTCACTACGTTCCATACGGCCTGCCTGCCACAGCTGCCAAGGGAGGGTATGGAACGTCGAAGCGTGTGTAGACAATGCCCTACAAATTCACCCTCCTCATCCCGACGAGCGAGGCAACTTTGTCAATGACCGCTATATCGCCCTCGGGATCCATGGTGGGAACTAGCAGAGCCGTAGCGGCACGCTGAGCGCCATACTGTCTAAGTGAGTGATGGGGTATTACATGACCAACGATTGTTCACACCTGTTTTGAACTGCCTAGTAACTGTGAAGTAGGCATGAACCCCAAATAGGCGGTGAATAATCGTGAATGATTGTGAGGGCGGAGCATGCGAAGGGCTTCTCGGGAAACACTCCCAGACACCAGGACTGGGCTACAACCGACTACATAGTAAATCCGGAGAGCGCACCACAGCAGCCACAACCTCATCTTCCTGCGACGGAGGCCCCTCAAGCAGTGCGCGCGGCGTGTCTAAGGCTGGCTGTAATGATGATTGGACATGTGGCTGCCGGCGCTGCTGCTTACGATAAGTACACTCACAACACAATTCGGACGCGCTCGGTCCTCTGTATTCGACTCAGCGGTCCGCACCGATGGCCGTGGAGAACGTTCGCCGGGTCCATTAGGCCCGACGGCGTTTTGTACTGTGAAAAGGTGTTCTATACTATTAGAGATGATTTATAACCAGGTCATAGCCCACCTGTTAAAAGCTGTTTCAAAGTCCTGTTAGAAGGCCTCCGCCCGGCCTCCAGTTTGTAACTGTGAGTGTTTGATCATGCGAGATGACATTGTCAAACATCGCATACCCATCCACTGCCCACTGAAGTACCTGCAAACCACATGTTAAGATGCCTAGGATGCACTTGTGATATGTGTACGATTTCGGATACTCCTGTCAGTTCTCGTGCGCTGAGCACACGAAGTCCCCTCGTCAGAGGTAGTGGAGCTAGGGGGTCTCACGCAGTGATTGACGAATGCCGCTGACAATGTTGGGCGCGAGCGGACGACGCCTCCGCGTTGGATCAAAGTCCAGGGCGCGCCGGGAGGGGTGCTGCGGACCACGAGAGAGCGCTCAGAGTGATATGGTTGCCGCCCATATGCATCTTGTAGAGCGCGCGATGCGCCGGCACGTCATACGGGCGACTACGATGCGACCGCGTTCCTCAAGGAGGCCGCGTTGTGACCGAGCATTGAGCGATGTCCGACGGGCGCGAGTCCTCTAAGATGATAGGATTATTATAAGGACATATGGATCTTGCTACGAGAACAAGAGAGAGGTCTTAGGGCGACGAAGGGTTCGTTGTATGCCTGAAGGAGATCATACCGGACTGCGTATCCGACTTCGCGAATGGGCGCGGGCGTAACCTTGAGCATAAGTGGGCGCGAGTGTTCGCGCTCAACGAGACGCAGCTCCCATGAGGCCCTTCCGAGATCGCAGAAGGTGTTTGGAGGCGCAAGCCGCTCTTCGGACGTGTAACGAGATGGATGGCTGACCGTCGTTGCAGCGACACATGATGTGCATAGGAGAGAGTATGATCGGCGAACTGAGCCGTGGCCGTCCTTGGATGCATTGTGTGGGCGAGACGATGGCCGCGTAGCAGAAGAAGGACGAGATTGGGCAGATGAGCGGGCGGCGCGCAGGACCAGGGCGGCGAGGCTAAGCAGATCAGCCGATGCTTTGGGCGCCGCGGTATAAGGGTCAATGGAGTAGCACGCGCCCGCCGTCCACTCTCTTCACGCCCCCAGGCGCAGCCAACACAGGTCAAGACGGAGGACAGCGCGAAGCGCGAGCAGGACGCGGAGGACGATGAGCGGAGGACGGAGGGCGACGAGGTGCGCGATGCATTGACTTGCTTTCGCTCGGCTAACGGCATCCCACGATAGCCGGCGGAAGGACGCGTTCTGATTGGTCCCACAATCCCCGGTCCATCGGTATATACCACTCTGACCATACCCCCGCTGCTTTCGTCCTTCGCCCTGCTCCCCGTCGTCTGCCAGAGCCGCGCGCCCTCCCGCCACCACCTGTGCGCTCTCTTGTGCGCTCTCCTCTACACCTCAGACGCCTCGCACGACCGCATACAACCACCTTGCATCTTCAGATGCTAACGATCTTCCTCTATTCTGTGCATCCCCCAGCATCATCTCTACTGCCCGCCACTGCGCCGAAGCCCTCTCTGATCGCTGTGTTCCCTCCATTCTCGCATCCGGCCATCCACTAGAGAACCTCCTTAGAAGCATCCTGCGGTCGATCCTCGAGCTTCAGCTGCTGGCTGGGCTGCTCGAACCTCTATGCAACGCTCTCTGCTTGGGCGCTCTATCGACTCGATACCAACCCATGTCCGAGACCGCTCCAGTGCCATCACGGCAAGCCTATCCTTGATCCGCGACGCGCGCGCAGCGCCGATACTTGCCCTGTCGCGCCGGACTACCTGTGTCTCACACTGGGCGCGATTTTTAGTCCCAGAGGTGAGTAGTCTGTCTGTTTTGCGCCTTCGCCACCCCTTGACTTTGTACGCTATCGCCTGCAGGGTTGCCAGGCACACGACCAAACCGCGCAACTCCCGCCTCCACTTAGCCTGCTAAGCCACTTGACTCTCTGCATTGCACTCCCAGACAAATGACCTTCATTCTGCACAATCGCTTCTCGTACGGTAGCGTATACTTGTGGGTTCACGAGGCAAGTTGTATTTGTTACTTCCTAATTCATAGACGACACAGCTAATCAAGAGCAATACATAGGGCAATCAGGGATACACGGAATACACTTCGGAAACAGAGACCGGACGGGATCTATACCCGCCGGGGTATATGGAGACGGAGGAGCAAAGGGTAGGAATGTGGAGCCGGAGAGAAATAGTAGACGATTATATGCGACGCTTGAAGGTAAGTGCGTTTTAAGTCGTGAAGGTCGTGGAAACGGTTGACTCGTTAGGTGGCGAAGGCGGTCGTGATGGTCTGGTGGCGGGGACGAGGGGAGGTGGCCTCATATCAGGAGGAGGCTCGCCCACTCCATGCGGAGGCCGTCACGCCAGTCGCCCATGACCGCCGACCGGTCGCCGGGACGCTGCATCCGGTTGACGGTTTCGCGATGGAGCCAGATCTGCTCCATCACCGTCTGCGCGAGGAGGACGTTGCCCATCGTCGCATCTTGCATGAAGAAACGATGCTTGACCACCTCGCGCATCATCTGATTGTTTGTCATGCAACCGGCGAGGAAGAGAGGGAGCACGAGCGCGCGATCGTACGGCGACGGCCGCAGCTCGTTCAAAAGCTTCATCATTTGCTCGACGCCGTTCATAATCTCTGGGACACCTGCGAGAGGATGGTCAGCAGCTTGCATTAGGCGCGAAGGTGAGCATGCATACCTGGCGAGGAGTCACTGAGGACAGTGTGCAGGTACAAGACGGCTGTCTCGCGGAACATCTCTCCGATAATGTGCTTGGAAGCGTCTGCTTGTGCTCTAGGCGACCTCGATGCACCCGACATTCCTGGCTGGACATGCGGAAGGCCCATCGCCATCGGAAGACCTGCGGGCGACATATCCAAGCCTGCTAGTGCCGCTGCCTGGCTCTGATACTCGTCCTCTTCTGCGCGCAAGCCCGTCGCACGCTCCCGGAGCTCCTTCTCGATAATGTCGCCCCGTCGGATCAACTCGCGCACGCTCAAGCTTCCGTTTTGCAGCTCTGACGCCTTCCAGTGCGCCAGTGCGGAGATTTCGGCCAAGGCGAGCAGGGCGTCGTTGGGGCACCCCGTAAGCCCATCCATGCGCAGCTCGGCGTTCTGCGCTGGGCTCGCGGTGTTCGCCCAGAAGCCGGCGCCACCCCCGAACAGCCGCTTGTACAGCGACAGGAAGCGTGGTGGCTGCTTGAGCGTGATGCTCGCCAAGACATCAATATACTGGTAGGTCCGCAAATCCCATGTCAGTCTTCCCGCGTCTTGTCAAATTCTGCGATCGGCAGACGTACCATGATCCCCTTCGCGGCGAAACGCGCGGTGGCGGACATGTTCAACAACGTCAATTTCGGGTTCTCTTCGTTGTAGATCCCGGTCTGGCCCAGCCACTCGCACGCGTACTCGAGCGGCGTCGCCCAGTCCATGGTCCCGCCGCCGAGCACGGCGTACGAGATGAGCAGCACGGCTGCGATCGCATCCGAGTCCGAATACTGCCCGGTGCCGTTTGTCTGTGGGGCGTGCACGAGCCCGTACAGCGCACGGTCGTAGAACTGTCGCGGCAGCGCGTTCTCGTGGTCTGGATCCTCTGCGATTGGGTCTGCGCCCTGCGCCATGCGTAGCCGCGCGTGGTGGAGCGCCGCGAGCGCACACAGCGTGAGCGCGACGACGCCGTTCGGTTCTTGTTGGATGATCTGCGGGGGCGCGACGTGTTAGCGAATTTGTCTGCATTCGAAAGCAGAAGCGAGGAACGTCGAGAAGTGTGCGGGGCGGCATTGTTCCCACCGGGCGAAGCAATGTCGCGCGAAGCGCCGATTGGGCGCACAGATTCGAAATCGATATCTGCGGCGCCGGGTCGCGCGGTTCACCGGGGAAGGCGCGCCCCTTCGCTGAGTGCGAATTTGAAGGTGGCAAAGAGAAGGGAAGGATGGAACTCGCGATGACGAAGGCTCGACGGCTTGCGCCGCGGTCGAAGTGTCGCGGACGTCAATACTCACAGGATACAAGATGTTTGCGAGCGTATCGCCGCAGAACACAAACTGCAGTTCTCGGACCTTCTTGAAATAGTACGCGATATACTCCTCCTGGCGGATCGATGGCTGTGGCGTCGACGGCACTGAGACACTGAGGCCTTGTGAGGGCATAAAGTAGTGTGAGTCGTCGCCCCCTGGCAGCGATATCGACGATGCTGACTGGCCGAAGCCGTAGAGGGGGTCGGACATGGACGCGCTAGTCGGGGTGGGCAGGAAGGTGACCATGGGGGACATCTGGCTCGCGCGGGCTGACGATGACGGGCCCGCGGGGTGGTTATGTGGGTGACGGTCGGGCCCTGCAAGAACCCCAGTCAGCGGCCATGAAACACCGAGAAGGTTACGTCCGCGGTGCCCGCTTTCGAATTCGCTGCACCGTGCGCGATAGCCTCGCTCAAGATAGGCGGAATTGAGGAGCGGCTTCGCGAACACGGGGCACGGCACGGACGGGAGGGCGACTTACCGGATGCGGCGCCGGGCAGCCCACTGAGGTGATATGGGGCTCCGCGCATGTAGCCCGCCTCGCGGCGGTACTCCCGTGCGCTCATGCTGCGGCGCATCGACGACGTCGTGGGCCCGGGCCCGGCGACGCCTGGCGTCGTGGGCCCGGGCCCGGCGACGCCTGGCGTCGGGGGCTGCGACGCGGATGCGAGGCCGGTGTGCCACGGCTGGCGCGGCTGCCCGCGGATGAGGCCCATGCGCGAGAGCTGCTCCTTGATGTCCGCCTTGTATGCGGCGACCTTTTCCTTGTCCTGTTATTCAGCAGGCCCGCGGAGTCCGGCGTGCACGGTAAGCGGGAACGTCGGGCGTCGGGCAGGGGTGCGGGGGAAGAGGGGCGCATCGCATCAGCACAGTTCGCGGTGGCGCGGCCTAGAGATGTGATAGACGCACCCGCATCCAGTCGGGCCTCTTGGGGCCCCAGCCGAGGCACTTTATGCGGAGGCGGACGCACGTCTTGCAGGAGTCGCCCTCGCGCTCTTCGTCGCATTTCTGGGGGGCGCGGCGAAGCGCAGGGAAGAGAAGGCGGAGAAGGTGAGCATGATGGTATCATCACCAAGAGACGGGCTGCGCCGTGATACATACCTTGCGTCGAACCCGACATGTCCTGCGGTTGCCGACCACGGAGGGAGACGAGGAGCGAGGTACGTGAGCGAGTGTGTACTAAGGAGAGAGTGTAAGAGGAGGAGGGCGTACCAGCATCCGCCCTTGCCAGTCGAATTTGAGCGCGTCAGATCAGACATGAAGCGCGTCGGCGTGCCTCGCGAGCTCTGGTTGCCGGTGGACTCGCCCTCATCCGAGGCCTGGGAGATGTATAGTGAGGTGGCGGCGGAGATGGGAGACGCGTTTGCGGAGGGACCGTCAGATGCGAGTTCGGGAGACGGGGAGTTGCTGTCGCCACTAGATGGCGAATGCATGGCTTTGAGTGCCATGTGAGAAGGGGACGTCCGGAGGTTCTACGAGCGGATCGTCGTGTGGGCGTGTGGAAGGTAGCACGGGAAAGGGTGAGACAAGAGGCCCGGGGAGAAGGGAGAAATAAGAGCGGATGGGGGCGGCGAGAGGAGGACCGGAGGGAGGGGTGGCTGAAAGAGGGGTGGTATATGGGGATGGGAGACGAGTCGGAGGAGGAAGTGGAAAGAAGGGCGACGGCATGATGGAGGACGCGATGATATCTCTGTCACCAAGGGTCTGCCCCTCTCCGGACCCCCACCCGCCCTCGCCCTCCGACGAATTCAATATCCCACGCGAGAGAGAGAACAGATCGCCTGCACCGGCCCCAGCCCGCGCTTGCGGCTTCGCACCCATCCATCATCATCATTTCTCTCCGTTTATTCCAATATATTCCTTTCCGGCCCAATCGAGATTCGCCCACCAGCTGCACAGCACCGATACCGATCCCTCGTCGCCCCGTCTCACGTCCTCCCCAGCCTGCGCATCGTGATTTTGGTCACGGACGCACATCCAGGCGCGCGCCTCTCCTGCGTTCTCTCCACGAACTCCTCTCTCTCGTTCATACTGCCGAGATGCGGTGCTGCGGAAGCACCTACCAGCGAGCCGTGCGCGTTCACCGAAGAACCATGGGGGCCACGCGGAAGAGGTTTCGCGGCCTTGCCGTCGGGGATGTCTTAGCGTCGTGCAGGCATGAGCCAAACCTCCTTGGTTCCCGGAGCGAATGTTACGTTGGCAGACAGGTGTGTGCGCCTGCTCTCGCGCGTCGCCCCTCTGCCCACAGAACATCACGAACGTCGTCATCGACATGTCACTTTTCTGCTCCGCTTCCTCCAACAGCCAACTGACTCTGCTCGCCCAATGGTGGCCATCTGCGCGCGGCTCTATCGCTCCCGGTGAGTCCAATGTCCGGAGTGCTAGTGGTAACCCCTATTGGGACATCAGTGTACACGACGTACTTACTCGGCGATCCCATATCTGCGCAGCTGGCGTCAGCGTCGCGGAGGGCGAGGTGGCTGCTCGAGGCGCGTCATGTCTTGGCCGGATATTTGAGCTCGCAAGTACGTATGCAGCGAACGCTCACCGCCACGGAGGAGTGCGCACGCTTCATTCTTTCTGTGCGGAAGCGTACCTGGATCGATCTGGCCGGACGAGGGCCGTCCGTGTCGGAACGGGGACGTGCGAGAACGGTATCCATGCCCGAAACGGGCCAAAACCTGCGGGTTCCGCCGTCCACTCCGTCTCCAGTGGTGCATCTCGTTGCTCGCAGTACTACCTCCGGCGTGTTTCCCAGTGGCAGATGGTGATGATGATCTCATCTATTGTAATGTGCCATAGCTGGTCCTCGCACTCCCCATGGCCGAGCTAGAGCTAATCGCCCGTCCATCCATCTCCGTCCCATCTAGCAGCTTTAATTGTGACTGGTCCTCGTGGCAGCAGTGAGAACGACGGATCCCGACTACGTACTACACATACACATCGTGGCTTCGGTGTCATAGGAGCTCCAGCAACCCTGTCGCGGCGGGCGAGTCGACGTCGAGTTGTGTCTGCGGGCACGTCTCCTCAGCTGGCCTCGAGGCTCGCACCGACTGCCTCGAGCCCGCGAAAAAGCTATGTAATGTGATCCGCTCTCGGAGGCCAAACCCGGCAGGCGATTCGCCGAATCTCGACTAAAACGTCACTCCCCCCGGCTAGCTAGTTCTCGTCGGCCTCGCTCCCGCGCATTCTAGCACGAATTGCAGCAACGCAGAGCTCGGATGGCCGCATGCGGGGATGTGGGCATGGCGGAGGGGGTGGGGGTGGAGATGTGGCAGAGATGCGGCTGTGGTCGTGCCTGTTCGCCGACGCACCAGCCCTGACCATAACCCAACTTGACGCATCACAACGCGCCTCCGTGCACGATGTGGCGGTGTGCGAGTGTTGAGTTCAACACATCCCCTTCCTCGCAACTTCGACCACGCAAGATCCATCAGAACTGCTCTTCCCTCCTCTCCAGAGCCATTCGCGTTCCCTACCGCGTCGCCGCGGGGCGCGCGTCCAGTGGGTACAGTATGCGAGGTGAGGTACGGGCGCGGCGCGTCGGGTGCGCACGCGTGCGCCAGCTGAGCACGGCGGATCCGTCGAATTCGCAGGCGCATCACCTTCGTGGGTCGGCCATCGCGGCGCCCGGCTCACATAGGCCCTCCATCGCCCCCCTCCGCCTCCAATTGTGCACACCGCACTCTCGGTCACGAGCACGCACAGCTCCCGGCCGCTTTCGCACTCCCTATCGCGTACGCCCCGATGAGCCCCCGACAACACGGAGGGCGTTTCAGAGACCGATCCTGGCCAGCACCATCGCCCATCGCCCCTAGACGTACCGCCACGCGAACTTCGACGAGGATGCAAACATCGACAGCCATCGACTTCGCTGGTTCGTGATGTGGGCCGCATCGTATCGTGGTTTCGTGGACACTTTACCGCCGCGCACATAGCAGGCAAGTTCAATCGCTGCGCCACCGCCCCTACGAATCCGAAGGGACGCTCCCCGGGATCTCCGCTGGGGCTTCTATCAGAGAGGCCCGCTTCAAATTGCCCAGATGCCGCAACCGAGCCGGGCCACACTAGCGTCGATGCGCCAATTCCGTCGCCGCCGCCTGCCAAAAGACGCGACTTCGCGCCTCCGAATCGGAGAGCGCGCGTGCGCACGCCGTCGCCAGGCCCGTCCTGATTTCTGAAATCATCAAATTCCCGATCGGGGGGCGGCTACGCGAAGGTAGTGCGGCGGGGCGCACTCTTCTGAGGATCATGGAAAAGAACAAGGCCTGCCAGATATGCTGGATCGCCGAGGACAGGTTTTGGGGATATGCGTATATCGTCGTGGGGTTTCCGCGGGCGTCGCGTGCCAGATGGTTAAATTTCATTTAATGTGGGTGAGGCTAGCCTAGCGTATGTGACAGCATCCTAGTACGGCACTATTGGGAGCCTGGAACTTGGATCACATTCAGTACCGTATCTTTATCTCTTCCTAAGAGTCATACTTCACCGTGCGCTGACGAGAGGGCAGCAGATCCCGGCGGCGCATGATGGGCCGCAGCGAACGCAAAACGCAGAAACGCAGACACATTGGAAATGCGCCCCGGAAATATCAGCACAGTAGGTCCAATGCCCGTCCTTGGCTGCTCCGCGTTCTCACCAGATCCACGTTTGTCCAAGCTTCCGCGCTCCCCCACCGTAACCCTCGCTCCCGTCTCCACCGTCCTCGCGTCGATCCGCTCCGAGTCAGTGGACCCCATTTTTTCCAGCCACCCGGTGCGCGTCACGTAAGTGGCCACGCATCTTTTGTGTGGGTGGTGCTCATCATAGAATCTTGCACCCGGTGGTACGTGCTGAAACGCACCGGCAGGAGCAACAGCCAATCCAGGCCTTTTTGACTCACCATGCGGCGCTTTGGCCGGCAACTCAGCATGTCGTCAAACAGAAAAACATGGAGAACGCACCGGCACACTCAAGTCCCTGCGCGGCACGCCTGCCTACGTTACGAGATTTGCAGGGCGGCAGCAACAACCGTACAGGGGTGCGAGCGCGCGCCGAGTTGACCCCCCGTTCGTTGCAGTCAAACTCCCCCCTGCAGCTGTGCACGGTAGTCACTGCTGTGCATTATCCATGACCCGAAATTACCCTGGAGCTCACGGCTTTCACGGACAGACCCAGGAGGCCCACGGACGCCCCACCGAGGCCTCGCAACACACACCTGACGCTGCCAGTGATGTCGCCCTGCTGTCGGGTTTGACGGCCTCCCCCCGCCTGTTACCTAATTCGACAGGCAGGGTGACGTCGGCAAGCGCAGCCAGGCGCGTTATTACTGCTCCCCCATGCTTGCAACTATATTCGCTGACGCAGCAAATCCCGCAGAGTCGGCAGTATGTCTATAGGAGCCGTGGACGTCGGGAAAAACCACGGCTCCCATGGGGCCACATGCGCAGCGCAGCACTACGACAGCTGTTTCCCTTCCACAACTACTCGACCCCCAACCCCCAACGACGGCCTTCAAGTTCGATGCTGTCTCAGTGTCTGAAGAACCGTGCCCAGTATCCAGCAACGGCGCCGTCGCACCCGCTCTCAGTCGAGATCAACCGTAGTTCTGATTTGCACCGTCGTGAGTTTCTTCGCTGCGAGTCGGACGCTCGGCGCAGCTCAATATCATCATCAGATGTGGCCACTTCGTTGCTCCTATAGGTCGACCGACGGCCGTGCAACCATCCCCCCGGCGGGGCCAACGTGGCATATCCACATCGAGGTGCGTTGCTGTTACTGCGTCGGTGTTGATTTTGGTGCTGCCGCAGGCACATTGGCGACGCGGGGGTGCGGTCGGGTCATAACGGTCCTCCCGCTCCCGCAGCGCACATTTCATCCGACTCGGGTATAGCACGATCTTGAGGCATGGCAAAGTGTCCCTCTCGTTTCCCCGACCGCTCTTCCTGGATGCCTCAAGCATACGTCGCCCATGATGCCGACCCCATCGCCCCCAACAAAGTTTCCGTCTTACCGCTACAGCTCGTCCGCAAGCCGGGGGAGCCCCACGGCCGCGTAAGTAATATTGCACGCGAGCACGCCTGCCTCCGGTCGATATCCCGGTAACGCACATCTACACCCCCGTCCGGACGACCACCCTCCGCTGACTGAAGGCAGCCCATCACACATCGGCTGTACGCCCCCTCATAAGCCAGCCCCCAATCCTCCGTGCACAGCGGGAATTACGGGCGATCGTCCCTCGCGAGGCTCGTACGGCCCGGCGCCGTCCGTCGCGCGGTATCCGGATACCACATACACTTAATATTTAGGCACGGTGCGTGCGGCAGCTTCGCCTGAGCCTCCGCCTTCGACTTCGATGCCGCAGCGCAGCGTGACGCATGGTGGCCCAGAAGACCGTCGCCTCCGCCTTCGCCCTCGCCAGGCTTCGCTGCAGCTGCCGCACCTGGTGAAGGGAAGGGCTATCGACCGTCGCGCGTGCGACGGGTGCTTCCACGCGCCTCGTGCGCCTGATCTCCGCCGCACAGGCCCCGGCCCCGCAGGGCCAATGCCCTATGACATACATACCCGGCTTCCCTCCCAGCCTCTCGCGAGCTGTTACGCTCAGCCCGGCGAAATGCACGGCGGCGGGGGCTCGCGGAGCAGCGACTCGGACGCCCTGAGGGAAGCGCGTGTGTTCCGGGCGCCAGTCTGGGCGAGATGAGGCTTCTGCGTCCGATGCTGGTCGGGCGTTCTCACCGCGCAGGCGCCCAGCCCCCCGCCTTCTCGCCCTGCCGCAGGCCCCGCAGGCGCACGCACGGGGCGATCGACCATCGCAGGAACGGCGACGGGGCATATGATCCTGCGCACGTAACCTCAGGCTATAGAACAGAACTTCGATGGCTGCAGCAGCCGCCCGCGCGTCGGCGCCTCCGATGTCCTTCGGAGTCGGCTGGGGGAGGTCCGCACGGCGCACACAAGGACCCCCGATAATCCCTACTGAGGCCTTTTCACCTGTCCGGACCAAAATGGGGGTCCCGGCGGGGGTATGCCTTGTACAATCCGGACCAAAAAGGGCCTCCGGGGCCGGACAGGCTATGTACAGTGTCCGGACCACTGGGGGGCCCCGGAGGAGGCCTTATGCGGTCGTGGTCCGGACAGATGGCGGCGGAAGCTTAGCGCTTATCAGCGCTTAGCATACAAAGTGATGTAAGTTCGTAACTGACCGCTTTTAAACGACGACTTGCTGAAAACAAATGCCCCCGGGCGCGTTCCGCGTATCAGAGCAAAAACGGGCCCCTGGGAATTTTTTAGACATTTATTACCATTTTCGGGGATTTTTCGAGGCTTTGTACGCTGTCCGGACCACCGGAGGGCCGTTCGGGAGGCCTTGAGCACCATCCGGACCAAAATGGCCCATGGAGGGTCGCCAAGCTGTCCGGACCAAACGGACCCAAAAGGGGTCCGCCGGGAAAAGGCCTCAGTAGGGATTATCGGGGGTCCTCGCACACAACGGGCACTTGCAATCAAGATCGCTGGGTGTTCGCTTGATAGTCACCCACCCGTTCGTTTTTGCCCAAAGAGAACTGTTCCGCCGCCGTCCATTTTGCGCGAGCTTCAATTGCAGGGGGCCTCGGGGGTGCACCGCGTCCAGGCGCCCGATCGCGCGATCAGACGGGGCGGAGGGGCGATGCAGGCTGCCCATATATGGCGGTTGTTGTACTTCGAGCCCGGAGCCCCCTCTGTGCGACCTTGAGGGCGCGCGGGAGGGGAGTGCTGGGCGCCTGGCGGGCGAGCCGATAACGATTGTCTCTGCTCGCGGAGATGGGGCGTGATGCGCTGCTCGTCCATCCTGATCCCGCCGTGGCTTCGCTCGTGGACGGGACACTGCAAGTGCGGACTCCGTTTCGCCGGGTGCGACGAATTTCACGCACGCGCGGGCCCAGCACAGGGGGTGCTGCGGGCGTGGGGTCGGTGGTGCTGCATATCATATGGTACCATGGCCTCTGGTGGAGACGTGCTTCCGGATCTACTGCCCGTGTTTATTACGCGACACGTTCTGCGTTTTCGTAAATACACGAGAAGCACACGGCGATATGACACAGACGCCGCGTCATCCAAGCGGAGCTTCGCGCTCTAGGACGCATATGTACATTAGAGTTTAGAGTGCGGAAAACACGTACGTGCGTATGTTTTCATTTCCCCGTTTCCTCATTTCCCCAGAACACAATAGGCCCGAACACACGCGGCGCGCGCCAAGAATAGCGAGCCCTGCCGTATCGCGCCGCGCGCACGAGGCCCGCTCGTTGAGTGCTGTTTGCGTCTGCGTATACAGACGGCGGTCATGCGCCAGTGGGACGAGGCCCGCGCAGGCCCCGGCATCGCTGATGCACATCAGCGCCTCCGCGCGCGCCTCGCAGCACTCTCTGGCAGCACTCCTGATCTGCGGCGGCCAGAAGCGACTTCCCCAAGGCGCAAGGGGCCGCCACAGACGCTATCGCAGGCCCCGGTTACGAGACGTCGGCCCACTCTTCTCCCCCCTGGATCACGGTGTAACTCGAAGGGGAGAGGGGATGGCTGACTGACAGGCTGCCGGCAGGGCTTTCCCAGCGCCCCGCAACGAGGCGGGCGGAAGAGCGGGGGGTGGCACCACGGTGTCCTGAAAGCAAGCCTATCGAGCAGGGAGGGGTGGACGTACCTGGCTCGAGACGTGCGGTCCACACGGGAAGCCCGCCACGCGCAGGGCACGCGTCGCCCCTCCGTGCACGACGTCGAGGAGCGGCGGTCCGGGGTCCTGGCGCGAGTTTTGCAGAAGTTCGCGTCGGGAGGAGGTGCCCGTGCTCCGCCGCAGTGCGCAGCTCTCAGCTCCAGCATCCGAGCGCGAGCAGAAACAGAATGCACACCTATGCCGGGTATGTAGTCAGCGACCGTTGTATACGACGACTCAATGAACGCTCCCGACAGAGGTCCTCTATAGCCCGAACGAGGACGCCCAGCCGGAGGCTCGGCGTCGCACCCGACAGCGCGATACTTGCGGAAATCGCGCGTCTGCATGCGCCCGTCTTCGCAGCGTATGCAGCGACGCAGCGCCGGGGATATGACGTAGGCCTTCTGCGCTGCACAAAGGCCGGACGTGCGTGAGTGCGAGGTCTGGCCGACGCGCACCGAGCACGGTGCGCTTCCGCGGCGTCGGTCCCGGCTGGAGGCTGCGCTATGGGAATCGGCGCCCTGCGAAAGGCAGGCTGCATAAGTCGTCCATCGTCAGCCGAGCTGAGGCGCACTCACGCGGCGCGCGGCGGCGTTCGGTAGCTCGTTCCTCGTCCGTAGCACTTGCACTGCGCGTCTGCGTTTGTCTCCCTCTGCCCGGGGCGCGGAGACTAGTGCTGCTTGCGTGCCGCGAAGGCGAACGCGGGGTCGCGCGAAGAAGCCTTGCGAAGATGGCCATCCGATTAGATCGAGAAGCGCGACGCGATAGAAGGGCGGAAAACCTCACGCGCATCCTCCACCAGCATGTCTGTCTGCCAGTGGCCCGAGCTTCTGCAGCATCACCGCCGCTCGCCCGCGCTGCCGTTCGTGGCTCGCGAGCCCGAGCCTGCCCAGCCCCGCCCCACTACTACTACGGGCGCACCGGCCCTAACTTCGCCTTCGCGCGCGCAGCGTACCCCAGCTTCCCACCCTTCGCGGCCGGCCGCTTCGCGCCTTCCTTCCCTCTTCCCTCTTCCCGCTTCGCCCCGCTCGCACGCCTGCAGGCGTCCCGAGTTGGCACGGCGACTCGCCTCGCGCGGCGGGCACGGGGCACGGAGCCAGAGACACAGCATTGTCGGACGCTGGAAAGGGAACGGGAACGGGTGCTCGGAGAGAGAAGCAGGTACAGGAGAAGGTTCAACGGGCACGCGGCGGTACGCTACAAGGAATCGAAGCGGGGGTGTGCGCGGGCAGGTGGCTGGGACGCGAAGCACATTACGTGGGGGGTGGGGTGGCTCTGAGGGGAGACGGGGGTCACGGACGGGGCGTGCGGGGCGAGGCGAGGGCAGGGCAGGAAGCTGAAGACGGAAGGGGGAGACGAACTTGGCGCGGAATGAAAGGGAAGAAGTTCGAAGGCAGGGGCGGGCCAATGGTAGCGCGGGCAGATCGTAAGCGACGCGTGGGGCGCAGGATCCTACGGTGCAATATAGCGGGTGTGAGGAAAGGTGCAGGCAGGCGTACGATAGGCAGGAGTAGAATACATACATACATGCAGGCAGGCAGCAGCACAGCCGGACGGAGCAGCGCAGACCGGGCAGTACTCTCTGTGGCTTTGTATAGACGACTCGTAGGGCGTGGGACCAGGCAAGCCTAGCGACGGGGACGACGGACTGGTCTGGTATCTGTGCGGGGGTAATATGGTTTTACAGTGGTGCGGTGGCTGTGGAACTGTGGAAGATGCGGTTTTTCAGTAAGCATAGTAGACGCGATCAAAGCAACGTGCGTAGAGAGCAATCCAAACCCAGAACGAGGAGGGAGATGAGATGAGAGAGAGAGATGAGAGAGAAGGGGATGAATGTGATGGAAAAACGGAGCGACGATTGTGTGTGTGTGGAGGTGGCCGGAGCGTGAACGCGATCGGGTCTTCTATACGAGGAGGAGGAGGTCGGGGTTGCTCTCGCGCATGACCCTGCGCCAGTCAGTCGGCCGGTAACGCCCCGCGTCGCGCTCGGCGTCGCGCTGCTCCCACACGTTCTGCATGAGGCGCTTGACCTCGCCGACGTTGCCCACGGACTCGCGCTGCTGGTACTCGAGCATGCGGATGAGGAACCCGCGCTGGCGGTGGTCGTCCGTCAGGCACCCGCTGATGCAGATCCCGAACACCACGCTGCGCACGACGCTCCGGTGCACCGACGGCGCGTCCATCGGGATCCGGCTCAGCGCGTCGATCGTCTCCGTCACCGCGTTCACGATCTCCGGGCACGCCGGGTAGTCGCCCGACAGCACCGTGTGCAGGTACACCTTCGCGCTCGCGCGGAAGATGTCGTTCGTCAGCCGCCGCCGCTGCACGACCTCCGCCTCCGTCGCGCCGCCCCCGCCCGCGTGTTGCGCGTACATCGACACCGGGTGCTGCAGCGCCTGCGGGCCGTACATCCCCGGCTGGAGCGGCACCGCGAGCGGCTGCGGGGACGACGGGCCCAGGAGGCGCTCCTCGATGTCCGCGCCGCGGTGGACGAGGTCCGGGATGCTGAGCGTGCCGCGGTGCAGGTGGTTCTCCTTCCAGTGCGCGAGGTTCGAGATCTCCGCGATCGCGAGCACGATCTTGTTCTCGCAGCCCATGACGGGCAGCATCGAGATCTCGGGCGCGCTCGCCGCGGGGTCGCCGATGTACGCGCCCTGCGCCGCGAACAGCTGCCGGTACACCTCCAGGAAGCGCGGCACCGTCTGCGTCGTCACGCTCGCGAGCACGTCGAACCACATCGTCGTCTTGATGATGAACCGCGTGCTCTCCGGGCACTTGCGCAGCGCGTCCTCGGGCCCGTAGAAATGCGGCGCGTTGAGCAGCGCCTGCACGTACTCGCACGCGATCCCGAGCCAGAACGCCCAGTCGCCGCGCCCGCCGGAGAAGAGGAAGCTGGAGACAATGTGGAGGCCGGCCATCGCGTCGCCCTCCGTGTACTGCGTCCGCCGGTTCGCGACGGCCAACTGCACTCGATTGAAGATCATGTTAGCGTCCGTGGTTTGCGCCGGGTAACTTAGGCTTAAGTGCAATGCGGAGAGCACGCATGCCGCGTCTCGAGCCTCGGCGCTGGTCTGGATGAGCTTGATCATGAAGTGCTTGATGGAGTCGTCGGCGAGGAGATACTGTATTGGCAGCACTCGGGCGAGGTAGTGCTGGATGAGACGTCCTTGTTCCGACGGAATGGAAAGACCGAGACCGTTGACAGCCATGGGCATAGGCATTTGCGCACTCTCCGGACTCGCGATATGGTCAACATCGTCGTCAGACAAGGTGTTGGGATCGAGGTTGTACGATTGCGCCAGCTGCGAATGCGGGTGGTTGTAGTAAGTCGAAGGCAGGTATGTAGGAGCCGATATTGAGGAATTCATGGTGGTCGACGCCGGATAATATGATCCACCAACATGAGGGAGCCCTGCCAACAGAGGAGGGCATTAATCATGATACATTCATAATACACTAATAACGGTACGGCGCCTTACAGGAGGAGGAAGCAGAAACTATGGAGGTAGGAGACTGTATCATAGTAGGAGCGGGCTGGGGCTGAGGCTGAGGGGCGGGGGCAGAGGGATGGTACATGAGCTCGTTCACGTTCGGCAGCATGGGGCCTCGGTTCATGGCGGGATCGTGTCCCAGCTCCGGAATGGCAGGCTGCCAGTCTGCGAGAGTTCACTACCATGTAGGCGAGAAGTTAAGAGGGTACATACTGTGGCCATACTGCTGCTGCTCCGGGGGCATGGTAGTGTAGTGGGCAGGGGCACGCTCGAAGGAGGTGTTCATGCCGTTGTGGGGAGGTCGTGGCCCCTCGCTCGAGGAGGTAGCGGAGAGGGTGGGAGTGGGGGGGCTCGAGGGCGACGTGTGGAGGGAGTCGACGAGGACGAGGACGGGAGGGTCCTGGTCTGTGGAACGCGGGCCCGAGCCCGAGTGCCCTTTGATCATGCCCTGCGAAGCAAGGAAACTCTTGATCTTCTCGCGGAGCTCAGTGACGCTGTTGTTCTCCTTGCGTCAAGGATCGGGCAGAGTCAGCCCCTATCTCGACAGCGTGAAAATTGACAAGCGACGACTCACCCTCATCCACTCTGGACGCTTCGCGCCGAAACCGAGACACTGCAGCCTGAGGCGAACGCAGGTCTGGCAGGCGCCATCATCGTTGGGCTGCTCGTCGCATTTCTGTTTGTCGTGGGGGTAGAGGGGAATGAGGTGGCGGTTGTGAGAAGAGGAGGGAAAAGGCGCGGAAGGGGAGATCGGGGTTAGAGATTGAGGAGAACGATGATGAGCGCCTCGAGGACTAACCTTCCTACGGATCCTGCAGGTGTAGCAGCCCGACTTAGCACGGACGGCGCCTTTTGGCTTGGGCGCTCCGGGCTTCTTTTGGGATCGGGCCTGCGTAGAGGCGGAGGAGACCACCTTGCGGGGGCTGGAAGGAGCGTCGGGCATGAAGCGGCTGGTGGAGGTGCAGAGTGATTATTTATTGGACGGGGGGAGTGCGAAAGAGAGGCGGACGCGGACGGGGAGTGGTGGGCGGTTGTTGGGAGAAGGAAGAGAGGGACACTATATGTACCCCAGGGCGCTGGGCAACAACCGTGCGACTTTCCTTTCGTTGATTCCTTTATTTTCCTTTATTTACTCCCCTTATCGCCCGGGCCCCCGGCCACCGCCCCCACCTTTCCATACGCGTCTAGTCCCCTGCGTCGCCAGACACAGCCTTGTCCCATCACGTAACCGCTCGGTATTCTTAATTTTCGTCCTTAGCTCCCTTGTCAGCGCAATGACGGGCGTCCCGCCGCGTCCCCCGCAGAGTCTCACCACGCCGGACGAGCTCGCACCACTCCGAAGCGGGCGCGCCCCCGCCCGGTGCAGAGCGCAATCAGGGCGCTGGGCTGCGGTGTCCGTGCGCGTGAGCGGTGCGGACGAAGTGGGCAGCGCTGGAGAATGGAAGAGCGCCCTCAAACTCTGTCTGGCCGGCGCTCGCCCGGGGGAGGAGGCGGGAGCCGAGGGGACGGGCAGGGCGTCCTCGTGTCGACCCGCTCGTCTGGTCACAAGGCTTGCCCGATAAAACCCACAGCCGCTGAGATCGGATCCTTGTCATTCTCTTTCTCAGGCACCCGACTAGCCGCCCGTCCCCGTCGTTCTAGGCTCAGCGCGAGCCCCCTCTCCCCCGCGACTCTCCCTCCTCGCTGCTCCCAATCCAGCTTGGTCGCCGGGCGGCTGCAGCACAATCCAACTCTGCCCCCACACAAGCGACCCCTGCCCGACGCCCCGCACACACAACGGCCTTTCTCGCTCGCCCATACAGTCCGGACAGACAAATTGCACGCAGCTGACAGCGCTAGCACGCGCGAGCTGTCCAAATGGGCCTTCGCCTGCTTCGTGCAGCCTGCGCAGTACAATCGCCGCACCGGCCAATCGTCCTCCCCACGGCGCTTACCTAAACCTACGACCGCCCTCGGATCCATCGCTCGGACACGATCAAGACATCTCCTGACAGATGTCCCGACCGCCCGTCTCCACTACCACCCACTCCCCCGGGGCGCCCTCCCCCCCACCGTCCAGCGCTGCCGTACGCTGCACCTGCCCAGTCCTAACGTACTCGGTCCTCGTCCGATCAGATTATTAGCCCTGCTGTTACTCTACGCAGTAGCACAGTCGAATGGCATTATTGTGATCGTCGTCGCCCCCGCGCACCCGTGCACGCACGTTCCGCCGGTACTCTACATACCGTCGATGCAGGGTCCGCGCGCGACCGCGCCGCAATACTGTATTATCGTACAACCTGTTCTCTGCGTTTCACCCGCCAGCAACCCATCACCACCCGCCGCGCCATGCACTGGCTGCCCATATGTATCTACGCTGCCATATTCCTCGCTAGTGCGGGGACGCGCCCGGAAAGCGAGAGAGATCCATCCATCCCCGGCGCCCCCGATCGAGGCTGCTTGCGAACGTCGACCGTCGATGCGGACGGTGCGGTCCCCCAGATATCACACCGCTCGAAGCCCCCGCGTGCGATGCATCTCCCCACATTCGCCTGATGAGAACAGCAGAACAGCACCAGCGCCGCCGCAGCGATGGCCCGGCAGCACCTCTCATTCTCTCTCCTAGCAAGTACCCTGCTCCCCCACGTTCGCCCCTCCAACCCGCCGCCGCCGGAGGAACGAGACGGGCGGATGACGCGATGGCCTGCGCGGCGGCCTCGCACGCGCACGAGAAGGCCTCTGCGGAGACGTCTAAGATTGACGTTCCCCCGATGCCGCTTCTTGTTGGGCGCCCGCGCCGCCGGGTGATGCATTGCTCGCTGGGCCGCCCACGCCAAACGGCCCTCCCCCGCTCAGACTCAACCGCCGCACGATAGAGTCCCGCCGCCTGCCGGTCGGAGCGGGGCCACTGCTCGGGGACGTCGCGAGCTGCCCTGGGGCGGACGGGCTCGCGACGGGAGGTGTTGCGTCGCCCGGGAGGACGCCCTGTGTCGATCGGCGGGCAATGAGCGCCCGGATCGCACTCAGCCACTTGATCTCCTCCTCCTCGCTCGGCGCACAGAGAAGGAGGGTGCGTTTCGTCGTGACAATCTTGAACGTCTGCGACCGGTGCGTGGCGTCCCCATCGTCGGGAGAAGACGAGGAGGGCACGGGCGGCGACGTGGCCGACGGGGACGTGACGCTGGGCACATTCCGGTGCGCCGGAAGGTCGTACTCGAGCGCGTCCAATATCATCGAGAGCGGGATTTGACGGTGCGCCTTCGTGTCCTGCATGAACGCCGGTATGACGAGCGCCATGAAGCCATATCCGTCAGCACGCTTTGCCTTCGCGAATACAATGCGGGTGACTGAACCGAACACGCACCATGTGGCTCCGAGAATAGATGAGCTTCTCGCCGCTGAGTACGAACCATCGTTTGTGCCAGTTGTGCCGGCGAGATCCGCACTTCATCAGATATCCGGAAAGCACTGGCTTGGATGGCGAGGCAGCCTCGGAAGTGGAAGTTGGCGCGGTAGCAGATGAAGATATTGGGAACGACTTTGGGTTCGGCGAGCCATCGTCAGATTCCGAAGACGTGAGCTGATGAGCATAAGGCGAATGGGATGGCGAGGAGGACAGGCGGGACGGGCCGCGGGCTGTACCAGGTGTGGTCGGGATTGGGATGGGCGCACTGACAGAGTTCCTCGTCGACGTGGACAGAAGTGCTGTACGCGCCTCGTTGATGGCGTGCACCCAGTCCTGCACCTCCGATTGTGATCCCGCCTGGAGATAGAAGGTGCGCACAGGCGAGACCAGTCCCAGCGTGTTCTGGTGCTTCTTCAGCACGACAGGCGTGCACGAGTGTATGTCCGTGAGCTCGAGCAGCCGCAGGAGCTTGTACTCCGCCGCGGTCTTGTAGAACGCGAGGTGCGCTGGGCGCAGCACAAACCACCGCTTCTTCCACGTCTATTAGACGTCGAGGGGGATCCGCACCCAATCGAGATCGAGCGGGACGCCGAGGACGGGACGGGAGGGCAAGCGCGAGCAGATTAGGCACTGCAAGGCGCGCAGAGCGAGATGGCAACGTACCTTCCTGCGTTCGCCTTTCTTCCATAGGTACCCGGTTTTGATCACGGTCTCGTCGAGGGAGCCTCGCGTCGCCGCGCTGAAGTCCTCGACCCTCCAGCCACCCTCCTCGTCATCCGTGCCCTCTTCAGACTCCTCGCCGCTACCTGACCCTCGCTCGGCGATCACGGAGAGTGGTGGCTGGGTTGCTGCAGCACCCAGGAGGGCACCGGCCGTGCTGGCCGCGGACATGGGGGACGGCGAAACCACATCCGGCGAAAACACCGAGTCCGAGTCTGATTCCGTGCCAGACACTGCGACCGAGGAAAGCGTGGGCTTCTGGACAGAACGCAGCAAAGACGTCAGCATCTCATTTGTTAAGCATTAGGGGGTCGCTTTCCGCCTGCGGCAGTGGCAAGCGCGGTTCATATAACACACCTTTACATGTGGCTTGCTAGAATGCACGGAGAGCTTTCGCGTGACCTCCTGGTGGGTTGGCGGTGGTACTGAGCGCGAGTTGGAGATGCTGGAGGCCATCTGAGCCGCCGTTAACGCGTGAATGAGAGAGAGCAGACGGTGCACAGGACAGCGAAGGCACGGTCGCCGTCGTTGTCGTTGTGATCACCTTCGCGAGTGATGACGGCGCTCATCGGAGTGTCGGAGTTGGGACAAACAATAGTGCCTTCCTTCTATTTGTTCGGTCTCCGCCACTCTCCGATAGGGTTCGAACTTCGCTGATAGACCGAGTGGCACTAATGACCCGGTGGCTGAAACAGAGCGTCAATCGCTTCTGAATCGGGCGAACATGACCTCACCAGGAAAGTGCGTTTGCGCCTACAGTGTTCTACACAACGACATGGTACGTACAGCGGACACTGCCCACCGACATGCAGAGGCAGGCCTGCTCAGTTACCCGTCAAATAAAACACACCAGTGCCATTGCAGTGCGAAAAACCCGACCCTGACGCCAAGTTTTAATCACCGGATACACGTAAGGCGTGCGTTCATCCCGCTGAAGTTTACTGCCTGCACACTGCTTGGAAGCCCTCCCAGTAACGGCATCGGTGAGCCCATTCAGGTGTCGACCATCGCACGGGTAATTTTGCTTACCTCGCCGCGCAGGCAGACCGTTCCGGATCTGCCTAGGTAGCCAACTATCTCGGAGGGTCGGCCTCGCGCAGTCGGCATGCCGCTCCATCCGCGCTGTACGCCCCCTCTTCATCATGCAGCCCTGACATCAGTGACAGCGCAACCCATGCATTGACAGGCCAGGCGTCTTCCCAGCCGTGCAACAAGGATTAGGAGCGCCACACGCGCCTGCGAGCCTTCTGCTTCAATCCAGCAAGGGACCGACCGCTTCCGAGCGCGCCGCACCGTGCCACCGACAAGTGTGTGCGCGTGTACTACCACGTTGGCAAGCCGCCTGCTTTCTGCGCCTGTACACCATGCCTGTCATTACGAGAGCCACGGTTCGCGGCTAGAGACGTGATGGCAGCGTCCCAGCCGGGTAGTGCGTCTTCTAGTCCCAAGCTCGGGTCCGGAAAGCGCGCTGCTCGTACTCGCCACCTAGGATGTCGGCGCGTTATCAGCGCGCATACCTCCGGGGTCCTCACAGACTCCTCGGCCATGATGGTCAAGCTCTGCACGCACGAACACATCGTTGTCCCGGCTGGTCGGCACTCTGTTCGTCTGCGAACAGCTGCGTGCCCGGCTACCAGCTCGAGTCTCCACTGCTTCGCAGAGCCCCGACCGCGAATTTCCATTCTGCATCCCCCTTCGGCAGGCTCGAGCTCTCGGAGGGCACAGCTGCTGCTCCTGACCGCAGCGACCCAATGACCGTGCATTTCGTCGGTATGACACCTTGTGCATCTCCCAGACGACGCTCCGACCGCCGCATTCTACCCACAGCGCCATCGCCTCCGCTGGCCAGCGTGAGCCCATCGCGTTGTATTTCACCAGTCGCGCTGCGGTGGCCCCGCTGCGCCGCGCCCCAGACGCTTCTCACACCTCAGACGGGGCTGATATCCGGCACAGCGGCGGCGATCCACGTCGCACTGGGGCGGTAAGGCACGACATCGCTACGGGCAACATTGAACCTTCGCCAGCGCCCCAACACTCGGGGTGCTCTGGTCCTTTCCCCTTCCAGTGCTCTCGCCCGCACGGGCACTGGCACGCGGCGGACCCAGTTGTAACCACATTCCACAGTGTGCATTGTCAGGCTGAACCTTTTCCGAAATAGCAGAGTTCGCGAACACGGTGGCAGCGCCGCATCGACCCCACCGTGCGGCGCCTCCCCCGACTGGCGGCAGCCCTCGACGGCCAGGCCCTCGATCGCGGCCGGTATCCTCGTGCCTCTGTACACTCGCTGGTCAGGCTGCACAAGGTTCCGTCAGCCCTGCGCGTCGCCTACTCGCCGATCACCCCAGCGGTGCCCGCGTCCCATTCAGTCCGCGCACACATTGGCATTCCACCCCGTCGCGGCCGCGGCGAACATGAAGGGGGACACACGCCTGAGGCTGAGGCAGGCACGTGTGGCTCGAGGCTCGACACCGCTTCCGGGAGATCATTGCGGGCGCGGGAGCTGTTGCGCGACGTCTGCGCGGGCGGGGTCGCCCCCGAGGAGCTACGATGAAGGCCCGCGTCGGACACCTTCTCCAGGCTCCTGCCGTCAGAGTGAGCCCGTGCGCACCGGCGAGGACGTCAGGTGCTGGCCCGCCGCTGGGCTCGGGGTCCAGCCGTGCAAAGGGGAAGCGTTGGGCATGGTCCGATGGGGTCTGTGCGGGCTCGGCGGGGGCTTGTGATTGAGCTTGACTTGACGCACGCATCTCCGAATAGGAAGTTTTCGCGAAGCGCGTATGCAGATACAAAGATTACTGCGGCGAACGGTCTCGTGCGCCGGAGACGAGGTCGGATGTTGCGGTTAAGTGGATTGTATGAGCCCTGGCGACGGCGGGATAGAGGGATAGAGTGCGATGGTACTAATTTGGGCTGTCAGATAGAGGGACCTTACCCGCCAGAATCCTTTGGCGTGTCCTGTCCTCGCCGTGGGTTCTGCTTCTCCATCGGAAATAGGGAGAGGCTGCGCAGGGACAAGGAGTCGCCGAGCGTATCCTTGATGCGTTAAGGGGAGGCCGACTCGCCTGCCCCGAGGAATCCCGCCCGAACGATCATCCTACCTAGGATGGTCTCAAGAGGGGCTTGCCAGTGGTTGGCGCGTGCAGGACCTGTGTCTTCTGACGCCCTTACCGCGCGCCTCTCATGACGCCTGTGATGCCTGAGACCGCACGAGAAGGAGGAGGGGTCTTCTGAAAAGCGCGCGAGAACAAGGCGAGCGTACGCGCCGCGGAAGGCTTCTGCCAGCCTTCATACTCAATCGCTATCGGGACAAAACGCCCGAACATGGGAGTGATCGTCCGTATTGGGCGTTTGGATGTTTAAAAAATAGCCGCAGCGGGCGCCGCCTCGCAGGCTGGGAGCAACGAGGCCTCAATGAGTCTCCTTGCCGGCCTCTGTGCCTGCCGTGCAGCACGCAGCGTCGCCCGACGCTGGGAACACATCGGGAGCGCTAGCGCTTGTGACTCTGCAGAGGAGTGAGAAGCGGCGAAGGCGACAATTAATCAACGGACCGTATTCCCCATCCCGGCTGAACGGTTCAGAACCCCCGGACAATTGTACAACACCTCGTATTTGCAGACCGTCGGCCACTGCCCGTCGGACACCGAGAGTTCAGAAGACACGAGTGGGGGCAGGTATATGCAATAGCAGGGTCCTGGTCCGTGCGGTCGTAAATCTGCCCATGCAGCACCATTTGATATCGGACGACGAGCACTTCGTCGACCGAGCCCCAATCAGTCATGCCCGCCGTAGTCAGCAGCCAGAGCATGACGCAGAGCCGTTCGAAGAAGGCGCACCGAAGCACTCACAGTGGGAATGCTCGGCGACGCGTCCCGCCCACGCCCCCCAGGCCCCGGCGCTCGCGAACCACAGAGGGAGCACGGGGCGCGCTGCCGCTCGAGGCGGGATAGATGGGGGACTGGCGCCGGGCGTGGACATACAGTACTGCCTCCGAGTCAATGGTGCGATGGCGATCTTGACGCCGACGCTGGCGGGGGGCCGCTGGGTTTTCGCCGTCGTGATGCGCTCTGGAGCGCCGACCGAGCCACCGCGCCCGCGGCTGTCGTTGTCGAGATCTCCCGCTCAAACGCGGAGGCAAATGGCCAGGGGCAGCGAGGGCGCCTGCGCGTGCCCGGCTAGGCAGGTATTGGCAGGTTGGCAAGTCGGGGTCGGACACAGCGTCGTTCGATATAGCGCAGAGTTCTGCGCTGTTGGCTTGTACTTGCGAGATGTGTCGCACCGTGCCAGGGTTGTCGGCTCACGACATATCACGGAGTATCGTGCACTCCGAGGCCCTGAAGTCGTGCAAGGCTGCTGCGAGTGTGGACGGAAGCATTTGCTGCTCACCCCGAGGCACCGCCGGATGAATGTCCGGCCATATGCAGACATCGGCTCTGCAGCACAGCAGTTTGGTAGGGACGCCGCCGAGGCACGCGCGCTCGTCGTTGTGGGCAGCGGGGGTGGGACGATTGACGACGATGAGCCGACGGTTGGAGAGATCGACTGGAGCGTCGCTGGAGATGAAGCTTGTCGAGCCGTGCAGCGCAGCCCCGGGGCCTGCCGCGGGCGCGATCGCTGGGATCGGGAGCGCGTCGATGCGGGCGGCCCTCCTCGATTACTTAGATCGGCGCGGGGGTGCTGATCTTTATCTCGCATACCGAGCTCATCCTCTCTCTCCTCACCACCACACACAGCACCTGCAGTATGTCACAGACCAAGTTCGAGAAGGCCGTCTCCATCGTCCAGAGCCTCCCCAAGGAGGGCCCCATCCAGCCCACCCAGGACGAGCAGCTTCATGTGCGTTCGCCTCACACGGGTTAGAACCTGCCCAGGGCGCGCTGCTGACAGCACGCTATTTACGACGCCAGTTCTACAAGTACTACAAGCAGGGTGAGTGCCTATCATCTGTCAAAGCATATCACCCGGCGTCGGTCTGAAGAGGGCTTCCGCGCAGCAACTGTCGGCGATGTCAACACCTCCCGCCCTGGCATGCTTGACTTCGTAGGCAAGGCGAAGTGGTATGACGCGTGGTTCTCCCGCCCTTTCCGCATTCGCTGACATGTCCTCCCTTCTATCTTCGCTCAGGGACGCGTGGAAGAGCGTCGAGGGCACCTCGAAGGAGGATGCGCAGACGAAGTACGTGGAGAAGCTCCTCGAGGTGAGTTTGTCCTGCCTCCGCCGACGCGAGCTGCCCCGCCTTACGCGCCCCGAAATAGATCCTCAAGCGTGCGGACTCGGAGGAATCCAAGAAGTTCGTCGCGGAAATCGAGGCCGCATAGGCGGTGCGTGTACGAGTACAGCAGCAGCAGAAGTCCGTGCGGAATGTATACCACCAGTGTCTGACTCCCGGCCACATTCCCTGCGATGGTCAGGGGCGAACCTTGGGCTATTGGGCGCGTCATGAGGACCGGGCGCGGTCGTGGACGGGGTGCGGCTTCTGCTTCGGATGTGAACTGCCTGGCTGGTTGCCGTGTATGTGCAGCGCCGGCGTCAGTCCAGGGACGGACCCGGGGGAAGAAGACCCGGGGTGTTATCCAGATATCTGCATAGAGGGAAGCCTGAATCGGTGCGCGTTTCAGGCGAAGGCGAAGGCTGGATCGGAATCGCAGATGGCGGAAGCAAATGCGGTCAGAGCACGCAGCAACGGCCTGGCGGCATGCTGCTGATCCTGTGCGGCCAGCCCGAGCCTGCACTTGGGAGTTTCTGCGCAGAATCAGACGGAGCCATCTCCGTAGCCGCTCGGCTCGCCCCCACGCTCGGTGGCACTGATGCGCGGTTCACCTGGCGTCTGAAACACCGTCGTCTGCTGCGCCTTCCCAGGGCGCTCCGGTTTGCGTGGACGACGGAAGATGGCCAGGTCAGCCGCCTCCCTCCCCACGCGCACGCCTCCACTAAACATTTCCAGGCAAGGGCGCGGCGGCGCAGCCGTGCAGCACGGCCCAGGATAGCACACCGCTAGCCGTGCATCAGCGGCCAGCGTGCAGAGGGGCGAGCATCGCCATAGATACCGCGCACCACTTAATTGTGCACGCACGGATGACGCTGCAGCGCGCCGACTCCCGAGCACATCGCGAACGACCGACCGCGCCCGGCGAGCAGCAGCCTGAGCCAGTCTCAGTCCACCCACCCGGCCGGGAGAAACGCCATCGACCACGCCCCGCGCTTCTCGCCGGGTGACACGCCACGACGCGTGTACATCCCCTTTCATTTCGTGTTTTTCATTTGGCGCACAGCCCAGCCCATATGGGTTATTTGCACCTCGCCGCTTGCAAATTGCTAAAATAAATCCATGGAAAAGACCCCGGGGACCGTCAATTTGCAAGAGGCGCCGGATCACTGCCGCCGACCCCGACCGAGCTCGAGTCTATGTGTAGCTAATCTGGGCGGTCGTCCTCGATCCAATCGGCGACATACGGCGTCTGGGGGCGCAACGACACCCGGGCTTGCGAGGCACCACGGGACGGCCGTCGCAGCAGCAGCCCATTCAGTGTTCAGCCGTCTGAGGACGTGCCGAGGAGCGTGCGGCGATGACCTGCCGCGCGCACACCATGAGCCTTTGCGCCGAGGTCAGCGGGCAGCACCCGTCGTCTAAGCTTATGCCCGTGCGGGACAGGACGCACACGTCGTCAGACAGGCGTGCTCGCACTTAAGCGGTGTTTTGTCCGTGCGGACGCGGGGAATACACAAAGAGGCCGTCTAGCACAATCCTGGTCGAGAAGGGCGCGTCCCGACGCGCGCAGTGCGGGCGTCGCGTCGGTCAATTGTATGAACACAGTAGGCGAAGCACAAAGGAATACAGAGATTTTATCGAAGTGTGCAAACGGGCGTATCGTAATCGTGAAAGTCGTGAAGCACCGCGAGGAGCAGCGCGTGAGTACAACACACAAAGAAAGTCCACAATATAAGCAACCGCCAGTAGGGCGGCGGAGGTCGTGATGAGTCGTGAGCAGGGTAGGAGGCTGACAAAGTCGGCGTAAAGCAACAAGGATTACAGATGCAAGCGGGAGAATCGTCCACGGCATAAAGATAGTCAGCAACGGGATCTAATGAGTAAGCGGCGGGTGCTGCGCCGAGCACCGAGCACGGGCACGACGCGGCGGCTGCACCACGCTGCACATTGCACATTGCAATCGCAGAGCGGGGCTAGCCGTTGGAGAAGATGCAGATGGGGATGGGGGTGGGGGCGACAACGGGATCTGGTAAGCGGGGAAAGGCGGCATTGGACCATCGACGACTCGAGATCGCCCGCAGGGCAGATCATGAGTCCCCGCTCCCATTACGTCGATCGGGATTCGCGACAAAGAGCGAGGGCTTCGGGGCGAGCCCATAGACACTGCTCCGCGACTTTTTGGAGCGGCTCGGGGGAGGGGGCGAGTTCGGCGGGCGCCGCGCATGCTGCTCGAGCGCTGCGATGCGCTCAGCGACGCTCAGCCGGCGAGGGGGGCTCGGTCGCCGGGGCTCGCCGCGGACGGCCGAGGAGCCAGCAGCCTGGGCGGGGGACATAGCCGTTGGTGATTGCACCAGGCTGAGCCCGGGTACGTCTGTGTCGCCGTGCTCGGGGATGGATATCGCGAGCGCGCCGAGCTCGTAGTCACCAATGGACGTTGGTGACAGCCCAGGCTCTGCAGTCGACCCGCTGCCCGAGCTTGCTGTGCTCGCGTGCGAGGAGACGGTGCCCTTCTGCACAATGTCCATCGTGTGCCCCATCTTCTCGATCATCTCCGAGTCTGCCGTCCGCGACGTCTGCAGGGACGACGCCGAGCGCCCGTGGTGCACGCTCGCGTACAGCGGGTCGTCCCGCCTGCGTCCGCTCGTCTGCCGCGAAGGTGGCTCGTCGGGCGACAGCGAGTTCGAGGACTCTTTGATCGGCACGAGCGTCCGGGGCGGCGGGTTCGGGTCCCGGAAATCGAGAGGGCGCTGTGTGCGGGAGCTGTCTGTGGAGAGGCGTTCAAGCAGCGGCGTCTTCGCGAACTTGGACCACCAGCTATCTGAGCGCCGTAGGGAGGCCGTGATGGGCGGATTCGCGTCGATGATGGACGACGGGCGCCGGGGGGAGTGCGGGGGCGTGGCGCTGGGGGCGGGGCTACGGACCTGCTCGGCGGAGGAGTTCGTGTATACCGGTGATGAAAATGCGTGCGAGGAGTCAGAACTCGCCGAGGGGTCTGAAACGGTGAGCAGCGACGGCTTCTCCGAGAGCGGGGACAGACGGGTTACGTCGTTCATCGCCCGCGCGTACATGTGCGAGCGCGGCGGAGGGTCCTCCAGAGATGGTGGCTGTCCGAACTCGACGGGATCGGAGTCGTACTCGTCATCGCCGGGTAGCTTGAACGAATCGACATCATACTCCGCGAAAGGGTCCTCGTAGTATGACCACTGCGACGTGTATGAGGCTTTCCTGCCACCCTTCGGTCTCGCGGCGGCCTGCGGAAGACCCGTAAGGCCCACGAGGGCTGCCTTGTCCGAATACGGTTCGTACGAAGAGTCCTTCTCCCAATAGGTTGCCGACGATGTGCCGCTAGCTTCCCTGTTCTTGGAGCTGCGGGTACCGGCAGCGTAGGCGAGCATCGCACCACCAACGTTCCGCAAAGAAGTGAGCGATCCCTGTACCACATCGCCGATTGTCGCCTTGGGACGTCCGGTGCTCCACGACCCAATGCTCCCGTCCCGATGAACATGGTACCATCCCGGCTCGTCGAACATCCTCGTGTCTTCTTCTGCCAACATGTCGCGCCGCTTCGGATGACGTGCTGTTCGCCCAGGCACCCATCCAGCAAGTGTCTCCCGGACAGACTGCACGACAGGCAACCGCTTCTCGTTGTTCGCACCAGCGCGGGCGACAGGGATGATGGGGCCCAGGTGCGGGCTCTCGTCGTCATCGGAGGGGCTAAGGAGGTGGAAGCGTTCGTTCGAGGCTCGGCGCCGCGTGCTCAAGTAATACGCAGCAGCGCCCCCAGCCAAGAGCCCGAGAACGCCCACGACTACCCCCACCGCGACCGCGGTCGTATGCGCCTTGCTGCTGGATGCGCCTGCAGGGTCCAGTCCAGGCGTTGTGCCATCTCCGTTGCCGTCGCTGGGGCTCCCTGAGCCGTTCCCACCGCTGCCAGGCAGCCCGGTGGACGAGGGGGACGATCCGCCTCGTGTTCCTGTCGAGCCCCCTCCCGTGCCTGAAGGCGATTGGCCAGAGCCGGAGCCGGAGCCCGTCGCGGTTGGCCCGGGTACGGTGTTCGAAGTCGGGCTGGTGACGGCTGCCGGGGGCGTGTACGAGGTCAGGAATGTGGCCTTCGATGCATCGAACAGAAGGAGGCTGGCGTTGACAGGCGCGGATTGAGCGTAGCCTGGGGGGTGTCAGTATTGTGTTTTGGGCAATGGAAGACGAGCAGAGTTATACTTACCGAAGCCGAAGAGTACCTCCGAACCTAATGCCACGGCAAAATGGTCGCGCCGCGGGCCAAGCTGCGAAAGCGCGTCGACGGCACTCCAGACCATGGGACTCTGGGTCGTGTCGAGCACCCAGCCGTCGCTGAAGAGGTTCTGCATGTCCGCATCTGCCCCTCCTTGGATAAGAACCTTGCCATCATCGAGAAAAGCCGCAGCAAACCCGCGCCGAGGAGACGGCAGACTGGAGGTGGATATTGAGAGCGTCGACCAGGTGAGCGTAGACTGCGTAGTATCCAGGGACCAGATGGTTGAAAATGGGAGGAGGGCGCTCTGCGACGGTGAGTAACCGCCGAACACAAGGAGCCGCTGGTCAGAGAGAACGATCGAGGTATGCCCGAGGATGTCTGGAGGGCCGTTCGTGGTAGGCAACTGGGTGAAGGAGGGCCCCGCCGGGTCATAGACGTAGTGGTCTGAAAAAGCGCTCTGTGAACCGTCGGTCTTCTCGCCGCCGACCAGCCATATCTTGCCGTCAGTTGACGATGCGGAGTGGTAGATTCGACGGAGCGGCTCGCTCGCCCACGACTCCGTCTCAAGTTCCCAGACTGGGGACGCAGGGTCTGCAACGTCGAGGAGCGCAGCTGAGTCGGCCTCCTCTGGATCTGCGATAGGCCCGTTCGGCCCAGCATCTCCGCCGAAAAGAAGGAGGTTGGTAGTGTTAAACGCGGAGAGGGTGTGCCAGGCCACGGCGGGGCCTTGGGATGAAGAGCAGTTGGAGCAACCGGCCAGATATTGCCAGGGTGGAGAGGAGAGATCGAATGTCGCGTTCAAAGGAAGGAGGAGGATGTCATTGGTGACTGGAGCAGAACTGTAGCCGAACGCGTTGAATTGGTCTGTCCGGCCTCCCTGAACGAAGAGGGCATCATTGACCAGCGCAGCGGCTTGGCCCCATCTGAGGACAGAGTTCGTTAACTTGACATACGCGAAGCCAGTTTTTCATAACGACACACCTTGGAACCGCGGTATACTGCTCCGCCAAGACATAGTCCTCCGCCCATGATAGTATCAGAAGCGCAGCAAGCGAAAGCTCAGGTCGTGAATGCATAGTGGTAGTTTAGGCAGTATGGGGCATGCAGGGAATAAGTCAAGCAGAGTACATGTACAGAAGAGAGTCGTGAGGGTCGTCAGAAGGAGCCTGTGCCTATGGAGCCTGGAGCAATCACTGCAGTGGAGCAAGCCCGCACGCCGCGCCGATCCAGACCGCCACAACCTTTCTTTGCACTTGTTAGGATCAGAAGCTATTGCCCTTAACCGCACTCGTCCAAGCGCCACAGTTATTGAGCGCCGCTATGAACAGCATAGGGGCTCATATCTATGTCTTGGAAATCCTTCTAGAGTGCTCTCTAGCTGCTTCTGGTATGTCTTCGTGTTTTACTTTCCATGCAACACCAGGGAATGCAAGTGTGCGCGACAGCTAAGTCTGAAACAGTCTATAGTGTCGCTGTTAGACATTGCGGTCAAACATTTCGGACAATTCAAGAAGATTCTGCGGGTTTCAGTGAGAAAGCAGGCCTCTTCAGTGCCGGCATCTGTCATACAGAATAGCTGTAATTAGAACGATACATGCGTCTTCCACTCTGAACACTAGTACTTTGCGAATGGCCCCCAACGGTGAATGCAGAAGGGTATAGTTCTATGCTATGGTACAACATTACAATTGCTACAAGTATGAGATGCGAGGATGTCCGCCGAGTCCTATGCCAGCACCTTCCGAATGCCCTCCTTCTGCGCGGGTGTGAGCCGTTCAGGGAAGACCACGTCCCACTTGACGATCAGGTCGCCCTTCTTCTTCGCACTGCCGTCCTTGCGGATCGGCATGCCCTCGCCCGGCAGCGTCGTCTCCTGCCCGGGCTTCACGATCCCAAACGGCACTGGGACCTGGATCTTCCGCCCATCGAGGTGCTCCACAATCTGCTTGCCGCCAGCGCCCGTGAGCGCGTCGACGAGCGGGATGCTCACGCGCGCGATGAGGTCGTTGCCCTCGCGCGTGAACCGCTCGTGCGGCTTCTCCTCGACGACGAACACGAGGTCCTGCGCCTCCCCGTGCGGCTGCTCGTTGCCCGCGCGCGGGAAGCGGATCTTCGTTCCGCTCTTCCACCCGGGCGAGATCTGGATCTCGAGCACCTTCTCCTCCGTGCCGCCGTTCAGCAGCCGCCGCCCGACCTTCAGGTGCTTCGTCGCGCCCGAGTACAGGTCCTCGAGCGACACCTTGAGCGGCCGCGTGATTTCGGACGGTTGTGATGGCGAAGCGGGGGCGCGCGGTTGACGGGGGGAGGCGCGGCCGCCGCGGGGCATGCCGCCTGGCATGCCCCCGAAGAAGTTGCCCGACATGTCGTCGTCGTCGTCTTGCGCAAACATACTGCTCACCCGAGTTCGGCCGCCACCACCGAACCCACCCATGCCGCCGCCGAGTCCTCCCATACCGAAGATCTGCCTGTGGTGGCCGTTAGCATAAGTCATGATTCCGCGTCATGTCCCGGTGATACTCACTCGAAGATCTTGTTCGGGTCTGTTGGTGAAAAGCCTCCTGGACCTCCGGAACTGAAGCTGCCTCCTGGGCCAGTAGAGAAGGAGAAGGTCTGGGCACCCGGGAAGCCGTTGAAGCCTGAGAAACCGCCGCCTCCGGGACCACCCGCGCCCTGTGGTGGTACGCCGCCGCCCTTCAAGCCCTCCTCGCCGAACTGGTCATAGATAGTTCGTTTTTGCTTGTCGCTGAGGACTTCAAAGGCCTCGGAGATCTACGGGGAGTAAGTCAATAACTGTCACACGAGTCATGACTTGGTATGTATGCGAACGTACCTCCTTGAACTTCTTGGAGGCATCTTCTGAGCCAGAGTTACGGTCAGGATGCCACTTCAGAGCCTGTGAGAGCGGTGGTCAGTTTCATGTCCGCGGCGTCCACGAGTTTATGGTGCTTACCATCTTCTTGTACGCCTTCTTAATGTCATCTTCGCTGGCATCTCGCGAAACACCGAGGAGCTTGTAGTAGTCGTTACCCATCGTAGAGTGTTACGGATTGAAGTAGGGAAAGGGGTATGAAGCAAAGGTACGGTGATGTGTGTGAGGTGTATGTCGAGGGGAGAGTACGAGAGAGCGCAGACCTTTCGTTATATCGTGTGCGCGCGTATCCCCCTCTTTCGAGAACCGGAGGGAGTGCGACGAGAACCTTGCCAGAACGTCCTAGAAAGGCCGCCCGCCACAGTGACGTAGCGCCGCCTCGGGCGCCCACCTCTGGTCCGGCCCGCTTTGCCCGCCATCCACTGGGCGCTCGACCCGATGCACGTGTGTCGGTTCTGCAATAGGTACACCGTCAAGTTCGTGCGCGGACTCCTCGCCGTCCACTGCGCACTCTTTGCTCACCGTCCACCATGGCCAGCACCACCACACCGGCAGCGGCCACGACGACTCTGCGCCATGCGTCCAGCGCAGAGCCCAGCGAGGACGACGCCCGCCACAGCTCGCTCCTCCGCCGCTCGTGGTACGCCATGTCCGACGTGCTCTCGCCGTTTTCCCCCTCTGCGCTCGCTTCCCTCCCTAAGAAGACCTTCCAAATTCGCCCGCGCTATACCCGCGTCGACCACATCCCCGACGCAGAACAGGATGAAGACGGCCAGATGCCCACCGTCAGGGACTACCATGCTATCAACTCCGTACCCCCACAAGTCCGAGTCCCGAAGAAGATTGCGACCCCTGTTAAGGTCGAGGGGAAAGTGTGGTTCGCGAACGAGCGAAGTACGTCCAAAGGCACTGTTCTTTGAGATGCAGTACTCAAGCACGTTGCGAATCACAGCGTGGGTTGCGTATCTTCAAACCTCGGTGCTCATAGGCACATTGGCCCTGGCGCTATTCAATACTTCGAAAGACAGCATAGCTCGCAATCTGGCATACGCATACGCGGGGCTGAGTGTAGCGGTCCTGGTACGTCGTGCCGCTTTCCATCCGTTTATAATGATATTTAAACATGTGGTCGTTGTAGATTTATGGATATGCAGTATACCAGCACAGGATCACCATGATCCGTAGGCGGGATCCTGGCCACTTTGGTGCGCTACTGCAGTTTATCCACTACACCCGCACGTATAACTGACAACTCGCATATAGACCAAATCGTCGGTCCCGTCCTCATTAGTGCTTTCTTGTTTTGTGCAGTTCTCGTGAACTTCGTGCTTCGTGGTGGGTATTTCATGTAACTTTCTTTTCCCTAACTGCGCTCACCCCCTCGGGTCCTGTCCAGTGCGAGAACTGTGAGTGCACTTTCCGCCTTGATGTCGGCTGCTATTGACACGGTTCTTATAGACAAAGCAAGAATATCACCATACCCGGCATACCGTTCCTCTAAGCGGCTTGTCGTTCCCGGCTCTGTGTGACCGCACATATCATGCTACCATCTACTGTATCCGCCCACGACCGCTATGTACTATCAGCCTATCTGTCGGTCTGCAATGCTACTTCCTGCGCCTTCCTCGCCCATTCATGCCGCCTCTCTGGCACCGCTGATCCCTTCGCACATCCTCGGCGCTCGAAGCCAATTCAATGAGTGCTCTGTCGGGGCAGCGCATGCCGCCAGGGCTCGTCATCCCGTCCTATTCTTGAGACAAAGTCAGTCCGTCGTGGAAGGCGAACCCTGCGCTGCTGACTGCTTCCCTCGTCTGCAGGGCGGCCCCGTGGCCCTCGGGCTCCAGCTTCGGAGACTCCTAGCCCGCGATGGGCAGGTTCTCGCCGTTCAAGCGTCCTTGCTCGATATCTTCGACTTCGCCCGACGGTGTAAAGGGACGGCTCGGGCACGCAGAACGAGCTTATCGTGTGATCAGCGTGCCCGGATGCAGCAACGCCTCAAGAAGGATAGATAAACTTGGCGGGGCTGGATGTGAAGTTATCCAGGGTCGGCGGCCGGACGTTGGAGTGAGTGCAAATGCAATGAAGTTGTGCATGTGCCTCGTGCCTCTACACGGATCTGAAGTTGCCTGTCAGTACGCACGACGAGCGCGTTTGTCCTTCTGTGACATACCGAGTGATCTGTCATGCATTCGAGTAGATGCTGTAAGGGCAGCTGGTACGGCTGTTCTTTCCTTTCATCTCTACAGGAGGCGAATTGCTCGCCCTGTGGAGCAGGGGGCACCCGATGTCGCGCGCACGAAGGAGTCTAAGAGGCACGGCGCGGCTGCTCTCTTCCGCAATACCCCCACTGCTGGCGGGCATCGCCGTGCATGTCTTGGATGAGGCGGTACCGTTTTCAATAGGACTCACGAGGGTCAGGGCCCGCCGCACAACTGAAGTGCGTAGGATCCTTCTTCATGCGCATTACATCCCGAGGAGCTCACAGGGCCCCTTTGCTGACCGCCTTCAAACAGGTACAGCTACCCGACGGTGGGGAATCGAGCGGGGAGCTGTATGGCTACCTGTATTCGTTTCGTCTCTACAAGTCAACGGTGGCGCGAGTTCTTCTCAATACTCAACGCGTTCCTTTCTGGTTTTCCTGAAGTTTCAGATGCAAACTGCCACATGCCACATTAGACCAGAGCTTCGGGCACCCGGAGACCTTCCAGTCCTACCGCGACAGCGACGATTCGACAGCTCCACTCCATCACATACCAATACCTTTTTCCTAATTCCTGTGCGTCTCTCTGCCTTTCGGTGACGTCCTCTTCCCAGTTCCTGAACTGCGGCTTCGTCGAAGCAGCCTGTCGTCTCGAGATAAGATGACGCTGTTGCTTCCCATCCTTACAAGCAATGTACAAGCCACATCTGGCACCTGCGCTTAAAGACTGGCGGTAAAGTGCCAGCGATGACTTCCCATATCTCCTGCCATCACTATATTCTTACGTTTTATCTTCACCAGAAATATCACGAACATGGGACCTCGCGTGTCGTCAAAATATTCAAAGACGAACGACTGGCATTTACGTAGTCCGACTTCCGAGAAGTTGTTAGCCATCCCGGTCGGATAGATATCTCGACTTTACTTCAAAGCGGCCACGAGTTGGACAAGACCAGAAGAAGGTTCATAAATAGGTAAGTAAAAAATTGCTTCGTTGCTCTTTTGGACACTTCCTGAGCGCGTCGATGGTTCACCAGCGGTCCGAATTTTGGTACCTGCGCTTGATTGCTGGTGGTGATGCAGCCTCCAGACGCGAATAATTCGACTCGGCATACAAATATTAGGAGCGAATGGTTCCGTCAAGATCCCTAGACATGCCCGAACGGTGTTGTAATATCCCCGACCTATGCGAAGACGCTGAACACACCTCGGTCGGGTGGATCTTTCTCACCATATTCTCCACATGACCACTAGCCTCCGCCACCGTCGACGGCAAAGGAACGCTCAGACAAATGTGGGTACAGTTCTACATTGTTTCTCTTGACAGGGACGAATTCTTTCTCAGAATTTTGATAGATTCGACCACTCAGCATGTTTCAGAGAGGCGGTAATTATGGTAATATCCGTGCTAGTAGTCAGCCAGCGCTTGCGCGTTCAGCGACGGAGTATTCTCTTGCTACCGGATTCCATCTGCTGACAAGAATTCTGGTCACTAATAGGTCGACAGCAGGGTTGCATGTTCAGCGGCCAGTCGAAAACGCCTGTCCTCACCACATTACAAATATTCCCAACGACTTCGGCTCGTCCGCGCCATCGTCCGACCGCGTATTCGACGTCGTCGGGTAGAAGGGCCTGTGGACCAGCTTCCGATAACCACGTCGACCGTGCCACAATCACTTCACGTACGCGATGGCAGTTAATATCCGCTCCCTCGGACTCGCTCCCCCTTGGGCCGCATGACGAGGCTGATTTCCGACCGCATCTCAGACGGTTGTCAACTGGTACGGCACGAAGTCCACGAGGTTATGAAGAACTTCCGCAATTCCCTGTCTCTCGACCGCCACCGCAGAAAGGCTGTCAATGGCGAGCCGAAATGTGGTACCAGGTGAGGCCGTCAAGCGTTTCTTCCACAGTCGTCTGACACGCCACATCATGGTGTGGTCCGACGGGCGAGCCAGTAGCGAGCAAAACCTCCGGCGAACACAATGCGGCGATGGTCCGTATGCTCGCCGCTCGTCGCTTGCACGAACCACGGGTCCAGCGGTACAGCCGTAAGTTGCATAACATGCACCAATCAGTGAGTTGATATACTACGCCCGCCGTCAATTCCCGATACTCTATTTGACACAGTGACGGTATTGCAGTGTCCACGTCGTCTTTCCAGTCTCCGGGGCGTTCGCGGGAACGAGCCGGTATTGAACCTCCCATCGTCTGCACCGCGAGCGACCTGCCTTCTGCGTTCCGCCACAAGACGGCCGATGGGATCCGGCGGTGGTCTGTGAGGTAACCAGTCGGAGTTTAGGATAACACGGCCCATTTTTGCTGACCTTCCATCAGCTCCTGCGTCTCCCATCGCCGCTCATCGGGTTTCTCAACGGAGAGCAACGCGATAGCCTTGCAGCAGCGGCGCGCCGTCGAAATTTCGGCGATCGAATAATTCTATATGGTGCGTGCAATTACGTTCGATGTGGTGCACCCCGGAATTACCGCTCTCACGGAATTCATAGTGCGTCCGGTTTATGCAATCGCCCTTCCTGGAACACGCACAGGTGCCCCATTATAATAACAGGGGGCATTGCGCACGCCGTCCGGAAAATTTCTCCGTCGCGCCCTGACGGTCTCTTCCGCTGATAGACTCGTTTTGTGGCGCATCGAACGGCGACGCGACCTTGGCATGGAAATTGCTGTAGGGCCTATAATGACGGAATCACGGGCGGTATATCGCCGTCCAGGCGGACGTTCAGTCCAGCGTACGGAGCACGAATATCCTGATCCGAAGTGTCTGCGTACGTGCATGCGTGTATCTGTGCCTCCGACTGCCACTTATCGCTGCTCAGCCCGTCCGGTGAACGCGGCGGCGCAGGTCCAGGGCCCGCCCCCGCCCACACACGGCGAAAACGCGCAACCAGGTGCTATAGCTTATTTGCCATGCCCGCCTCGTCTGCGGAAGGCCACCAGCCGGACTTGTCCCTCCGTCGACGAGGCCGCACCCCCGTGAGAACATCGCTGACAAGAAATTGACGGGCTTCGACAGGCTCCCCGAGGGCACTCTGCAGCGCGCCCCACACAGTGGTAAATGAACTCTTGACCGTCGCCAGGACGCCCACGCCCCCGCACGCATTGCCCAACACGTATACCCCGTCCCCCTGCTCTCGCGTGCAGCGCGCAGATAATCAGATTCCATCCCCACTGGCGTGACACCTGCCTATCGCACAATCCCAGCACCTCGCGTCGCACAATCCCAGCCACTCGCGTCGTGCAGCCCCATACCACTCGCGCCCCGGGCCGCCGCCGCCAACGCAGCACATCGAACACCCCAGGCGTGCCGTAACGGAGTGCACAGAAGGCAGGTAAAGTTCGCGGTGCCACGGGCGGGCGCACGTATGCCGTGAACGCCCCCCCAGCGGCGCATCCTCGCCCACATGCACGCCTCGGCTCTCCTCGCCCACCCCCCGCGCAGCTTCCGCCGCGGAACACATCGCCCCCCGATCCAGCAAAAACCGGCCCACAGCCTGGGGCCGAAGCCGCAGGGGAGAGGCTCGCAGACTCGCAGGCCTGGGGCTTCCGCGCCTTCGACGCGCGCACGTCTATTGCGCCCGCGGGCCTTGTGGCGTGGGACGCTCCCCAGTGGGAGCGCATACTCGCCACCCGTCCCCGCGCGCCGGGTGGGCGGATAGGCGACGTCGCCCGCCCGCGCGGTGGTGGGTGCGAGCCGTGTGTCCCGACAGAGCGGGAGGGCCCCAGCCCCTGTCGCATGCGCCTGTCAGTGAGTGCACGGCTCGCAGTCCGCGTAGCCCGCAGCTAATAGACGGGGCCCCGCCGGGCAGCCACCGATCCAGGTGACGCGCACAGTGTGCCCCCTGTGGGGAGCCCCCTGCGAAAGACGTGCCGCCACCCCGCTGTGGTGTGTAGGTTGGGGCGGTTGATGGCGCAAGAAAATATGAGGGCGCCGCCGCCGTGGTCGTGGTGCACCGTGCGGGGAGCCCCGACGCGGTGGGCCACTGTCCCCGCTGCCATCCCGCGAGTCAGTGAGTCTATCAGAGCGGGGGGATGGGAAGTTGGAACGCGCACTTGCGTCCGAAGAGCAGCCCATGCCAGTGGTTTCCCTCGGAGGCTCGTTCCTTCGATGATAATGCGAGCCATGTGCCCGTGCGCCGAACCACTGGCTGCGCAGGGCTCAGGCTCCCCTCGCGCGCGTCCACCTTCCCAGCCCGAGGGGAATTGCCGGCCAGGAATTCGATACGGCCAGAGGGCAGGAATTCGAAGCCACGGCCGGGTCGCCCCCGGGGCGTGCCGGGCGCGGCTGCTGCGCTCTATGCACGCCTGGGGCGGGGCTGCCTCTTTGTGCAACGCCGCGGCGCGCTGGGAGGGTCGGACATGGCACCGGGACTCGGAGACGCGTATGCGAAGCCCGGCGGGCTGAACAGAACCCGGGGCAGCTCGAACAGAACGTCGCAGATAGACGAGAACACAGAAGGCAGAAGGCGGCGGGGCCTGTAGGTGCTGGATCTGAAGCGAGGTCGAGGGCGGCTGCGTCGTGGTGCCACCGGGCCAGCCATGGGCAATGTTTGAACTCTCAGCTGTGGCAGGAACATCATAATCATATCATCGCCCAGAGGGCGTGAGCCCAGCCATGATCTGACAGATGCGCGCGCTCACCCGCAGTTTCCCCGTGCATTGTGTTGACTCTGTCGAGCAGTGGGCGCACACACCCGCCTGAAGGGCTGAATGCAACGGCCATCTCGACTCCCCACCTGCGCAGGAATGCGTGTGCCAGCCGATCTGCGTGCCACGCCGTCAGCAATTGACAACTCGCTCGCCCCGCACGCGCAAACCTTCGCGATGCCAATGCTGCCGCGCCCATTCACTGTGCTCAGCCGGATTACGTGGGGGCCCGTTCAACTGGTTCAGAACTTTCAATGGTGCGTTCCATGCATGCATGCGCATACGCAGCCGCCAGCGAATTCGATGCCTGACTGACGGCATGCGGCATATGATGTGCAGGGCCGGGGGCGGCGAGCCTGGGCGGCGGTGACGGCACTGGTCAAAATGGGTATGTGAGCGTGCGGCATGCATTGTGTGCAGGCGACCGGCGAGATCGCGGGAGGTCTGCTCCGCAGCGGGCGCGGGCTGGTCGGGGGTCGGGGGCGGAGATGAGAGCCAGCGCGCGTTTTGGATTCGAGGGCGCGCACGGACATGAGTGGAATGCGCAGGGCGGTGAGAGCATGAAACTTGAATGCATAGCGTGGGCTACATACGATACAGGTATCAAGCACGAGCACGAAAACACAAATGGGTAGGCTCAGCCACACGGAACGCTGGAATTCTGCGCGTCGCGGGCTCGACCCGGCACGGAAGCAGAGAGCATACAGCGACGACAACAGAACAACAAACTAAAAAAAAACTACGGGGCCGGGTCCATTGCAGCGAGGCGAGTCTATGATGATGCACCGAGAGGGGAATGGTATGCGGGGAGAGGCTGAGAGGTGAGAGACGGTCTAAGCTAGTTAATGCACGTGATACACATAGCGATCCAGGTCCGCGGGAGGAGAGGGGGAGCACAGGGACGAGAGCCGCGGCCGCTCAGAGCGGGGGCTGGGTCGTCTGGACGGGGACGTCCGTGGCCACGATGGCCAGTTTTACGATGCGCCGGCTGTCGACGGACGGATCTGGCGACTCGGACTCGATCCTGCGCAGGCGAGAGGTGTGAGCATTCATCACTCGGCATGCGTGCATGGACCCGGACCAGTACTCACTCGACGTTCACAGACTTGTGGCGCTCGAAGCAGGCGAGCGTCGACGATCCGGGCAGGGGCTTCTTGACGTTGCGGATGATGTAGTACCCCCCGAGCATCCCGTTCTGTTGCGCGTGCGCGTGAGTTTATATAGACGCAGGTCCCACGGCGGCGGTGCACTCACCCTGTTGGAGCCGTCGCGTGGGACCTCGACCGCGTTGAGCCAGTCGACGTTCAGGCAGAAGCCGGACGTCTGGAGCATGGCGAGCACGATCTTCTGGAGGCCGACGCGCGGGAGCGGGGCGCCGTTGAACGTGAACTCGAGCCGGTGCGAGAAGGTGTCGTCGAGCGCCTGGAGCGCGTCGCGCTCGCACTTTGCCTCGAAGACGTTTTTGATGTGCTCGATGGACCACGCGTAGAAGGTGGGGAGCATTATGTGGTGTGTGTGGGGGTGTGTGGGGGGCGGCGAGTAGTGGTGGGTGGTGGTGCTGGGCCCTGTGTAGAGGCAGAGTAGGACGGGACGGGACGGGGTAGGATGGGAGGAGGAGCTCGATTCGCGCGCGCATTTATAGGAAGAGGAGGGCTTGGGAGGTTCCAGGGGGCAGATAACACAGCGGTCGGTTCTCAACTCAAAATACGCAAAATGCAGGCCCGTCCCGAAGAAGGGACGGCGCGGCGGGGCAGCGCGAATATTGAATATCGCGGTGCGCGGGACCCTGAGATCTGGCTCGCCCGCCTTCGCTATCACGGAAGGCGCCGCCCACGCCCCGCGTCTCTGGCGGGAAGCGCATTGCCCTCCGCGGAGGCTGCTCGACGTGCGCTGCCGCTGCCCAGATCGCCCCCGCACGCCGCGCTTCTCGACCGTTTCGCGCGGAACGCTGTCGCCGCGCGCGCGTGCTTCTGATCGTCGACGATCCACCGCGGCGGAGAGCGTTCGGCGGACAGCTCGTGTCCATGTGCGCCCGCGCCCCGCCAGCCCCCGCGGCCAATCGCAGCCCCGCGCACACTCGCCCCCACGCAGATATGAACGCGTGCGTGCGCATGCCTGCCCGCCCGGCTCCCATCCGCGCGAGCCCAGATCGCGACGGCGAGCACCGATCTGCCCGCGCCGATCTGCTCCTGCTGCGCGCGCGGGACGCGGCGCTGGGGCCTGTCAGGCAAAAAGGCAAAAAAGCAGTCATGGGATGACGCGGACGGTGCTCACATGTGAAGATGCTACAGATACCCACAGTGCCAAACAGCAGCGTGCGACGCGTGCTCCTCCCCCGCGCGATCGCCCCTCTGCGCCGCGCCACATGCGCGCACCCACAGACGATCCTCTCGCCCCCCAGCAGTCTTCCCCGCGCGCGGGACGGGCGCGAGGGGGAGGCGACGGCGGGGGGCGCCGCCGCGGGGCGAGCCGTGGCACGCCTCATTTCCGCGCGCGCACGCCGCCGCGGTGAGGTAATGCTTCTGCGCGAGCTGGGGATGATTCGCCCACAGAACCCACACTCTAACGCCACGACGGCCCTGTTTGACGGCGCCGCCGAATGCGGCGAGTGTGAGCCAGCCGGGGCGCACCCTGCTGCGCGCGCGGAAGGGCGGGTCCCCACATCCGGCCGCCCCCCATGCGTCTGCGTGCACGCGTGGGACCGCGCTGTGGGCGAATTGCGCTCGCGTAGCGTGTCAATGTCAGTGTACCTCGCGCGTGGGGGGGCTCTTTGCATCTGCGTCTGCGCGCGCGTGGGACGCCGCTGCGAGGTGAGGGGATCAGGACCCTCGATCTGCAATGCGAATGCGCACCGACGGCAGCGTGAGCGGGCTGCTCGAACCGGGCGATGCTCCCATGACTGCAGGCGACGTCAGCGCGCGGCGAAAGAGGAAGTGCGATTGACCTAGACCGACGTGCGCTTGCGGTACTGTCCCGATGACGCCGAGAATTAGAAGTCTGAGCTGCAGGGGACACGTACATACAGGGTCCGTGGAGCGCGTTGCCATCGCACATTCGCATTCAGCCCGCAATTGCAATGCAACGAAGCTTCCCCCGGGCCCTGGCGGTCGCCCCGCTGCCGAACAGCGTGCACTGTCGCGAGCCCAGAGTTAGCATGACGGGGCGCACGTCCCATCCATCAGCAGCGTGAACGCGAACACGCGTCGAAGCCCGCGCCGCCGCGCTGATCACGCATCTTCTTCATGAATCTGCGCGCAATCTCGCTTTAAGGTCAGCATCTAACCAAAGCGGCGCAGGGGGGCACGGCGGACCTACACGGCTGCCAGCGCAGGTGCGGATCTCCCGCACGCGCGCCGCGTGGAGTCCGAAAACGACGGACTGCGCGGGGGAACATCGCGCGAGCTGTACCGTGTTCTACGCCGCGGGGGCGAGCATCGCAATATTCGTGTGCACACATGCAGCGGGGGATAGGTGGGGCTAGACGATACAAAACGGGGGGATATACATCTCCGACTCCGAGGTTAGACAGTTACATAGCAGCATGTTTACTTCAGCGCCTTCTTCATTTGCTGCAAGCAAAAGTCAGTACGAGGAGGGCCCGAGGGGAGCGGGGGAACGTGGCGGGATTGGCGTGGACGCACCTCTTCCATCGCGTCGAGGTCGTTTGTCTCGATGCGGACGATCTGCTTGCCCGTCGCCTTCTCGATCTGCTCCATCTGCTGCCAGGTCGCCTTGTCGTGCACGAAGTTGATCGAGATGCCCTTGCGCCCGAACCGCCCCGTGCGCCCTAAACGAGATCCACGCCAGATCGCGGTCAGTCGCTGCTTGCGCCACAGAAGCCCAGACAGACGCGACACGCACCAATTCTGTGGATGTACGTCTCAATGTCTGGCCGCGCGTCCTCCCGCGGCGCGTGGTGCTCGCGCTCCCCGCGCTCGTTCATCAGCGGCAGGTCGTAGTTGACGACCATGTTCACCTGCAGGATGTCGATCCCGCGCGCGATGACGTTCGTCGTGATCAGCACCTTCTCCTTGCCGTCCCGGAAGTTGTCGATGATCGCGTCGCGCTCAGCCGCGTCCTTGGCCCCGTGCAGCGACGCGACCTTGTGTCCCTCCGCCGTCATCCGCTGCGAAATGCGGTCCGCCGTGTGTCGATGCTGCGGCGATATTAACGACGCGTGCGTACTCAAAGCAGCAGACACACACCTGACAGAAGATGATACTCTGGCCGATCGTCAACAGGCTGTACAGCGACACCAGCACCTCGTACTTGTGCTCCTCGTTCCGGCAGTCCATGTAGAACTGCCGGATGTTGTCGACCGAGAGCTCGTTGCGCTTCAGCTCGATCTTGTTCGCGTTCGGCGCAAACTTGCTCGCAAAGTTGCGCACGTGGTCCGGGAACGTCGCCGAGAACAGGATGATCTGCACCGGGTGGCTCTTCGGGAGCATGCTGCGTAGCGCATCGCCAGGCGGTCAGCGGACTCTTCGCGGGAGGGAGAAACGAGGAGGGGCGCACTTTTTCACACGGAGCGTCTGCTCGCCGAGCCCGTCCTTGTCGAGCATGTTGTCCGCCTCGTCGAGCACGAACACCTTCACCTCCGCGACATCGATCACCTTGCGCCGGATGAGGTCCGTCATCGTCCCTGGGGTGCCCACGATGACCTGCGCCGTGACCTTGCTCGCGCCCTTCGGCAGGTTCTCCTTGATCGCGTACTCCGTCTGCACCGACGTGAACTTGCCCATCGCCACGACCACGGACATAATCTGCCGCGCGAGCTCGCGCGACGGCGCGAGGCACAGTGCCTAGAACGAGCCCGAGATAGTCAGCATGTCTGGACCCGCGCGGGGGGAGCGGAAGCGCAAGACTTGCCTGCGGCTTGTTAATGGAGAAGTCGACGCGGCTGAGCATCGTGAGCACGAACGCCGCCGTCTTCCCCGTGCCTGACTGCGACTGCCCGATCATGTTCTGTGGACTGGGTGAACCCTGGCGTGAGCGTTGTCCTGCGTGCATGAGAAAGAAGCGGTCCGAAACGGCAAACGGGGCCGTTCTCCACGGCGAGAAGCAGCTATTTGCGAGGCGCCGCACGAGCTCGAGCAACTTCAGCCCGTTGCGGGTACATGAAGTCGCGTGCCCCTGGGCTGGGCTACGACCGAGACAGCTGCCGAAGCGCTGCGTCTCACATACGCCGGTAGGAGCGACGGGAGCGTTCGCTTCGCTATGAACATGCGTTTGAGGCGTTTTGCAACTTGTGCCGTCAGCAGCCGCTTGGACGCACCACAGCTGCGGTAAGCTCCCAGGTACCGAAGACTCTCCCCGTGTGTAACATGATGCATACGGGGCTAGAGACTCGCTTCGTTGAATAGCTGGGCGAATGTGCGAGCCGCTCGGTATAGGTGGGGGGCGGGATGTCCGAGGTGGCGCAAATACCGCACATCTCGAGCCATCATAGCCGCAACGTTCGCCGTAGAGAGAAACCACTCACGGATTCGACAACAAGAGGGGCAGTGCGCGCTCCTGGATCTTGGACGGCTTCGAGAAACCCATGTCGTAGATGCCCTTGAGAAGATCCTGGTGCCTGCGCCACCAAACCTATGAGCGACGCGTCCATCGGCGGTAGCGGCGCATACACTCACAGCCCAAGCTCCTCGAAGGTCTTCGCGCTAAAGAGCGGCGAGTTGGGATCCGCTTGCTGATCCGCGAGCGTAACCTGGGGGTACATGCGATCGGGACGCGTCCGGTTACAGAGTACGCGCGCGCACTCACCGCGACCTCGAACGTCGACTTGATGAGATCCGTTACTGCAGGAAATTGCGATGGTGAGATACAGCGTGTAGGAGATACGGAGGGCTGGACGCACCTGCGTCTGGCTTTGGGGATCCTGCACCCTCTGGTGCATCCTCAGTGGCGGGTGCCGGTGCCTCTGCGGGCGCGGCTGCTGCTGGTTCTGACATGAGTCTCACGGATGGTGGGGGTGAGAGAAGAGGGGCTAACGAGCAGGCGTGTAAAATCCGTCGGCGTCTTTCTCCATGGCTGCTAATTAGCGGGAAGGGGGGCTGGAATGTATGCGCTTATGTAGTGCACGGACGGATGTGAGCCGAGCTACGCGATCTCACTCACTTTGACATGGGCGCCTTTTCGATCGGAGATCAAAGCTGTACTCTTGTACTCTAATCTAATCTAATCTATTAGCACACGTTACTGGCAGACTTCTATCGTGGCACCTCTCCTTCATACCACCTCCAAGCTCCCTCAGGCTCGTGTCGTGATAACCACATCGCAACAAATTCAGGAGTGGTAATCAGGGCCCTCGAAAGAGTGTTTGCCTGACCAGGAACATACGATGTACGCTCATTAATAATCGGTCAGTCCTTCAGGATCCTTGAGCGAGCAGACGTCCTTCCACAGATATGGCAACGCACCCATGTCCTCGCCCAACATGACCTATTCAACCCTACTCCAGCGGGTCCACAGGGGACTCTCTGCTATCGAGCTCGTGCACACCTCCCATCCTCGCTGGCCTCTCCCGCTACAGTCCACGACGGCCCCAACTGTGCACATCTCCGTGCTCGATTCCTCCTTCAACCCGCCCACGCTCGCACACCTCGCACTCGCTAACACCCTCCCGCTCCCGCCTACAGACGTGCCTCCAGTAGGGGCCCCGGACGACTTCGACGCGCGTCTGCTCCTACTCTCTGTGCGCAATGCGGACAAGCAACTCAAACCGGGCGATGCGGCATACGAGCAGCGCACGGAGATGATGATCCTCCTCGCACGCGACCTCGCGCGCACACATGCTCGCAGCGTCCCCGCCGCCCAGGCGGACGCTCACAGTCTAACCGGGGCTGAGGCTGAAGGAGAGCATGAGCCCAACGTCGCCGTCGCGATCATCGACGAACCGACCTTCGTCGGCAAGTCCGCCATCCTCCACGACTTCCTCACCTCGCGCATCGCCGCGCTCCTCGGTCCCAACGCGCCTTCTACTCCTGTGCCTTCCCCCGAGCTCACCTTCCTCATGGGCACCGACACCGTCGCGCGCCTCTTTGCGCCGCGCTACTACGCGTCCGAGGCTGCGATGCACACCGCGCTACATCGCTTCTTCTCGCCTGACGGTGACGACTCGCGCATCGTCTGCGCCCGCCGCGTGAGCCAAGGGGTGCCCCGTGCGGAAGAGGAGCGCATTGAGGTCGAGATGGCCGCATTCGCGCGTACGATCGTCGCCTTTGAGCGGCTCGCGTTCGTAGACATTGGGGAGCGTGAAGCAACGTATAGCAGCAGCCAGGTGCGGGAACTTCGGGCGAAGGGGGACGAGCGGTGGAAGGAGATGATCACACCTGCCGTTGCGGAATATATCGTCGCGAACGACCTATACCTTACCTTGTAATATATCTTGTTTTCGATAGCTTTCGAAGGGGGTATCATGCTCACACGTAACGAGATGAGTGAAAAGGAATCTATTATCGTGATGCAATACATTGGGACGTGAGAGGCGTGATATACGTGAGAACAGAGATATAGGATGATGCGAATGTTACAACTAGAGCGGATTGAAGACGACGACGACGCGGGACCACCAAGGAATCCATTAGACGACAGATATGGGAAAAGATATGCAAGACAGTGTTCTGTTCATGAGGACGTCGCCTGAGCGAAGGCAATCGCGGTCGTCTATGGAATATCGTCAGCGACCGTTTGACAGTACGACAGTGCAAAGTGTACTCACGTCAGAGTGGCTCAGCGAGAGGTGGACCTTCTTGACGCCCTTGGCCTCTGCGGCCGCCTTCGCGTCGCCGTGCAGAGAAACCGTCGGGGCGCCAGTAGAGTCGGGGAGGATCTCGATGTCCTTCATCGCTGCCGCCGCGCCCTTGGACGCGACGCCGAGCGACTTGAACACGGCCTCCTTGCCGACCCAGCGCGCCGCGAACGACGAGGGTGGCGAGGGCTGCGAGCGGCAGTACACGATCTCGGCCTCGGTGAAGTTCCGCTCGAGGAACGTGGGGTTCCATGAGGGTACAGAGGAGATCAGCTCTGAAGAAAGGAGGGAACGTCAGCACCTGAGAGACGATGATGGTAAGGTTCTACATACCCTGGTCAACACCAACGCCCGCGGTGGCCTCTGTGGAAAGAGACTCGGTGACGGCGGACACGTTCGCGACGTCGTCCACAGGCTTGGTCGCGAGCTTCGCGGTGTACTCGTAGCTGCCCGTCTTCGGGTTGTACGTCGCCCGCGCGAGCGGGTTGAGCAGGACGGGCGCCTCCAGGTCCTTGATGTACGGCGGCGCGTCCTTCACACGCACGAGGCTGTTCGAGATCATCATCTCGCTCATCGCCTTGTACGAGAGGCGTTGGCGACGGTGGTTCTTGACCTTGTATGCGTCGTACGCCGAAGGCTCGAGCGCGGCGAGGAGGTAGCGGGGGTGGATGACGAGGCAGGTACCGCCGACCTGTCCGAAGCCGAACGAGGACATGACACCGGCACGGATGCCGTCGGTGTGGATCGTCTTCGACGGGAAGATGAGGAAGGTGTGGGCCTTGAAGTTGGCGTCGATGTTGTCGGCGTTGCGGTTGCCTGGGATGATACCGGCGTGCACGCTCTGCAGGAGACCCGCGAGCTGCCATGCGGCGGAACCACCCTTCGAGTGACCGCAAAGGCTCTTCTGCGCCATGATCGGGACAGCATTGCCGTTGGTACGACCCAGGTTGGTGAAGACGTCGTTCCAGATGTGCGTCTCGTTCTTCTCGTTCGCCCCAGTACTGGTACCGTGGATGGAGAGGACACCGATGTCGTCGGCGGTGAGGCCCCAGACAGCGAGGGCGCGACGGAGAGGCGCGACACGAGGGTCGGTACCTTGGAGCATACCGTATGTGGCGAGGGCATCCTTCTCTTGGCGAGCGGCCTCCTTCTCCATGTCGGTAACGCGAGATGAGATGTACGCGTCGTTGATGGCGTTGCCCTGGCTCTTGCGGTACTCGATCTCGTCCTGGAGCTGCTGACGCTCGTACTCCAGCCACTGCGCGATCTGCTTGCGGCGGAACGAGAGCTGACGGGAGCGGTAGGTGATGTCGAGGATCGGGAGGGGGTTCTCGGTGTGAACCTCGCGCGCGATGGACAAAGCGCCACGACCGGGAGCAGGAACTGAACGACCAGCCTTGTCACTGTATATACACATGTTAGCGGGTGTAGGCAGGTAGAAGGTAACAGATACTTACGAAGACGTCGACGTGAAGCCGATGATGCCGCGGATAGGCGCGCCAAGCTCCAGCGCGGTCTTCGCGCTCATGAGCACCTGCACACCGCTGCCCTGCGCCTCCATGAACTAGAAGGTAATGTAAGCGTCAGTGAAAATGAATTTTAATAGGATGAATGTGCTTACCCCTGAACGGGTGGTGGTGGCAGGGCGGGACATTTCGGTGGGCTCGCGACCCATGGCGAACTCGGTCTCCGCGTTGCTGGTAGCCTTCATGTTCGCGAACTCGTACGAACCCTCCTCACTGAGGTCATCGAAACCACCGGCAAGCATGACCTTGGCCTTGCCAGACAGCAAGGTGTCGCAGGCGATTTCAACCGACTGCAGAGCAGTTGCACTATTGGAATATATGTTAACACATCTGAGACCAGTTGGTTGGAGGTGGAACGTACCAAGCACCAACGGGGATCTTGATAGGTCCGCTCGAGGACAGGAGAAGCAAGTTGATCCAGCCAGCGGTCGTGTTGATGAAACTGTACGATCATTTTAGTATGCTGCGCCTGTAGCAGAGCGCAGAGCGAAGAACTTACGTCTCCTGCAGAATGTCGTTCTGCACCTCCTTCTCGTCGCGACGATCCTTGAACATACGCGCCAAGCTCTCCATGCCGCCCATACCGCTACCGATCGCAGTGCCGACCTCGGAGGGGTGCATGTGTTGGTACAGCTCGTAGGGGTCGGTGATGCCGGACATGTTAAGGGCTTCAGCAGCAGAGACGAGGGCCCAGAGGGTCGCGCGATCGGTCTGCGCAATGATGTCTGCGGGAATGCCGTAGCGTCCAGCGTCCCAACCAGTCGGGATCTGACCAGCGACGAGACGGTTGAACTTGAACGCCTTGGGGACGTAGATACGGGCGCCCTTCTTGAACTTGACGAACCACTGGCCGCCTTCGCCGGCCCAGATGTCGCACTTGTCGCCGTGCTCGTATTTGAACTTCTCGGCGTCGGCCTGCGCGGCCTCGAACGGCTCGAAGTCGTGCAAGATCTCGATCTCCTGGTTGAAGACCTTCTTCTTCGGGTCGTAGCCACGGAAAAGCTCGGGCTCTAAAGGGTTGTCAGATATGCACGACAGATAGACAGTATGAGAAGATATTCACCAATCAGACGAACACCGGCGTGCGCGAGGATGTCCTTCTCGTAGCGTCCCCGGACGTCCTTGTCGTCGACCGGCTCGCCAGACTTCGCATCGACCCACCCAACGTACAGCGAGCCGTCCTTGAGGCGGCCGTCGAAGTGCTTGATGTGGCCCATCAACCATGCCATCTCGATGCACCCTTCGATGCTGAACTCGCCGCGCGCCTCCATTTCCCAGCGAGTGCGCGAGCTACCCCAAGGGCCGACCTCGGCAAAGCCCGTGACAACGATGACCTTCTCGAGGTCGAGCATGCCGCGGAGGTGTTCCAGGTCCGCAAGCGAGTCCTCTGACTCGAGGACGGGGAAGCTGAATTGGAAGTTGGCGCGCGGGGTGACGTTGACGGTCTGCAGGACGCGCTCTGCCTCGACGCCGTTAATGACCTTGAAGTCCGCGGCGTTATCACGGGCGACCGTGCGGCGGAGCTCGCTCTTCTTCGCGAGGTCGTTGCGGATACGCGTAGTGATGTCAGCGAGGTCGGGGAGGCGGTCCATGCCACCGTTCAGGTCTGCCCAGATCGGCTCCACTTGCGTGATGCTGAAGAGAAGCGGATGCATGAGGCCGAGGATGTTGAACGCCATCTCCTTCGCGGAGAAGGTACGAACGCCGTGGCTTTCGAGCTCGTGAGCGACGGTGTTGGTGGCAGACATGAGACCTGTCCCACGAGTCCATCTGGGAATGGTAATGAGTAAACTGCATGAATAGATGAACGAGAAGAAAGACGTACCCAATGACCGCGCCGGCCAAGCAAAGGTACTCGCCCCAGCTCTCGCTGTTCCAACGGTTGAAGAGGGTCTCGAGCGAGATCTTCGACTCCGAGTACAGCCCGTCGTTACCGAACAGACCGTGGTTCGGAGACAAGGGGAGGATAACCTGCGTGGGACGCGTGACGAACTGACGGCTCGCCTTCTTGTTCTTGACGGCGCCGAGCAGACGCAGAAGGTTGACAAGCATGATACGGTGGGCAAGCTCAGACTTGTCGTCGATACCATCGATCTCGCGGCCATTTTCAGGGACAGCGGCGAAGGGCAGGATGTAGTCGAGATCGAGGCCGAGGGTGGAATAGATGTAGTCGACGAGGGCCTCGACGTCCTGCTTCGAGCCCTGGTTGAACGGCACGACGGTCAGGGCGGAACCCTTGCTACCGAAGCGTTGGAAGATGTCCTGGTAGTACTCGACGGTCTCGCGGCTGTAGCGCGACGTGGTGATGACGACGTGGGAACCGCCAGAGAGGAGACCCTTCACGATCTCGACTCCGATCGAGCCCTTGCCGACACCGGTGAGCAGGGCGTTCTTGTCCTTGAAGGTGCTGCCAGAGGTGGCGATCTCGTGCAGAATGTCGAGGTACACACCCGTGAGGTTGCTGCTGTACTCCCAGTTCGTGCCGACCTTGCGCTTCAAGTGAAGCAGAGGCACCTTGTCGGCAGAGACGGCGGCGACGTTGGAGATCTGGGGACGAAGGAAGGCGGAGGACGAGCGACGCGTGCGAGGAGCGCTGTGACGAGTGCGCGACTCCGAACGCTTCGCGCGAAGCGAACGGACGACACCCTCGTACAATGCCTTGATGCGGTTCTTTTGCTCCTCGCTGATCTCAGGCTGGGACTTAACGACATTCCAGAGCTTGAGAACGTCGTCCTGGATCTTCTGGATGTTCGTCGGGGCGACGATCTGGTCACCGCTGGCCATCTCCTCGACATACGCCTCGAGCTTCCTGACGTTCTCGCGAACGACCTCCTTGTAGATGATGTCACCCTTCGCCGTCACCTCGGTGAAAGGAGCGGTAGGGAACGTGACTACATGCCATGGTTAGCAGATATACTTCATCCAGGTAGATAGGCGACGTACCATCCTTGTACAGCGGGGGTTGGCCAACGACTTCCTTGCAGTTGTCGATGAGCTGCTGGCCGAACTGCTTCGCGAGCTTGTACGTCTCGCCGCGGCTGGCATCGCACTGGTCGATGTAGTACTGCATGTAGGTGACGAGCTCAGGGTCTGCGCGGTTCATGATAGCGATGCAACGAGCGGTGATCTCGCGGTCGACGGTGTTGAGGCGACCGAAGATGATGTCGTAGAACATAAGGAGCGCGTCCTGGCGCACCCAGTTCCACGACGAGTCGAAGTGGCGGGCCTTGAGCGGGTCGAACACGGGCTGAATACCGTCGATGTAGAGGTCGCCGTGCTCCTTCGCGATCGCGTCGAGACGGGCCTGGAGCTGCTCGGTGTTGACCTTCTCGGCGTCGTACTTGATCTCACCAGCGCGGGAGTCCTTCTTGAGGTAGCGCATCCAGAGCTCGATCTGCTGAGCGGCAAGCTGCTCTTGCTCGGTCTGGAACTTGAGGAACTCCTCGCTGTTGATGACCGCACCACCGCCTCCTCCGCCAGCAGCACCCGCGGCAGCACCAGATGAAAGGGAGATGCCCGACCTCTGAGCGTAGATGGCGACGACGCCGTCGAGCCACGCCTTGGCCTCTGCTTCAGAACCGAGACGCTTGGCCGGCTCCATGGTGGTGGCGATCAGGAGAACACCATCCGCGCGCGCGGAGCCGATGCCCCAGGACTTCGAGAGGTAAGACTTGATCGCGGACAGGTTGAAGCCACCGGGCATCTTGCCACCAATGACACGGGAGATGAGTCCGGAGGTGTACTTCCCGAGCGTACCCGCGAAGCCGACGCCGATGGCCGAGCCGAGCTCCTCGAGAGGGAGCTCCTCGCCCTTCTCCGGTGCAGACGAGAACTCGAGCTGGAGGTCGCCGAGAATCTCGTTCTGCATCGTCGACTTGCCACCGACGAGGTCCTTGATGCTCTTCGAGAGCGGGATCTCGCTGACGTTCTTCTTGAGCTTCTGCGCAATGATCGCAAGGAGCACGTCGATGGCCTTCAGCGGCACATCCTCGATGCTGGCGGCACCGGCGGAGGGGGCGGGCGCCGCAGCGACAGGCGCAGACGCGACGGGGGCAGCCGCAGGGGCAGGGCTAGAGTCATCGCTGCTAGACTCGGCAGGAGCCTCAGCCTCGTCCTCGAACTGGTAGTACACATCCTTAGTGTGCTTGGCGTGACAGAAGATGGCGCGACGATGGGTGACGGAGTCGTCCTGAGTCTCGTACTTGGCCTTGAGCGTGCGAGTGGCCATGCCGTTCAGCGTCGGCGAAGGCCCGATCTCGACGAACCTCTCGAACTTGTAGTGCGTGAAGAGGATGTCTTGTGTCTCGATCCAACGAACGGGGGAGGCGAACTGGTACGCGAGGAGCTCGACGAGGATGATGTACGCGAGCTTCTGGCGCTGCTCTTGCGAGCCCCAGTTGTCCTGATCCCACTTGCGGAGCACCTTGTCGAGGCGAGGCGAGAGGGTCTGGTCGTAGATGAGCTGGGCGTACTCCTTGGTCACCTCGAAGGGCTTCGCGATCAGGTTCGGCACGTATTTGCCAACGAGAGTGTCAGGGTTCAAGTGCGCGGGGTTGATCTTCTTCGAGAGGTCTACACGGTTTGTTAGCATAGAAGATCGTGTGATGGCGGTTTCCCGATAACTCACATGCGCGGAAAGGCATGACGCCAGCCCAGAGGTAACGAGAGTGGAACGGCACGTCGATACCGGGGAGGGGGATGGTGGCGAAGCCACGCTCGAGCTTGATGTAGCCCTCCTTCGCTTGCTGCTCCTTCGCCTTGTTGTAGCAAGAGGTGACAATCTCGCCGAGCATCTCCTTGACTTGGTCGACGGTAAACTTCTCCGTCAGCTAAAACACAAGTTAGTAAACGCGTCGTTATGATAACCGTCGAAGTAACCCACCTTCCCGATGTCGATCTTCTCGACCTTCAAGTAGTTGAGGACGTTCGTCATCGTCTGGAGAGCGACCAGCTCTCCAGCGCAGACGTATTGTTGACCCTAGGCATAGTTATGTCAATCGAAAGCTAAAATGGGTCGAGACGCTACGTACCTCGACGTTGAAGTTGACGATCTCCAGCAGGCAGCCGGTCTTCTGGGCGATGTTGTCAACAACCTCACGGAGCGCCGCGTCGTTGAAGGTCTTCGAGATGCGACTCGGGTTGACCGCGCACATCGCGTAGTTGGAGCGGTTCTGGGAGTCACGCTCAACCGCGCGCTGCATGGTGATACCACGGTAGAACACAACGTCGACGAGGGACGAGATGGCGAGGACGTCGGCGATCGACGCCAGCGCGGAGTACTCGCCGAGCGAGTGACCCGCGAAGGCGGAGTCCTTCTGGACGAGACCCTTGGAGCGCATGTCCTCGAACGCGGCGCGC